CAGCTATGTTCCCAATATGCTTTTCCAATATCAAAGCTAGAAACATGATATAATTGCATTATTCTTTTGAGTATTTTGCTTAATATAATTTATAGAATTTGAAAAGGTTCCAACAGATATAACATTTTGTGTGTTACTGCTAAAGAATTGCTGTTTTCAGACCTTTGTATGGTTCTTGAATGCCAAGTCTCACTAGATGGCACTGTCTCTCAATATTTAATGGATAGCTTTATACAAATGACCTTTAATCTCTGTGCTTAACAATATATTTAATTCATTGAAAAGATATTACTTTGCACTACATCCTTATCCCTACTCAAAACAATGTCCTATAGAATCTCTCATCTGAGTCTGCGGTAAACTAACACTTTGGCAACCAGTATGGACTATAATTTTAGAAAATATGTTAGTGGTGATTTTACTCTGAAATAAAGATCAAGGATCTTTCAGTTAAGCAATCAACGTGTGCTCAAACTGCTTAATGTTTTCTCTCTCAGCTCAAGGTCTAAATGTAATTCCATTCAGTCACCAGGCAGGAACAGAAGGAGATTTCGGGGAAATTTAGAAGGACACTAGGCATTGTAAAAATGAAAAGACTGTGCTGGTATATAGGTCCAATCAGCAATCTGAAAAATACTTCACTACTTTACAGCATGAAAAGAAACACATGTGAGAGGGAAAAGGCCACCAGACTGAGCAACAGCACTGCTTTCTGGAGGGTATGACATGTGGTGCTCCTGTGGGATCACCTTAACTCCCTGAGCAGCCTTCCACTGCTGAGCTAACAGAGCTATGGCTCCTGTCATGCTTGCTGGTCATTTTCCAGACCGTGACTGTGGAGGAGCAGGAGCAGGAGTCTGGTGGCACTCTTAGTTACCAGAGACTCAAACCTTGCGTCCCTTAGTCTGGCAGTTATCCCTTCCTGGACACACTATTACATCAGGCCACACCTTTGGCATTTCTGATGGCAGGTGCTTCTGCAAAACAGGTGGGTGAGCTGCATGTGCTATCAGTGCATGGCACTTGTATCTCATTTTCTGGCAACGCCAGCAGGGTTGTGCTGTTCCCCAAACACTCCCTTCCTTCTGAAGATCATCTCCCCTGTTCTGCCGTCACTGGGTGGTAGACTTGACCTTCTACACTTCTGACTTACGCTCTGATGAGGACCGGTGATTGAATACACTCTGTCTGGTGTGGACATGGCAGTGCTATATTGACCAGACAAAGGGATTACATCAGAATGACAATGTGTTTGGCTGCCAGGGCCAATGTCCTAGGTCAAGCCCTATCCAAATATCACCTGAAGATATTTAGATTCCACAGCTGAAACATTGTGTCTCTTTTCTTTTTCTTTCGGCATGGAATAAACCTTTGCCTGCTCCTACTCCAATAATGCCTGTCTCTCTGGATTGTGGGCATTGTGCTAATGGTTTGTGGCATTGTCTGCCTCTCCCCAGCAAAGTGAGGTAGTAATGTATTCTCCCAGGGCATTGGCATCATCCTGGGCCTGTTCAGGCTGCCTTTCTGCAGTGGCATCTGAGCTACTCTACACTCTTTAGCAAGGTTCCCCAGCTCTGACAGGCATTGTCCATGGGACCAGTGGTGCCTGAAATTGTTTAGGATGACCAGTTCCATGCTGCACCTGTGAATTACTGTCACTGGCAAGGTCACCCTTGCTAGATTGCTGCTACAATAATGGCCACCACTACTTACACTTTCACTAAAGGGAAAGATCAGTTAGGTCTTGGCTCCCTGAAACTGAAAAGTGGCCTTGGGCCAGAGAGGCTGCTTAAGTAACCCTATGTGGATTCATAAGCGAAAAAGATTGATTTGTGGGAAATTGCATGGTTATGGCCTCCGGGAGGATTGGGAAGCTGCCATTTCTCCCTACAGCAGCTTTGATATACATGCTCAGCCTACCTCGTGCCCTGCAGGCAGTATAGCACTTGACATTTTCTCTTTCAGAGAACAGGCGTCACATCTGTAACTGCATAATTTAAGGAACCTGAGGTACTGACCTCACCATCATAGAAAACCAAATGTTCATTTGTGTAAATTGCCTAAATGGACCACACAGAAGGAATCGTGACCTCTATACGAGACAAAAACCAACACCTCCAAGTGTAGGGCCATACTTCTCTGCGATCTAAAGGACGGAATCTGAGGCTTTGTTCCACCACAGCTGGGAAAGTACCCACCTGTGTCAGAAATGCATTAGCTGTAGTTTACTGTGGACATATAGTGCTGAAATTTCAAATCACATATGTGTTAACAAATTGCTATAGAATCTGCAGGCTACATGATGACACAAATATTTAAAACCCGGGTCTGTCTTTGTGGCAGCTCTGAAAGGGAATCTTGTACCTGCTGGCTGGCTGATAAAGGCCACTAGCACTTATAGACACACAGGGCGATAATTAGCTGATTAATTTCATTATTGGTGATGGGTGTGATTGGTATATAGAGGAGTTTGTTAGAATTTGGTGTTTGACAATAGTTTAGAGGGAGATTTTATGTTATAAAGCCCTTCAAAGTGCAGTATTTCTAAGTATTCAGATTCCTTGAGGCAACATATTAAAAGGTGAGGGTCTGTTGCAGTCTTCTACATCCAGTCCTGTGGAAAAACCTTGATCTGCCATATAAATTAGCTTGCTCTTTGACCTCTATGTTGAGATTTTACATTCTTCACCTACTGGAAGAAAAATATTCATTTTCTTTTATTTTGTTTCCCCCAGGTTTCTGAAGTTTCTTTCCTGGCTGATGAGGGTGAGAGAGTGAAATGAAGCAAACTGAATTATGGTTTAGGAGTTTTCAAAATGCCCAGAAACACGCTTTCAGCACCCAGATCATTAAACTACTGTAGTTACAGTACATTCCCTGTTTTTGCCATTGTTTCTTTGTTACACACCCTGCTAAGTTTTAAGTCAGACCCTGTATTTTGGTTATTAAAATGCTTATTTAAATTTCCTGGAAAGCAGGTTAACCTGTTCTTCAGGTAAGGAAGACTTTCTTGTTATATTACATAAGCCAGGAGAGAAATGGTGGTTTTGTAAGACTGACATTCTCAAACATGTAGGTATGCTTCACAGTTGCTTGACAACATACTGCACTGTGTGCAGGTTGCTCTTTATTGGTGTTGAGCCTGTTGATCAGTGCATTGTACTGTAGGTCAGGAACTTCTGTAGGCCTTCCTCGAGTTTAAACTGGTTTTAAAAGGAATATCCAGGGACAATTTATAAAAGATATGGATTAACAAAAGGTATTTATCAGTATCTGCACATCGCTTTACTATTATAAGGTGCCTTTTCCTAAATATGAACAAGATGAAGGGCTCTAAAGAGTCCTTTACATCAGACAGCAGACTGATGGAATGGTGGGACTCATGTAATAGCTCATTTATTCATGTAATGCAGGCTTCACTGAAGCACAGAGAAGCCAAAATTAGGAGGAGAAATATTGCTGCATACTTAAGCCTCACATCCAATGCCCTTGATACATCAAGTACAGTATCAGACTCAATTACTGTATCCTTCAATAAATCTTGATTCTCACATTTTTTATGTTGCATGCAGCAATCTTTCCAGATGTAACAATATTTGAATGTCCCTCTGCCTGTGCTGAGAGCTACATGTGCAGTGGAAATTTCCAAGCCAGGGGAGGATAGTGTGCTTTGATTGCTTTAATGTTTAATGACTTTGGGACATGTTTACATTTTGTTAGCAAACTCAGTCATTTGTTAAATTGGGGCAGCAACATACCTATGGCCACCACTTTGCTATACCACTGGAGACTTTTAAAAAAATAACCATTCCTGCTTTTGCTCAGAGGGCATGAAAGCAGCATGCAGTTTCTTTTAGTAGCATAATCTTGTGCTGTGTACAATTACAAAGACATCTGTATACTGTATCAGGAATGTAGGTTGCTCTGAGTTTCACATTTTGAGTCTAGAGTGCCAAATTCATCTCTGCTAATGTCCGACATTATATAATGAAAAACGGGATATCTACCCCTCACGTCTATTTATCGTGGACTTAAACGCATAAACCGAATATTAACTCAGTATGCTTTGCATAATGAGCATTATCTACTCAACTGATTGATATAACCACATCAAAACAGCAAAAGCCAACTTGTGAAACATCGTTGAATTTTTGGTTGCTCTTTTGTTCAATAAATGCATAGAAAAAAAGCCTTTTAAATGTCAAATAATGATACTCTCACTTGGATCACGTGCATTTAATTTCTTTCAGAAAATCTGCACAGCAGTTTACTCGAGCGCAAAACAGTACTTGAAACAGCCCTAAAAATGCGAGAACAAAATCTCACATTTTAAGTCCTTCACTGCAAGGTCTGGAAACCTCGTGTCAAAATGCGCGAATTCTATCAAGTACAACCCTGAATTATCTGAAATATAAACCGAGCATTTACAGGAAGGTGGTCACCCGTCTAACAGCAACTAAAACCTCTTCAAAGCGCGAATCGCACACGGTAAGAGAGTGATGCACTGTCCAGAAACCGCACTTTGCATTGCGATTTCTGCAAGCTCTACGGTGCTCCTCCAGACAGTCCTGTATTTTTCCATCGAACGCTGCGCTCGATCAGACGCACGTGACCTGTCAACAAATTGCAGGCTGAACTCTCAATAAAAACCCTTTAACTTCTGGAAAATATTCTAAGTTTGCGACGTTTGTTAAACTATATATATATACGCGCACATTCGCTATGTGCACGCTCAGCACGCTGTCTCTCCTTTGTTTCGTTATTTTAGCTGACACCATGCGCGCATCATGCCCTCTGTTACTACACAACCACTCCCCTCAAAGCTAGTGGAAAATTACCAGGTTAGAGGAGACCGAGGAAAAAGAAACCAACTTCTCCAATCGCGCAGCGGCTCTCTAATCTGCTTGTTCGCGCACGATTTTCGGAAGGCCGCAACGCCGATATCACAATCCGTAACCTTACAAATATTTTAGACACCGCATGGGCACCCAAAAATTGTTTTTTTTAATTTATTATATCCAGCACCGTGGAAGATGCAAGTTTCCAGACGTCAATCAAGTGTTTTGAGCCAATCATGGCCGCACCTGGCAACTTGCAGATTCATTGTAACTCAGACGCGCACCAGGCTCCAACCAGATTGACAGGGCGATTTGACCAGTCAAAACTCAGATTGCAGGGGCTTCGTTCCGCCGTGATCCTGCCTTCTTTTTCGGCTCAAGGGCGGAGCGGTGGCGTGGGCGCCCGTAAGAATTGAAATAGACTGACGCGGGAATTGGCCAATAGGAAAATAGTTCAGCCGTCGCTAAAGTCCGCTCAGCCAATGGGCGGGGGGCATGGGCGTGACGTTGGTCCAAACTTTCCGCGGCGCCATCGGCTGAAAACTAAACCGAGATGGAATCTCCCAGTCTGAACCGGTTTCAACCGGTTATGAGTTTGTTGCTTGAGAGCAGAAGAAGCGCAGAGCTTACAGTCTCTTAAACCGCCCCGCTGCATAAAACATTTCAGAGAATAGAACAAAACTGTAATCTGGAGAGTATTTTGTTTCGTAAAATGAACCGGAATAACAAATTACTTAGCGTGCCGTGAATATTGCAGGAGAACCCACATAAGTGGTTCTTAATCTCAGTACTCATTCTGTGGAATAGTGTATAGAAATTCTTACCACGGTATTTAATCATTTTTCTAGATTCTCTGGCTAAAAAGCCACACGTATTTCAGTCTAAGCCTTGGATTTAGCGATTTACCAGGTAATTGTGGTTTTTCTGTGCCAGTCACTGAAAATATTGGGTTCACAAATTTGCAGAATAATAAAAAGAAACTTACTGTAATTCACTGGTGGAATTAAAAACCAAAAGGAGGGGACAGTGATTTAAAACGTAGGTAAGTAAACGGTGCATAGGTAAGGCTTTTCAGGATTGTGAGAGGGGGTTCTGTGTGACATTAAAACTCATGGTGGTGCGTACAGCGATAGTGGAGAGTGGAGGCCTGTTGAGAAATTGAATGAAAGTAAATCCAACCACTCAGAGCGCTCGCCAGCGGACGCAGTGGAGCAGACGCCTTTGCCGTGTTGTTAGCGGAGAAAAAATGGAAAAGCCAGAGTGCGAAGGAAAGAAATTGTAGAAAATGTGAGATGGAAGCGAGGTGCAATTGAGGGGAAGTTTCTAGAAATGTTTTTTTTTTCCCCGAACAGTAGCGAATCGACTATGTGAGTCACGTGCTCAGCCTCCGCTGCCTCAGAGGGAGGGGTTGCTCTTAGTGCGTAAAAAATGATGTAAACAGAAGGAAATTAAAGACGATTTGGTGACAGTTTGATATTTTTTTATTTGTATTTGCGCGTAGACGGGGTACGCTTTCTCAGCTACTTGTAAGGACAAAGGGTTTTTTTTCTTTCAGGCCTTAAAGAAAAGGATGTTTCAAGTACCGAGCAGAACTACAGGCATTAGCTGGGAGTTGCACCAGTACTCCTTTTAGATATCCTCCAATAATGCCTGAGGTGTGTTTGTGTGGGAGAAAGAAAAAATAAAATTTAAAATGAGCAAAACGGTCCAGCATCATTCATTTTTTATGATGAAATTACAGGGAAGGTAAATGTTAGTTTAGCTTTCTTTTTGCTTAGATCAATGACCAGCCTGTCTTAACACTTGTGCATGCGGTCATAGCATATAAATCAGGCCCCGTGTAACGTGCCTGCCTTCTGAAGTGGCTAGATCTCCGCATGGTTTTAGTGAAATTTAAGACTGAAAGTGCCATCTAAATAACAATTATAGCTAATCCTTTTAATACCGCGCTTCCTTGAAAATTTTTTGCATTAGTGGCAGGAATTACCAATATCAGTAGACGCCAATATTGACGTTCTCTTGTAACAGTGGTGGATTGCTAAACGTGCGTTGCTTGAGCAGGCGTGCTTAGCAGGTGGGATACTGTTCAGTTTTGCTTTCGGAAAGGGCGGGTAAACTGGGTGTAGACGGGTCGGAGGTCTTGTGGGTGTTGTTGTTGGTTTAGAAGAAAACTGCCTGGTCCTGTTTGAAAGTGCTCTTGCATAGTGCTTCAATAACCGAAGTATGCTTGTTGTAAGGTTGTCCGCTGCGTTTGCCCAGTTCAGGCTCTGCTAGTAAACGTATTGGGAAGCGCCCCAAGTCCTGTGCCCACGCTTACCTGTAGTCTGTTTTCATCATAGACTCACTCCCCAGCCCGCCACCTACTTTCAGGTGTAGACTGATATCGATTAACATGTTTTGTTGTGGCCTTATTGATCTCCTTTGTTACAAACGTGCCCTAGATATTCCATTCTGTATAGACGAATGCCAAAGAGTTACGCCTATGTGACTTGTATGCAGTTTTTGATCTGGAGGGTCGTTAAAAAATTCCAAGAAGCTTCCTATATTCTATACTACGTGGTTTAGTTTTAAGATTAAACAGTCCAGTGAAGTGTCAAAGAGCTTATTTGAAGTTCTGAGATGTGTACTGTACTACGAATTCAGTTACATGCAGCTCTGTTTTGTCCTGAAAGACCTTCGGGCCAACAGCTGTTTGGAATTGTGTGCCTTAATCACTGTTCAATTCACATGACTTTGCCTGTTGGAATCTTTTTCTGTTGCAGTACTCTATGCCAGCAATTATGACAATGTTAGCAGACCATGCAGCTCGCCAGCTGCTGGATTTCAGCCAGAAACTGGATATCAACCTATTGGACAGTGTGGTGAATTGTTTGTACCATGGTGAAGGGCCACAGGTAAAAATGAATGATAAAACATTCTTAAATTAATGCATTACTTTTTTTTACATTTAAATGCTATGTAAAAGCTTGATCTGTAAAGCATCTTATTTTTAATCAATTTTGCAGTTGTGAAGAAGTTTAATAGTGCAGTATTCAGAATTAACATCTCATGCAACATTACTTCTAATATGCATTCCTAAAATAAATTTAGTATTGATAGCTTTGCTTGAACCTAAGCTTTCAATAACCAAATTACTTGATGGATTATACGATTTATAATAAAACAAATCTTTAAAAGGAGAGTGTGCCAGCACCGGTCCACGAGGCTGCACGTAAACAGTTTTAATAAGGTCTCTACATATTATCTTAAGAACTAGAAAAAGGCAATTTGGCCCCATTGAGCTATTTATAAATGAGGAAAATTTGAGAATTAGTTGGTACAAGGATTGATAAATCTGGGAGTCCTCAAAAGTGGGATTTGGCGACCTCTGGTGTGGAAAGAGAATAGGCTGTTTTTCAGGTTAACCTGAGGCCTGTACTCTTATTGACCTGCTTTGAGTGGACTTTTTCCTTATTGAAGCTAAGACCAACATCTCTAATGCTGTATTTAGTTACTCTTCTATCAGCTCACTTCACTTGAAATCATCTGTTACTTTAATAGCAAAGAATGGCACAAGAGGTGTTGACCCATTTGAAAGAACATCCAGATGCTTGGACAAGAGTCGACACTATTTTGGAGTTTTCCCAAAATATGAACACCAAGGTAAGCAAGACTTGGAATAATTACAGGAAGGACTGAACATCTGTACTTTGAGGAAGTCATAGACGAGTGCTGTGGTTTCAAACTCCATTAGGTTGAAAACTAAATTTTTATTTTGATTATATCAGCTAAGCAAGTGTTCTGCTTGTATTGTGGACTAAGCTTCCTGCTAGTTTGCTCTGGTTTTGTGTTCATGAAATGGTAACACAAATGTGCTTGTATATTTGGTTCAGGCCTAGCTTTCAAAGCTTTTCTATCTGCTCAACCATTTCAGTTAAAGTCAACACAGCATACTGCTTACAGTAAAATAACATTGCTTGGCATGCATTATTCATTTAAGAGTTTGACCTTTAATAGTTTAAAATGTCAGTCCTTTATAGTATTTCGAAATTTCAGTTATTCCAAAGCTTAATTGGTGAAATTCTCAGTAATCAGTTGTAATTGTTACCTGAATCTGTACTAATGCGTATCTATATACCCAAGTATATACATATGTATTTTAGTAAGGTTTTCTGTTTGGGTGAACTACGTGTAAGCTATTTTAGTGTATAAAAAGACTTCCTCAAAGTTATGGTACATGACAGTTTGCCTTTTTTTGCTTGCCTGTAAAATTGCTCTTTAATACTGACAGACATTACTAATGTTTGAGTTGATTTGTCAACAGTATTTTAATACACAAATTTGTAACTTGCGAAAATTGAGGTCATTAGCGGAACAGAAAGAAAACAAAAGGTAAACATTTCTTAAATTTGTCTAAATTTTTTATAGTGCATCGATTTAGCACTAAGACATTTGGCTTTTAATTATTTAATTTTTTATACAAGCTGTTACTATTTGATATTAATCTTAATGTTCCATTATGTTGATTGCTTGTAATAGGAAGAAAAGGGGTGTCTTCCTGTGCAACTGACACAGCTAGGCTTTGACGGCAGGCCTCCACAAGGTCTACCCTTTTGATTCCCTTTAACTGAATTCTGTTCATCAATTGTATTGTTTCATGGGAGGAGGGAGGGTTTAGGTTTACTGAATAGGTTCCATAAGACCTAAAGTACAGCAGGTATTTCTTCTGTAGGGATCATGTGCTTCTCCTTTTTTCATTCATTTCTTTTGCTGTCTCTCATCATAACATTCAAACCTTGCAATACAGTGGTGACATGATTGCAAGCAATTCTTTGTCCTAACGTTAAAGGTGTAATAGTTAATAGTTAATTATTTTATATAAAAAGAGCTGCATATACACCAGTGACACGCATCTTTAATTGCTAACCTCACTTGTCGTATGCTTTTTTCATTGCACAGGATCATGCTACCTTAACTGATTAAAACTGCAGTGTTTTGTTCTTGATCGTCCTCCTTTTTTTCCTCTTCACTTAGTGATCCCTATGGTTGAAATACTGGCGGGCCTAATGAAAAAATCACTAACCTTTTGAATACGTTCCGTTGAATTTTAATTTAAGAGAAATAAGGGGGGAATGGAACTGATCTCATTAGTAAACCTGTGGGTTGTCTTGCTGTTCCTTAAGACAAACACCAGTTGAAGGTGTTCTAGTGTATTATGCGGGCTGCAGCACTTGCTGTGTTTGTATCTGACAAGTTTGTCAGGAAGACTGGTGGCTGGATGCTTCAGTGCTGTCTGGTTTGCTTAAGTCTTAATATCTGGTAATTAACCAGAGGTTAACTCTTTCTTTTAAAATTGTATCTTAATATTTCTCTGGCTCCCATTTGTAAGCAGCCAATATTGAATCACTCCTTTTGTGTTTTCTGGTGTATTACTGTGGAAAAACAGCAGGACTTCTACAGGGTTTGATCTTAATGTTGATACTTGTAGCAAATCATAAAATCTGCATGAACCGTGTCCTAGTACATTAAAACGGTAATACAAATTCTGTATGTTTGCAATTTTTTTAAAATGTGGTATTTCAGGCAGGCATAATTAAGAGCAAATATGTTTTTCAATGTGCACAATTTTAATGTTTTAAAAGTTTTTTTGAGTTACCAACCCCTAACTTTTATTTTCATAATGTATTACAGTACTATGCACTGCAAATCCTGGAAACGGTTATTAAAACAAGATGGAAAATTCTACCACGAAATCAATGTGAAGGTAAGACCCATAATTTTTTGTGTTTTTGGTATTTCTACATGTAATACAAAGTAATAAAATACTATTTTAAATAAATGTGAAACATCTGAATTGGTGCCAAGTTTAAGGATTGAATGTTCTTAAAGTAACAGATTTTTTTTCTTGAATTTTGCTTTTGGTGCAATCAAGTGCCTAATTAGGGATTTCAACCCATGACTTCAGTCTAGAGCCTTAACCACTGCTCAATACTACTGCCACTTTGCCAGCACTTGAATAGTGTTGTGAACACCATAACACCAGATTCAGGACTAGGACAGGATAGACCTTAAGATAGTCTCATTCATAATTCTGTTTTCTACAGTTAGTGTGCACCACTGGAAGCTGTTAAGTAGCTATAAGAAAATCTGAGTTTTTGTAACATTTGCAACCCCTGCAAAATAACATGTACAGAAGGGTGGAACTGCTTTTTTGTTAAGATTAAGTAACTATTTTTAAAGCACAGTGCAATGTTTTGGGAGGAAAAGGTGATAAGTATCCATAAATATGTTTTCTTGATCTTTTGAAATAGTGTTTTTGTGCTTTGGAATGGAGCTTCATATCCTTGAAGACTTTAATAATCCCATTTTGCACACTCATAATCTTCAAAATTATTGACGCACTTAATGTTTGCTGATTAGAAAATAATGGGTGATGTTTGCTTAAGATGCTGGGGAAAAACTACACTTGTAGTAAACCTTATTTTTCCATCTGTTACTGATTTGTTAGGCAATGAAACATTCCAGCTTTGCCTCAATGAAATGTAGAATATAAAATGTAAAAGTAGATTATTTAGATTACCTTGTATGTACTCAGTCTTTGCAAAACTACATTAGTTTCCACTATTTTATCAAGGGAATCTGAGAAATTCAATGTTTTAATACAATGAGTGTTTGTAACGTAGGCCAATTTCTAGAAAAAACAAGTGTGTGCCCTTTGAATTTTTAACTTGATACATTTCAGAATAACCTCCAATTTGCTGAAATTTTGTAAAATTTACTAGAGCTGATTTTTAGCTAGTTAGATGGAAAACTCTTACATTTCAGGTAATCCCTATAAAATTAATGTGTTTTTTTAGACACCTTTCATGGAGCAGAATTCATTTTGTGTATACAATTTAAATGTGAAGTTGTAATTGCTTCCTAAATGCAGGGAATTGTAACTGTTCAAAACTATATAGTAGGTTGTCATTGGAAGAGAAAGATGTTGTGGCCAGGTAAAGTAACTTGGGCAAGAGAAAGAATTAGGTTGCCACTTGTGCTCTGAAAATGCTTTAGGTAAAATGCTTTAGACAAAATAGCAAAATACAAGTTGTGTAACTTTAAATTACTATAATAAGTATTGTGAAGACTTCTTGCAATATATACCACTAGAATGTGAGAAAAGAATAAGCATCTTCACTTGTATGTATAGCAGATGGCATAGTCTATAAATGTGTGTTCTGTTCTGAATAACATTTATTCTGCTGAGAGAGAACTTCTACAACAGGTGGGTGTTTCTATGAGACAGATTGAGTGTTTTCAATTTTAACACAGGGACACTGCAAATATTGTTAAATGTTTTTTTTAGAGAATACCAGACACTGTCTCCACTACAGATTGAATACCTTGTGAGATTTCCAAGGCTTGGAACTAGAATCTTGAAACTTCTAACACATGATCACAGGTTTACAATCCATAGTTGTCTAGAGTTATCAGTAGAGTTATACAATGCAGCCTAATGTAGTATCTTGAACATAACTATCCATTTGATTAAAATGTTTTTATAAGGATTGTAACTATAGTCTCATTTGTGAAAGAAATTGTAAGCCTATTAATGGTAACAATTTGAAAAACAGAAACAAAAGGCCTCTAAGATTGAATTTTTGATTGAATATTTATAATTAGGGCTGGAAGTTTTTTTTAATTGGATACCTACTTTTTCATTTTATTTTTAAATGGCTTTTTATATTGAATCATTGAGTCTTTCACTTCTGACAGTAGATGAATTTATTCATGGTATCGAATACAAGCGACTGGCAAGTATGTCATTTCAGGCAGCATTTGAAGTTGAAGAGAACATGGCTTAATGATCCAAGTATACCTCTTAGTTGAGTCAGTTATATTCTAAACTTCATGTTCATTTATAAGTTAAATAGGTGAACGAGGTGAATTTTCTTACCCTTTTAAAATTATTTGTCAGAAGGGGGCAACTAGCCTTTGAAATTCTCGTTAATTGTAGAAGAAACTACAGATCTTGAACTTCAGGTAGGAGTGGGTTGTATCCCTCAATTCGAAGGGCTTTGTTTCATGGGATTATTTTGACAGCTAGACTGACACAAAAGTAGAATTGCAAATGACCGTTTCTTCTCAAGCTTACTTGACTCCCAGCCCTATTAGCAATATTCCATTTTGCAGTTATAACTATTTAAAGTTTTAGCTTCAACTTGGTTGTTTATTTGCTTTTAGGAATCAAAAAATATGTTGTTGGTCTCATTATCAAGACTTCATCTGATGCGACAAATGTAGAGGTAAGTTGAGCATTTTTTGCTTGCCAATGGCAAATATTTTTCCCCCTGATTTTTTTAGGTTCAATGAGGTGCCTTTTATGGCTTTTTCACACTGACACACTCAAGCTGAGCCTTTCGCTTGTTTCTTGTAGGCCGTTTTGCCTAGTTGTGGCAAAGCTGTGAGATGGCAGCTTCACAAGCTGTCTGTCTGGTACTGGGTGGGCCGGGGTGGCGGGGATAACAATCTTGTCTATTTTTGAATGCTTGAATGAGAATAAAGATCAAGGCACTTCTGGCCCACAGGTGGTGTTGATTTACTGTGGACTTGTTAATGTGACATTGATCTGTCAACAATACAGTTATGGTTATAGCTTGATTTAGTTCTTAAAAATTCAAAGCGTGGGTTTTTTTTTCCATAGGAACATTGAAATTCAGCATTTTTCTGTCATTTTTGTTTTAGTTTCTTTTTGATGGAAAATTCATCACAGAAACTAGAATGGATTGTTGTGCAAGAATAGACGTTTTATGTTTGTGTGAATGGGCAAAGTGTACTTTTTTTGTTTGGGATCAGGAAAAATGATATTTTGCTGCATTCCAGTATTAACCCTGTTTCTAGTGAAACTGGAAACTTAGGAAGCTTTTAAAAGCTCAGACTTTATATCTTTTGAGTAATCTCATGGGCTCTTATTTTCAGGAAGTAGTGTCATAATGTATTAAAAATGATCAAATACAATGTGAATACTAGGAAATGTTTAGGCTAACAACTCTTAGTGTTGTACTATAAAATCAAGATTTTGGTGGTATAGGCTGATTTCTTGAAATCTTACATTTCATAGAAAAAAAACAGATTTTGTTGTGTTAATGACTGTGAGTAACTTAAACCGTTGTATAAGCACTAAATCACCTCTAATAAACTAATAAAGCCCTGGGTATCCAAAGATCAGTATGTTGGAGGCTGGACGAAGCACACTCTTGCTGGCATGTGGGACATTAACAGCCAACATTTTTTAACGTAACAAGTAAAGGTTTATTCCATGCTGAAAAGAGAATTAAAGAAATGCAACGTTTTGGCTCTGGAGACGTCTTCAAGTGTCAAGAAGGACGCCGCACCCGAAGAAACCTCCAAAGCTGAAACATTGCGTTCCCTTTCTTTTTTCAGCGTGGAAACGCAGCTACCTGATTTGAACATTTTTTAACGCTACGAAGATGTTACAAGAAGTTACAGCCAAACAGTCACTCAGTAATGGACCACAAATAGTGACAACTTACCAAAGTTGAGGAAGCAGATGACAGTAGTTGTTCACAGTTCAGATGACTACACAGGTCCAGTGCTGACTAGTGCGCATCGGTATAAAGGAATGAGCTGGTGTGAGCTTCACTAGCATTTTTGTGTAGATCATCCTGTTTTGTTTTATACGTGTGTGAGTATGGTGCAGAATAATACACTAATTGTTGTCTGCAGCAGACTAGTCGATGAGGAAGTCCAAATTTGAGGTCATGGGCAGAAGTCTTTAGCAACTAATCACTTGTGGGGATAAGATGCCATCAATCACCTTGCTACATTGATCAAGTCCTGTGGCCTTGTTTTCTATCCATTCTGCAGGCTCATCTTATTCTTAGGTGGCAAGAATGTAACAGTTCTGCCTGGGAGGGCCAGATTGCTATATTTCTGCCCCATTTAAAGCTTTGTGGATTGAGCTGGGACATCTGTGGCTTGGAGACCAGTGAACAGATACTTGTTCATACTCTAAGGGAGTAATGGGACAGAATCCCACGAGTTTATGCAAACTGCTCTAAAGCATACTCTTCTTGCTGTGGCAGCCACACGTGACTAACAGTAGAACTGTTGATTTTATTAACAAATGTTAATTAACCTAATATCTGTCTTGTCAATGTATCTGCTACATAAAAGTAATTTTCTGCTTTAGAATTTTGGCTGTTGGTTACTTTCTTTTGATGTTCATTATCTGTGTACATTTCACTTTTTGTGACTGGTGCTTCATGTAGAAATTATGTGACTTAATGTGCAAAATGCAAAGCAGTCACTGGGGACAAAATAAATACGTAGACTTCCACTTAACCAAAATGATTATACAAAAACCGCTGTTGTGGTTTAGTACAATGTTAAACCTTTTTTATTACTTACAGTAGACCAATTTAGTTTTACATTGTCAGTATGTATATTGCTGATAAGTCAACATTTCCACAAGTACTTGTGATGTTTTCCAGACAGTTACTTAGCATTTATGATGATTATGCCATATTAAGCATTGAATGTGTGTTATGTGCTTTAGGCTTTTTCAGATTCTTTTCAGTTTTGTGTTTAATTTATTGGTAGTTTCAGAGATATTTAAAACAAAAGTTTATCTTGGCATTAATTCTCTTGCATTATACCTACACCCTTATTCTCTCCACCTTTGTCAAGTCTTTCAAGACAGCGTGGAGATTTGTGAAAAGAACTGAGTCCTACTCATCTTGGCTTGGGTATGCCAGTGTGAAAAGTGTTAGATTTGCCTTCGATTTCATGGAAATTAAACTTGTGGCCTTTTCACACTGTTAAAGATTAGCTCATAATGTATTATTGTAAAGTTTTAAGAAGTAAATATTTTTTAAATTTCAGAAAGAGAAGGTGTACATTGGAAAACTGAATATGATCCTGGTCCAGGTATGTTTCAGATTCTAAAATTTTAATAAATCATTGTCTATCAATTAGGAAAGTTGCATAGAAAGAGAAAAATTGCCGCTCTAAAAGATGGATGTATTTCTGGGGTGTTCCAGTTGACTGTCATTATTTGCTTTTGTAAATTGCCTGGTGGTTTCAATTCAAATTAAGTTGGATTTGATTAGAGGTAAAAGTTTTTTATAAATAAGAAACCAAAACCCCTTATTCTCCCAAAAAACACATTCTTTAATTCTTAAAATTGTATTTTATCTACAGATACTGAAACAGGAATGGCCTAAACATTGGCCAACATTCATAAGTGACATTGTGGGAGCAAGTAGGACCAGTGAAAGCCTGTGTCAGAACAACATGATCATTCTCAAACTTTTAAGTGAAGAGGTCTTTGATTTCTCCAGTGGGCAGATGACACAAGTGAAAGCAAAGCATTTGAAAGACAGGTACTGTAACAGGTCTATATACCCCATTATACGTTAATGACCTTGAGTTGTATTGTATTAAGAGTCTAAGGCAGTCCTCTGTCTTTTATAACCTGGGTTAAGGGCATATTAGTAACTCCAATAGTCTCTTTTCTCTTTGGACATTGTGAAAATATGGAAACAACTTATTATCCGATGACTGAAGGCAGTAACTCATTCTTAATTGATCTGTTCATTGACATGTAATCTCAGCTCTACATCATTTCCAGAGAACATGGTAAGGTTTGTGGTCTATGTAGAAAAGTCCATAATTTCTGGTTGATAAATTGTAAATACAGATGGGTGCAATAAGTTAACTTGTTTTTTTTTTCTTCTAGTATGTGCAATGAGTTCTCACAGATATTCCAACTCTGCCAGTTTGTTATGGTAGGTTGAATCTTGACCTAAGGGTTTACTTTATGCATTAAATTGAGACTTGTCTCATTTTGCTTAAAAAATGAATTGTTCTTTACAGGAAAACTCCCAGAATGCTCCACTTGTACATGCAACCTTGGAGACGTTACTCAGATTTCTAAACTGGATTCCACTGGGATATATATTTGAGACAAAACTCATAAGTACACTTGTATACAAGGTAGGTTCAAAGCTTCATCCGAACAACTCAGGTTTCCTTGAAGTCCACAGTGGATTATTTACAATTCGAAATTTGTCTGTTCAGGATTTGACAAGTGTATTCAGGGTTATTTTTGTTTAAAACTCATTACATTTTTTTAAGTATTAAAAGTTACATTGACACAAAAGATTTGAGATGTTTTTAAAAGGCTAGTTGCTTTTTTATATAAACTGTATAAGGTTATCTATTGGTGCACGATGTAAATTGATTAATCCTTTTAAAACTTTCAGTTTTTAAACGTCCCAATGTTCCGAAACGTGACTTTGAAGTGCCTGACAGAGATTGCAGGTGTGAGTGTCAGTCAGTATGAAGAGCAGTTTGTTACTCTCTTTACTCTGACAATGATGCAGCTCAAACAAGTAAGTATTTTATTCTGTATTCAAATTGTTGGTGCTGTGCTGTTTTTATAATTAAGAATGCAGTTATTTTTAATGGGAGAAAACAGATTATTGTTCAAGATTGCATTAGGTGCTAGTTTAAAGTTTCAGTGTCTTACTGAATGTATTTGGTTTTTAAACATTTTAAACACCTCTAAAAAGATAGAATTTGTAGTTAGCAACACTTGTGGGATTACCCTATTGAGCGTCCAAAATGTTTGGCTAGTTGTGAGGAGATCGATTCAAACTAAGTAAGCACTTTAAATAATTACAAATTTGAGGAGCCCTGTAGGAAGATAATAGCTATGTGATCCAAGGATTTTCCTAGGCCATTTCTTCAAAGAAGTGAGGGTAGCGGCTTCAACTTAATGGCTAGGAAGCTTGTTCTATACTGCATTAATACAATTGTGTCTTGAAGGTCTCTCCTAAAATACTTTTTGCTCTACAGATGCTTCCTTTAAACACCAATATCAGATTGGCATATTCCAATGGAAAAGATGATGAGCAGAACTTCATACAGAATCTAAGCTTGTTTCTCTGTACGTTTTTGAAAGAACATGGGCAATTGATTGAAAAAAGATTAAATCTAAGGGAAACGCTAATGGAGGTAATTTCCACAGTCTAATATTAAAGCAATGGCTGCTTTTTAATAGTCAACAATTTATAATTGGATAACTTTCATTAATTTTACAGGCTCTTCATTACATGTTGTTGGTATCGGAAGTGGAGGAAACAGAAATTTTCAAAATTTGTCTTGAGTATTGGAACCACTTAGCAGCTGAGCTTTATAGGGAAAGCCCATTCTCAACAACAACATCTCCACTGCTGTCCGGAAGCCAGCACTTTGATGTTCCTCCTCGAAGGCAGCTTTATTTACCTGTGTTATCCAAAGTAAGTGTTGTGACCAGCATTGTTTTATATAAGAAATCGATGCATAGAAATTGTGTAAGCAGTATAACGGTAAGGAAGAAAATCACCAGTGTTTAAAAAATGTTTTCTCCAAGGTTCGTCTGCTTATGGTGAGCCGAATGGCAAAACCAGAAGAAGTTTTGGTTGTGGAGAATGACCAGGGAGAAGTTGTCAGAGAATTCATGAAAGATACAGATTCAATCAACTTGTACAAAAATATGAGAGAGACCCTTGGTAAGCACTTTTTAAAAATAAAATTCAGTTGTTGCATTTGATAAATTTAAGTTGCATATGTCTTAACCTTAAATCAATTTATTTTTTCTCTGTAGTGTACCTTACACATTTAGACTACGCAGATACAGAGCGCATAATGACAGAGAAACTTCACAATCAAGTAAATGGTACAGAATGGTCTTGGAAAAACCTTAATACCCTGTGTTGGGCTATTGGCTCAATCAGTGGAGCAATGCATGAAGAAGATGAAAAAAGATTCTTGGTCACTGTTATTAAGGTATGTACTTAAATCTGAATAATGTAACAATTTAACAAGAATAATGATGAGGTGGTATTTTAGGTATATTCTAGGTAAAGGTTCTTTCAGCTTTAAGTGTACATGTTTGTGAAGAGTTAAAGAAATGTTTTTCCTCTTTACATTTATAATGGATTGGTTGTATATTCAGCAGGTCCAGCTCAGTCAAAGTGAACTTGATGATTGCATCAGAAATGTAGGAATAGTTTTGAACTGTAAAAGCCACCAATACAGGGGAAGCTGAATCCTCAAGCATTGCAAGATTCATAGTTTTTCTTTTTTTTTTAAATTGTTGGACATACATTCTCGGCAATTCCTGTGGGTTTGTCTTTCATATTTTTTGTTGTTTTAAGTACTCATTCTTTGTACAAAATAGTGTATTTTTTAATTAACAATGTTTGCTGAATTAAGTTTGAAATTGTAAATTGATTTATATGATTGTTTTTAGGATTTACTGGGTCTTTGTGAACAAAAGAGGGGAAAGGACAACAAAGCAATCATTGCATCTAATATCATGTACATTGTGGGCCAGTACCCACGATTCCTCAGAGCTCACTGGAAATTTTTGAAAACTGTGGTCAACAAACTGTTTGAGTTCATGCATGGTAAGTACAGTGAATTGAATCTAAACCTAGATGTTGAACCTAAAGGTATAAATGACCGATTTAAACCAGAACAAATAAACAACAAGTATCCCATCTTCACTTGTTAACTTCTGTAAGATTTTCATCTAGCAGTTGACCAATTACCAGTTACACCTGTACCTGCCTTTTCAGTTTACAAACTGAGTATTGCAAAATGCTCTCTTGGAAAGTTGAAGAGCAATACCTTTTACTTAGTGATAAGTAAAGTGTCTTGTTGCTAGAGAATAAATTAATTACAAAAGCGATTTGTGTTGCTTTTCAGAAACCCATGATGGTGTACAGGACATGGCATGTGACACATTCATTAAAATAGCACAGAAATGCCGGAGACATTTTGTTCAGGTGCAGGTTGGAGAGGTAATGCCCTTTATTGATGAAATTCTGAACAACATCAACACGATCATCTGTGATCTTCAACCACAGCAGGTAAACCTAACTTGTTCACAGTACTTTTAAATATTCTTAATGTATGGAGAACCTAAAACCACATTTAGCTTAAGTGTGTATTTTGAAGTTAGTCTCATAAGTGTTCATTAAGAGTTTAATTAAGATGACCTTATTTTGTGTGTTTTTTTTTTTAAAGTGTAAATGGTGTACTGGGAAATTAAAATTGTGTAACAGAAGTGTATTGCAGTGGAATGGCTTACTTTTAAGATCACTGAAAGCATACTATCTTAAGCCTTTACCTTTTTTTTTTTAAAGGTGCATACTTTCTATGAAGCTGTTGGTTATATGATTGGGGCACAGACTGATCAAGCAGTGCAAGAGCATTTGATAGAAAAATACATGCTGTTGCCTAACCAAGTGTGGGATAGCATTATTCAGCAAGCAACCAAAGTAAGTAATGTCAGCAAGGTATTGAATGATTCTTGTTGTATTCTAGTTTATACTTTGCAGGCCTTGGTTAAATTGAAAGTTCTGACATGCGGCGACAGAGCTAGGTTTTATCAAGTACTTAAAAAGACAGATACCAAAAGTGGTGGTCTAAAAATTCAACTTTTAAAACTTTATCTGAAAAACATTATAAATAGAACCTGGAAATTATGAAGTTCCCAGAAATTCTCAAACTGCTTTTAATGAGACGGGTTCTTGTAACATGGATCTAAAATGCCTGCATTGTTTCTTATGTTGTCTAAATTTTTATTTCAAATAGAATGTAGACATTCTGAAGGATCCGGAAACAGTGAAACAGCTTGGCAGCATCCTGAAAACGAATGTGAGAGCTTGTAAAGCTGTGGGACATCCATTTGTCATTCAGCTTGGGAGAATCTACTTGGATATGCTGAATGTGTACAAGTGCCTCAGTGAAAACATCTCTGCTGCAATTCAGACAAACGGTATTTTTTTAAAAATATGGATCATAACTGCTGGGGAGGGGGTTGCTTCTGTTGAATGTTAATTTTAATATACTTTGAGAAGAAATCTATAAATAGAGAATACAACATTTTGGTATATTCTCTGAGATTACACCTGAAGGGGAAAAGAATGAACATTTTCAATTAATGTAAACTCTTTATGTAAGCATTTTGGCAGATTACTGTTGAAATTGGTGTTTCATTTTGATTATGCTTTTTCTTAATGTTAACAGGAGAGATGGTAACAAAGCAGCCTTTGATAAGAAGTATGAGAACGGTGAAAAGGGAAACACTGAAATTAATTTCAGGTTGGGTCAGTCGTTCTAATGATCCACAAATGGTAGGTTATTAATTTTATTTTTATATAGTTTGTTTTTGGGTGTGTAAAAAAACAATTTTGCTAACTTATCGCCCAAACTTGGTTTTGCAGGTGGCAGAGAACTTTGTACCTCCACTTCTTGATGCTGTGTTGATTGATTACCAGAGAAATGTTCCAGCAGCCAGAGAACCTGAAGTACTCAGTACAATGGCTACAATTGTGAATAAATTGGGAGGACACATCACAGTTGAAATTCCTCAAATCTTTGACGCAGTATTTGAATGTACTTTAAATATGATAAACAAAGTAAGCTTTCTGTGTTCATCCTGAAATTTATATTTCTGCTTTGAATCTTAAAATAGTATTCTACAGTTAACTATATCCTTCAGTGTTATTTATTAAAATCGATAATATCCAGAATTTTTCAATTGTTTTGAAGAAACGTGCCATGTAAAATAGTCTCTCTAGCCTCAGAGTTGTCACTATGGAAATTCTTGAGAAACTTTTAGTTATTGTAGTTAGCACTAATTTATTTTCCTGCTCAGATGTATACATTAATTCTAAAATTTTAAAATTCTATACATTTTTTAATTGGTAAATATCAGAAAAACTCTCTAGTGCCTTCCACTAATATTTCATGGTATGAAAAGATGAAGATCAGACAATCAGACAGTGCAGCAGACAATGTCAGGTCATTAATGTTGTATTAATTGCTTTTCAGGACTTTGAGGAATATCCTGAGCACCGAACACATTTCTTTTATCTGCTACAAGCAGTCAACTCGCACTGTTTCCCAGCATTCCTGGCCATTCCTCCTGCACAGTTCAAATTGGTATTGGATTCCATTATCTGGGCTTTCAAGCATACCATGCGAAATGTGGCTGATACAGGTGCGTTTAAATCAGAATTCTTTTCCAACTTAACTGCAAAAAAAGAAAAACAATGAACAATTCTCTCTGCTTGTACTCGTTTTAATATTAAAACTCTTCTGTTCTCAGGTTTGCAGATTCTGTATACTCTTTTACAAAATGTTGCCCAGGAAGAAGCTGCAGCCCAAAGTTTCTACCAGACATATTTCTGTGACATATTGCAGCACATCTTCTCCGTAGTAACAGATACATCCCATACTGCTGGTAAGAAATCTATCCATGATCTTCAGAGTAATGCAAGTCTTTGAGTTTTGTTTTTGCTAGTTTGTTATAATTGTCATTTTATTTCAATGTGAATCTGTATCCATCAGACCTTTTGTGCTAAGAATGAAATGCCTAAATTGGTTATCTGTTCTTGCAGGTTTAACAATGCATGCATCGATCCTTGCATACATGTTCAATTTGGTGGAAGAAGGTAAAATTAATGCAGCATTAAATCCTACAAATCCGGTCAACAACCAGGTGTTCATTCAAGAGTATGTGGCCAACCTTCTGAAAACCGCCTTCCCACATTTGCAAGAGTAAGTTTAAAAACTCGATGGACATGCCATTTAAATTATTTTAAATTACTTTTTTTAACAAATGTTATTTTTAATTTTCAGTGCCCAAGTGAAAGTGTTTGTAACAGGATTGTTCAGCTTAAATCAAGATATCCCTGCCTTCAAAGAACACCTGCGGGATTTCCTGGTACAAATTAAGGTATATACCTAACTCCTTTATCACAAATTTAAAGTATTCAGAAACTTGGCTCACATGTCCCTGCGAATTGTGCCTACTAATTTTGAACTGCTTTTTTCTTTCCCTTTGTATGCAGTTGCACCATATTTTACTTCTTATGGTTCTGTTATCTTTGAAATGTTTAGTCTGGCTATAATGAATATACCTTTTTCTTGAGAAAACAAATGAATTCTCCCCAAACTCTGGGGTTTCATTTATACTGCTGAATTCAGGCAGTCAGCAGCTGTGAGATTTTGACAGTGCTTTAAGGAATTTGACATGTGTTCCTTTTCCTTTAATAGGAATTTGCTGGTGAAGATACCACAGACTTGTTCTTGGAAGAAAGAGAAGCATCGCTTCGGCAAGCCCAGGAAGAGAAACACAAACTTCAGATGTCCGTTCCTGGAATCTTAAATCCACACGAAATCCCAGAAGAAATGTGTGACTGAAAATTGATGCTGCTTACTGAAGTGAACAGCGCTTTGGGTACTTGTTGACCAAAACAATGCCAATATGTAAATTATACAGTGTCACCTAGTGGCCCTTTTTACATAGTATGCGTTTTGTATGAGATCTTTTGCGTAATATCTTTCCATTGTTAATTCAAGTTTGTTTGGTCATCTTTATTTAGATCTGCATGAGATTGTAAGAATTAAAACATTTTAAGTATTTTCTTGCCCATCAGTTTGTCAGAGGCAAGAGAAACAGATTTATGTAAACTTCTACGTGTAAAGTCTACTGCAGAAAGGCTTCTAGAATCGTTCTGTTGCAGATACAAATGTATTCAATCTAGGGGATGCTGCAGTAATGTGGCATGCCTGTACTCTGCAGCATATGACAAATATTGCAAGTTAGAGGATTATAATTGAGGACGAAGATGCTGCTTTTGTCAGACAATGTAGGTTAAAGTTTGGGTCATGGTTGTGCTTGACTAAACTATCGCAGTTTGTGGCTAGACATGAATTTTGCAGCAAGATTATGTGCATATCATCCTATTGTAAAGCATCTTTAATAACACGGGAACACAAAAGTTGGTTATTTTTACAGATTTTTTTTGGTGTGTGTGTGTGCTGTCGCTCTGCCGACAACAGCTTTTTGTTTTCCTCAATGAGGAGCATTGCTCATTTGTGAGCCTTCATTAAATCGAAGTTAAAAGTGGTTAAAAATATTTATCGGTTAGCATAGGCTGCATCTTTATAACTCATGTTAATTCAGATGGCTTTTGAGACAAATTGTACTAATTTACATTGTTTACCATGCTGTAGTGCTTCAAGAACACTACTTAAGAGCAAAATAAACTGGTTTACATTTAATTTTGTATTTTTGCATTTTCATTTTTATCTTGAAATTCTATCCAAATAACCAAAAGGCTTTTATTCAGAGAATTGACAATTGCCAACAGTATAATTAGAAGAAGAATGTATAAGTCCAAATATTGAGAATTACTGGCTATAACTCCCTTCTAAGTGTTACATTTGTTGTGAACCTTTTTGAAACCGATTAAAGTTGAGAGAATTTTATAATTCATTGTCTTTGTTCTTTTTCCGCCAGTGCTTGGCAATATTTAAATAAATTTCATTATGTGAAGGAAAGTAAGTCCACTATTTTCATTTCTACAGTAAAATTTCATAACATAGTTTAACAATTCTAGAATTGCAAGTTAAGTGGTATGAGGTGGGTTGAAGGCTTAATATTTAGATTCACAAACGGAATAAAGGATTATTTTTACTTTATTGCCCTTTTGTTTTCCCTGGAGATAAAATTTGTCGGTCTTGCTGGAATTTGGAATCCATCTTGAATGGAAAAGTAGTTGTTTTACATTCAGCCATTTTAAACATTAAATCCTTTTTGGCTAAACTGCTGGTACCATCCAGGCAAGAAATCATTAGGCTAAGATATGCAACTATTATGAGGTTTTTGTGTAATTTCTAGTTCCACTCCTCAGAAAAGAGGACATCTCTTTCCAGAACCTCTCACACATACATTTTAACAATCCTGTTGCTGCAGTTTTACTTCATAAATAACTACCCTCTTCCATCTTTGGGCTACCAAAACCACCATTTATTTTAGATGGCGTGGTTAATTTTTTGTAAGGTTGAATCTTCTAAATGTTTTGTTTAAAACAAATGCTGAAAGCAGTGCCCATAGGAAAAACAGCAATGAGAATTGATATATTTTTGACCTTTCATGGCAAATACAAAGCTCATTTAAAGGCACTTTATATGGTTAAACTTAAAAACACGGACTACTTTGTATAGAGGAACCTTAAAGAAGAATATATCAGCAATGCTTTACACTGTTTTTGATCAAACTGGTTTTTGCTTCAAAAACCAATGCCAGTAGAAAATGGGTAAATGTATAGCAGTTAATTTTTAAAGAGATCAGAATTGCAGCAAAACAAAGTTATTTCAAGTGAAATGAGGAAGCTAGCTGATTGGTTCTTAGATGCCGTCATGTAGTCCTCATGTCCTTTTCAGAGCAAAATCTATTGGGAAGTTGTCTTTCAAGCTCTAAATCGAAAGGCTTAGATGTTGCAAATCTGCAGTCCTTGAACTGTCTCTTAAGTATTTTGGGAAAGCAAAGTATTTTTATTACCTTAAATGCCATGTTTGGTACTACTGGAGAGAATGTTCATTCCAACTTGACCCTTGATCCTTCTTGCTCATAGATGTAACTGCTGTTTGTTTAGATGTTCTTCTGCACCTTATTTGTAAAAGTGCTACATTTCAAACACTTTTGGCCTTTAGGACTTTAGTCTCACCCAAACTTTATAAATTAAAGATTTGTTTATTTTGCACTAAAAAGCTTTTAACAGGCAATCAATTGCCTAAACGTGCATAGATGTAAACAACAATGTTCCCAATATATTCCCAAAAGTAATCTTTATTTTTCTTATGCTTCATTCCAGTAGCACATTACAGCTAACGCACCTGAATAAGGGGAGTTCTGATACACAGGAATTGACACTGGCTTGATAACAATTGCAATGCCCATAAAATTCAACTACAAGAACAATTAAAATAAGGCTAAGATGAAAATTCCCAAATAAGGACTTAGCTGGAACAAAATCTAGAAAAGATTGCAGTCAGGATCGAGAGCCACTGATAAGAAGCATTGAATATACTACCACTCTATCTGTGCCATCAGTAGCCTAATCTGATCCGAAACTGAAACCATTAAGTCTGTGGAGAAAAAAAGGCATGTGTTAATTGAAGGAGTGGTTCAACTGAAAATATCCACATTTTTTCCTTGTTGTTCATACATCTTATTTAACTGTAACTTGTTACAATGCAAGACTGACTCATATCTTTTTTTAATGCATGACAAAATTATTCATGCTAAAAATGCAGTCCTAACCTTACATGGAAATACTAGACTGCTGGGTGTTTCAGCTTGAACAGGACAGAGTTCAGTTAGCAGTTTATACTCTCACATGAGCCTGCTTTAAAAGATATAATTTCACCTAACACCAGTTGATTATCATGAAGTTCAGCTTTCTAGCTAAAATTTTCATCTAAAAAAGTCAGAACCAAATATAAAAAGGAACATTTTCCCAAACCAATCAGTTTCCCCAAATAAAGCATGGAACATTTCTGAAAACCTGGATCACCTCTTGTTATTAGTATTATTAATTATTATTATTTTATTATTATTCTTTACTGTTGCGGTCTGTATCATTGCTAGGATGCTGTGCTAACCAGAGCACTAACAGCAGATGCACATTGATGGCTACAATAATAGCTACCATTACTGGGAAAACGACATCATCCTTGAGATTCACCATGAACAGGCCATGTCCAAGTCAAAGCGAAACTGCAGCACAGACCTTGTTTCACGTCTGAATCACAACCACGACTCTCAGTCACAAGGAATTGGAAATTGTCTGCTGGTTAAAGTTAATTGCTGATTTAGAAGGACTTGTGGCTAACTCAATACATTTTTTACCCTCGTATTAGTCTCCTGGTTTGACCTTTTCTATTGCCCATATGGGTATGTATGCTATGGCTCTGCTTTTATACTGAGGACATTTATCTCCTTTAACCTGTCCACCAAACCGGGGGGGGGGGGTTCATTCTGCACTCCTTAAGTCTTCCAAAAGCTATACTGTCCTACTGGTGGTTGGTACCCAAACTTGACAGGATTTTCTAATGCTATCTTACTAGCGCGTTTAAGGTGTGAGCATAACTTCGCTTGATATCAATTCCACATTTTTTGCTGTATACCTAAGCATTCTGTTTGCTTTTTTATTGCTCCCCCACATTATCTTGAAGGTGACCTTAAACAATCTACAGGAACAGCTAGATGGTTGGAATAGCTTTCTGCGTCTGATAATCACCAGTGTGACAGTCTACGTTCACTTTGCACTTTCATTCGTCTTTCAGCAATTCATTTTTCTATTTTTCAAAGATGTTTGTATCTAGTGCAAATTTTACTACGTTGCTAGTGTACCAGTCTAAGTCTTTGATATGCAGGTAAGACGTGCCTGGATTTAAATTGATTTTATCTTATAAATCTAGAGTGCAATGTTTGAACGTTTTTATTTTATCAATGAAAATGAAAGTAATCTACTCTACTTGTATTGCTTCAACGAAAAGATACATCGTTATCATCCCTTTTTAGGTCAGATTTGTTATTCAACGAAAAACCAAAGCGGCAAGCTGCCTAACCTTCAGCGGTTTGCTTGCTTAGAAAAAAAGCCGACAGTGTCACCTAGTGGAACGTATTGGATCTGTTAATAGTGTTGAAACAGCAAAGAAAATGCCTGCTGGTAACGCCAGAGTTCAATAAGGTTGACTTTAGTTCAGTCTAGACTATGGTTCTTCAGCTCTGGCCCTGTAGAGCATGGAGTAAATAATCTGTCTGCAATTAAACATGTTATTTACTAAATTTAGTAATTTAGAGATCATTTGAGGGGGGGATCAAACAGTACTCTGGTTGTGAATCTTAAGGGCTTAGAAAACAGAGTCCTGTCATTTAAAAAGATTTCTTGTTTAATTAAATAATAACAGTCAAGTGTTCTTACTCTTTAAAACCAGACTATTTTGGGTGACCTGTAAGACTAAACACTCCAGAACCAGTACTAGTTTAGATGTTCCTCTGCACAGAGTGTCAAACACAGCTTAGGCCCATTTCAGTGAGATACGTTTTTTATTAAACTCATGAGGGAACCTACAGAGCTTTAAAACATGCCCTGAAATGTTAAATATAACTTAAATAGAGCCTCTTATAGCTCAATCTATTACAACTATTAACAGCTTTTTGTCATGTATATTTGTAACTAATTCATGAATTAATTTGTGTGCAGTTTACAAGATGTAGACCTATTTTATTATTATTTTTTCTCATCTTTTTATCATTATAACATATGCAAAATGCATGCTAATATGTTCCTTGAATACACTGACCAAATTAGTTCAATAGATATGAAAACTGCAGAAAAATGTCTGAAAGAAATACAAACAAAATGTTATGAACTATGTACAGAGTATTCATTACCTGCTTCACATTAGACAATGTGTTTGACTGTGTAACTTTACAGACATGAAAATCAGTACCCGCAGGAGCCCCTAGAACAGGTTTCTGTTTTATTTTTATATAACAAATTAAATCAGATTTGAATATCTAGTTTCAGTCTTAAAATAGTGTGAAGGGACTTTAAATCAATTTAGTCCAATAGAAAAACAATTAAGAAAAAAAGTATATCAAGCAACATTAAAAACACAACAAAGGCTGTTTGGTTGCAATACTGAAGTGTCGCATGTGAAATGGCCATGCATAAGTGTAGGGCCTTGTGACGGACAACTGTCCAGTTCAGGGTGTATCCTGCCTGGTCCTCTTGGTTTTCTAATGCCAGCAGCTATTTCACCCTGCAGCTTACAACTAGCAGCCCACTGAAGCTCAACAGGTGTGAGCCTGGTCAGTACTTGGATTGAAGACCTCCCGGGAAAGCTAAGGTTGCTCCTAGAAAAGTTGTTAGTGAGGCCAGTGGGGGTTGCTCATGTTGTAGTCTGTGTGGGTCCTAATGTCCCTGTATAATGACTGGATATCAGACTGTGTATATACTGTATATAGATGGGGACACTATATTGTAAAAAGTTGCTAAATTTACATGAGATGCGAAACTGAGGTCCTGACTCTCTGTGGTCATTAACAAAAAGAGTAAGATAAGATTTATTGTTCCCTGAGGGAATTTTTTTGTGGACGGGGTGTTACGCAGTCATCCTGGCCAAATTTCCCATTGGCCTTTACCAATCATGACCTCCAAGTAACTCCATCTATGTGTTGGCTTCATCCCTCTGCTCTCCCCACTGATAGCAGGTGTGTGGTGAGTGTACTGTGTACACTATGGCTGCCATCGCTGCCGTTTTGCTTTCAGAGTTAGAAAGTATTGCATTCCTATATCCCTACATAAACCTTCATCAACAGCAATTAACCATTCTGCATCAAGCCTGTCTCTTTATGTGTGCATAGGGAGTGCATTCACCCAGGAGCTAAAGGCATCAGTTAACATACCGAACATATACAAACACAAACACAATCCAGTAACACTGAAGGTGCAGACATTCACAGTATAATACCTGCAGCACATATGTTTGAGCTTGGGAAAATGTTCACTGTCACCAAATCTACAATCTGAAAATACATTATCTTAAAATATTCATATACATTCGTATATATCTTTAAACACACAATTTTTCATACAACATTTTCAAGTACACGCCCTAATTGAAGCCAGTATATATTTTAACACCTCACCATGGTGACAGAATACATCATTTGGATTAAAATACTTGTTTGTAAAGAACAGCAGGATTTCTCAAGCACTCATGAGCATAAACAATTAGATGTTCACACCAAAAGATTCTCACAAAGCACTAAATAGTCTTGACACCCTGATTCACCGGATTAAATATGCTGATGAGTCATGCGTATTCATCACAATAATTCCATGGGATGATACATCAGATCCAGAAACATAATGGCTTATCAAGATTTTGTAGTGGTATTTCCCTGCAGTCAAGTCTGAAGATCATGAGCTAGATTCGTTAAGGACAATTCTCTTTACATTGACTGGATTAATTTACATGTAGCACAGAATCGTCAGCATTCCCCTACCATGTGGCGAAGCTGGAGATGTGGGCCAGGAGGCTGAATAGGTAGCTAACTAACAAGGTTATCACTCCACAGTCTGAACCTACGGTGGCCCAGAAGTGTTAAAACGCAAAAACAAAACAAAAATGAGAGCACAAAAAAAGAGTGAACATATAATGTGTTGAGATTGGAAATAGGTTATCACAATGGACATGACATCTGTTGTAAGGTGAGACGGAGGCTACAGACCAATGTGAGGTCAACTATAATTTATCCAGGCCATCTTCAAGGTAAATATGTGTAAATAATTTTTAAAAGAAGTAATTTAATTTAATTTAAAATACTATAAACTTAATATTTGTATTTCTGAATTAAAATCCGAAATGTTTTAAATAAGAAAACGTGCAAAGGAAGCCATACAGTAGATATGAGCTTGTGATGCAAACACAGCTCTGGAAAGGTTGCAGCACTTGATAGCACATTGCTTTGACCTCAATGTGGGCAAAACTACTGGTTTTCACCAAGCTGCCCTCCACAAAACGGACAGATCATCCTGCCGTCACTGTGTTTTCTGAGATTTAAGAAAACCTCACATCAGGAACTCAACACATGCACTCCACTCAGCGCTGCACTCTCACCTTACAACAGATGTCATGTCCGTTGTGATTACCTATTTCCATTTTGAACACATTTTTATGTGTGCACTCATTTATTTTTCATGTTGTGTAGGTTTTTGGTGCAGTCTTCTTTGTGCTCCCATTTTTGTCTGTGTTGTTTCATTTTTTGTTTGTGCTCTCACTTTGGTTTGTATTGTGTAGTTTTTTTTTTTATTTGTTTGTGCACTCATTTTTGTGTTTTGCACTTCTGGGCCACTGTGTGAACCACCATACCTGTCCCATCAAATAAAACAGCTACATCTGAGGACCTCAGACTTACTACCGGTAATAATTCCAAAATAGTAACTTTGGGGGTTTTCTGAAATCATCTGAGTTGATGTATTTATGCACACAGGAAATGTTTATTCAAATACACAGCACACTGCCAAGTTGTATCAGTTCTCATGCATGTATCAATCTGTGCAGCAAACATAAATCCTGCCTTCTTCAATGGGAATGATGGTTCCTTCTTTCCTGGAAAAAAAATACTGGATTTGGAAATGTATGTACAAAATATTTAGTTACAGTAACAATACAGAAAAATAAAAGCAGCCAGCATTTTTTTTATTTACAATAACAGAACAATAATTATAATTACAATAACTGAGAATGGAGTAAAGAAAAAACACAAAAGTTCACTTATCTAAGAGTCCCTATCTGTCAATGTGCTTCTGTCACTGGTCAGTAGATTGTTGTTTCTAGGATTTCCCTTTCAATTCGTGTCCACCAAAACAGATACACAAGAGGCAACGTTCAAGATCCCTCGATAAACAGTAAATCCAAATATATATATTGTATAAATCCTGTTTGTAAGTATAAAATGACTGGCTGAATCCCCCTCTGCTCAAACTCTGTCCATTTTTCTCCCTCCCAAAGTTCTAGACCTTTTTTTTGTGGCGTGTTCCTTTTTAACAATTTACATAATCATTCTAGTAAATTCTGTTCAAGAAAATTCAAGATAACACCAATTATTTACATAAAGCAATGTTACTTACAAATGATAAATATTCTAGTAAATCAAAAATATTTTCAAAGGTAATTATTCATTACATTACTGACCTGCTTCATTAAAGAGAATTTAAATGAAACAAAAACATTTTTGATCTGCAAACCTTAATGTTCTGCACAGGGCTGTATAGAATCACTGTGAAGTTATTCATCTCTTGGAACTGATCTATATCAGTCCTCTAAGTTCTTGTCATCTTCAGTTCACACTTGTGACAACATAGGACAGATGTCGGGGATTGTGACACTCACTGCTACAGGAACACACACTGCAGTTTCAGAAAAGCCAGAGCTGCTTCTACTGTGTTAACACCTGTTGGTTGTGTGGTGTCAATGAGCTCTCATATAGATTTGTGTGGTGAGGCAGCACTCCTCTCTGGTTTTATGGATGGAACCCCCCCAGAGACACGATACCGTACATCTGAAATATTGTAGATTTTGAGTGGCCAAATGAAAACATAAATTGCAAAGCAGCAGCATGGTAAGACCAAATCCAGTGTGGTTACGTTTTAGTCTGTGATTACAGGCTATTCTTAGGTGATAAACAACAAAACCATGGTTGTTTTATTAAAGGTTTACATATGGAAAGCAGCAAAAACTAGGTCAAACGCAGAATGCGACATGAGCGAATTGAATTCTGAGTTTCCAATTGTTTTTATCTAACAAAGAAAGTGGTTGATGTTTGAAGTAGATGCAGCTGTTAAATTTGCCTAAGTCAGTCTGACATCTGTCACTGCTCATGTCCCTTCAACAAGATGGCCACTTTGTACAAATTGTACATCGGAACAATTGGCTGTGCATTGAACAGTCAGGGATTCAAGGTAGAAACAGCTTTTATCAGTGAACCTGATTTAAAGCCATACTTGCACCAGACCACTTTGCCTGTAAAACTTACATCCAAGTCTGTCAGACCTTGAAACGTCTGTGAAACAGGCTCGTAAAAGCTACATCGTCGTGTGCAGAGCACGTTTCAGGGTGTCACTTAGTTTTTAAATGGTGCTTTACTCGAGATACAAATATCGTTATCGAGCAGTGGATCGCTCTTGAAGTTAGTCCAAGGAAGATCTCCGTGAGATAACTGGTGGTCCAGGGGTTGGAAGGAATGGTTCAATGAAGTAGTCGTTGCTCTGTGGACAGTGCTTGACATGATCACTGGGTCAGGAATTCTGGGGAGGACTCTACAGGTCATCATCAGGGAGGTGATCTGCAGGGCAGCTTGCAGTGTTTGGAAAATGTGTGTGGGTTTAAAAACATACAGGGTTCCTCAAACTACGTTTGTGCAACACCCATAACGTTCTGCATTAAAAACCATTTTAAAACGAAAATAGACTTGTTGCACTAATGATCGGTAATAAAAATATCACATCGATAGTCTTTACTTTGCTTGTTAGCATGCAACGCGCAATTTAAATTTAGAAATTTACAAACCAATTCACGAAGAGTGTCAACACTACTATTACTCCTAGTAATGATATGGTGACAGTAAAGTCACTGGGCCCCTGTATCAGCAGTATTTTGCAGTTATTGTTTTCGGACGTATGAGGAAAGGCAGATGTAGATTCAATTAATAACTTAAAAATAACCAAAACAGAAATAAATCGCGTAAATGTTATACGCGAGACGGGTTTTGTTAATCCCTCAATCCTGGAAATGTAACACACAGCCAGCTCCGCTCCTGATTTTTTTTTCAGTTTGGGGTTGCTAGGCAGCCATCTTGCCAACTCTCGGCTTTTTTCCCTTCCTTCCGCCTGACAGTGACTCAGTCCCTTTTCTCCAGTGCAAGAGAGACCGGAAAGAGCCGAAGCAGAGCAAGGAGAGTGGGACGGAAAAAGTCGATGTTGAGTGAATCCCCCCCACCCCCCCTTTTTCAAAATGGCTGCCGTGTCTGCTCCCTCCAGTGCTACTCCGATCGGAAAGTGACTCTCGACTCACCCGTCCTTATTGCTTCTCACTTCTGTCGCTGTCGTCGAGACTTTTGAAAAACAAATTTCATTTGCATCTGTTCACCTCCCCCATCTCCTCCTCTTCTTTCTGCTCCAGCCTTCAGCATCCATCGGGCCTTTTTTTCCCCCAAAACAACCAGCTCCCAACACTCTTCTGATCAATCAACAATTTCCAATGGTTTGAATACACTTTTCCTTTTTTCTTTTTAAATGAACAATGTGTGAAAACTGCGCCGAGCTGGTGGAGGTTTTAAATGAAAGTAAGTAAACAATCAACCTTTTCATGTTTCTAGCCCAGATTGCTGCGCTTTCTCGATTTAGAAAATACATATCTATATATTATTTTTCACTTTTTGCAGTTTCTGTTTTTACCACTAGTTCAGCTGCTGGTAGGCCTTCAGAAACGAGAAATTTGTAGGTCTATCATGTATCACGAAGAGGCCCGGGATTCACTTAAGGACAAGCAGCTGGAAAAATGAAGCCTTGAGTATTCCGAAATCGGTAATTTATCTTTCCAGCTGATTAACTTGTTCCGCTGCAAGAGAAGTTGCACGGGCATGTCAAAATCCTCACGCTGTGCACGGCGGCGAGCAGAAAGTTGGGATCATTTTGTGGTTTTGCAGGTGTGTTTGGGTTTTGTGGTGCGAATCGGAACTTTGCACGATTGTTCACCATTGTTTCCAGAAAGTCGAGAAGTGAGGTGCTTGTGTCGCCAAGTTCCACATGCACAAGGACGGGGACTGCAATTACTACGTTCGCATGAAATTGCCAGATGTTGTTTTTGCTTTGAAAAGGACCGATTGTGTTGGGCAACTTTCCGTTTTTATTTTCCGGAGGGACAACCGCAACTATCACTTGGCTGGGAGGGGGGTGATTGTTGGCTTGGGTGACACGGAATGTTGTCAAAGGCCTGTTTTTTTGTACATAATGTGCATTGTGCCTTGCAGCGAGTTGCCTTCATGGCGAAGTTGGTTGGATTGTGTAAAACGTGCAGTAAGCAATGAGTTCCACGCGAGTTTCTTTTTTTGCTGCAGAAATGACATTTGTGGAGTGACACACTGGATTGTTTGTGTTCCGGTGCCGAGATCTCCTGACTGCGGGGCCTGTGTGCAACATGTCAAGTCGAAGTGGGCACTGGTGTAGGCAGGCTGCCGCTGACCCCAGTTTCACGACCAGCTTTTATTTCGTGAGGAGGTTCGCCCTGCTGCGCTTGTGATAGTTTTTTTTCCCCCTCTAAAACGTCCATTTACGAGCAGGGGGTGTTTTTCAGTTTGATGCCGAATCTCCTCAAAGTGCATCCTGGTTGACCGTTGTCTTCCTCGCCGATTGCCGCATGCTAAGTGAATAAACGTTATGAACAATGATCTTCTGAATAATGTGCTTTAAATGCAGTCTGACCTGAGTGAGAGGGGGCAGCCATCTTATTGTTATTTATTACACGATCACTGCAGTTACAATAGTACCCTAATGTAGCCCATTGCTCACGAAGTTAAAAAGCTTTGTGGTGAAAAACATATGTTGATTTATTCGGCAATTTCAGAACCACGCCGCCTTTAAAATGTATTTTTCGTGTGTGTGTGGTTTGCTCAAGTAAGACTCGTTATGATAAACATGTTTATCAAAGTTTCTTTAAAAAAATCTGCTTCTACAAGCAGTGTGTTGTCATGTGGACCGATTAAGAAGTGCGATTAATTTAAGGCTAGATTTGTTTTAACAACGTCGGTTTCAGACCGTCATACCGATTGCAATATTGTTTATTGATGCTGTCCAAGTACAGTAGTACTATGCTCTTAGTTTTGCGAGGATTTCTAAAATGGCCTCTATACAAAGAGTACCTTGTGGGATTTATGTTTTATTTCATCCTGTGATTCATACTGTCCTTACAGGACTCAAATAGACAATGTTGCTTTAACCCTTGTAAAGTGTGTTTGCTGAAAGGTAGTGCTAAAATTTGTAGCAGCGGAAAATGCTAATCCATACGTATTTTGGTCAAGGAAAAGTTAAATATTTTTATTGATTCAGAATAAATAAAAAAAACCATCCCCGATGTTTTATATGTTATATCAAAATTATTGTAAGGTGTTCAAGTTTTCAGTGTTTAAAGTCCCATATGCAGGTATTTCAGTGCTTGTCAGGATGGAGCAGAGAATGCTTTTCAAATTGCTGCCATGGCCTTTTCTGTTTGTGCAATATGGGTTAAATTGTCAAAGCCTTTTTATAAAAGAGGAAGTTTGGATATTGTAGTATTACAGAGCATTTGTCAAGCTGATTTGGAGTCAATTTTCCAGCATTACATGAACTTTCAAAAATGTGGTGGTGGTGCTGGCTTGTGATAGTTTTTTAATTCTTCTATTCAGAGTATATCACTGACACATGGAAGCAGAGGATATTCAAAGTTTGCTTTTTTTTGAGCCAGTGTGCTTAAATTAACGGTGGATTAATGTTTGAGAACAGTCACTGTTCCTGATCTGAGGTGCTGTGTTTTGGCTCTGTACAGTGGGAGATGATTTTAAAAATAACTCTGCCCTTTCTTTCCTTGCAAAGCCAGACATATGCCATATGTTCCTCTGAGCAAATTGTGAGCAAAGGTCCGGTTTGTGTTGTGTGATCTTAGTTTGAAAAATACTACTCTCTAGGGAAGATGCGTTAATGTCTTTGTTCTTTGCAGATCAGCTGGTCTTTCCATATTGTAAGATAAAAAACCCTGATGTATTAATATGTATATGAGATTGTTCAACTTGAACTTTGAGAGTCAACGTTCTGGTATAAGTGACTAATTGAAACGTTTAATTAGATGCTTGTGGCATCTGACTTTATTGTCAAATATTTGTGCTCATTGTAGTTCTAAACTTTGTTTTACACAAAAGTGTTTGGTGTCTGGCAGGTGCCCCTTTGCTGGCTAAATAAAGACAGACCTGCATTGTTCACATGACTGTTAAAGAGATAGCCTAGTGGACTCAAATCGCCTTTGTGTTGCATCTTTTGTGTAACTAGAGATAAATCAAGAGAATATGGTTAATTTGGGGACATTGTGCGATATACTTTCTGATGGTATTTCTCGTAGCATAAGCGTAGAAACAAACATTTTGTGTCCATAAGACACCTGTTTGTTTTTCACCTGTTCTCTTTATCAAATGTCCACAAGGGCTCTGAGTAAGCCGGATGTCCTCAAGAACAGTATTATTTTTTTAAACTAGAAACCGCTGGCCTGCGATTTTTAGTCACCACTATTTCAACAGAAGTGGACCTGGAAATGATAGTTTTTAATGGTTTGTTTCATGGTTGTCTGTATGACAACTAGGTAAAGGTGGCTGTTATGAAACATTTATTTGAAATCAACTTGCTACCATGTTCATTGGTTCGGTTTGCTTTGGTTGCAGTTACAGCTGTATGCAAACGTTTGGGCACCCCTCGCCAAATTATGTTTTATTGATTTTTCTAAGTGAAATAAATTAACACAACCTCTGCAGTGACCAAACTTAAACTTGACATATTTCTGCAAATTAATGCACAGTTACTATTTAATTGAAAAATTAAAACTGTAAGTGTGGTATGTGCAAAAGTTCTAGTTGATCCACTAGTGTTATTTTTTTTTAAGGTCTCAGAACTTAATTGACTCACTAGGCCTTAATCTAAGTCAGGTGATGACAGTTCCAGAGCTTAATACATTTTCTGACTCTTCGAACCTCTCAGGGTGTTGTCCTTACACTCAAGAACCATGGGCTCCTCTAAGCAGCTGACTGAGGATCAGAAAATAAAGATAATGGACTCTTACAAAGCAGGGGAAGGCTATAAAAAGATATCTAAATGTTTCCTGCTTGCAATTTTCACTGTCTGAAATGTCATTAAGAAATGGAAGTTAAGGGGAACTGTTGAAGTTGAGACAAGATTTGGAAGACAGAGAAATATCTCAGATAGGACTGCTCGTAGACTGGTCAGGAATGCAAAGCAAAACCCCCATATTACTGCAAAGGACCTGCAGGAAGGTTTAGCTGGGTGGGGAGTAGTGGCTAGTGGTGCACAGGTCCACTGTGTAGCGTTGCTTGCACAAACATGATCTGCATGAAAGAGGCATCAGAGTCATCAGAAGGAAACCTTACCTGCAATCTTATCACAGAAGTCAACTTCTGAAGTATGCAACACAACCAGATAAGCCAGATAAGCGTTTTGTAACCAAGTGCTGTGGTCTGATGAAGTAAAAATTGAAGTCTTTGGCTACAGTCGCCAAAGGTACGTTTGGATTAAACAAGGAGATGCATTTGAAGAAAAGAACACCTTGCCAACTGTTATGCATGGGGGTGGATCTATTATGCTTTGGGGTTGTGTGGCAGCCAGTGGCACAGGGAATATTGTGTGGGTAAAGAAGAATGGATTCTCCTAAGTATCAACAAATCCTGGAAGTTAATGTCCCACAGTCAGTAAACAAAAGCTGAAAAGAGGTTGGATATTACAAGAAGACAATGATCCAAAACATACCTCAAAATCAGCCATGAACTACTTCAGGAAATGATCGATTAAGGTTTTGAAATGGCCTTCACAGTCCCCAGACTTGTAGATTATTGAAAATCTGTGGGTAGATTTCAAACATGCAGTGGATGCGAGACGACCTAAGAATATTTCTGAACTAGAAGTGTTCTGCAAGGAAGAGTGGGGAAAAAAATCCTAAAGCAAGAATAGAAAGACTGTTACTGACTGATAGGGTGCCCAAACGTTTGCCCATGCCACATTAACTGTTTTTTTTCAATCTGTTAAATTCAGCAAATAAATAGAAACAGTACATTAAAATTTGCAGAAATATGTCAAGTTTAAGTTTGTTCGCTGCAGAGGTTGTGTTAACGTCTTTTCACTTAGAAAATCAACAAAACATGTAATTTGGTCAGGGGTGCCCATACATTTGCATACAACTGTATATGGCTGCAGTAAAAAAACAAAAAGGCTGCTTTTGGTTTGTATAAAATGTTTTCTATTGGTGTTCAGATTTTGCATCTGTAGTTCTTTTTCTGTCCCACCTCTTTGGAATTGGCATTTAGCAATCACCTTGGCTTACTGCTCCAGCCCTTGTGTCATCACAGAGTGGAGGAGAGTGTTGCAGGCTTTCCTTTACAACATGCTGAGGACCTGCTGCTTCTTATTCATGTTGAGAGCTCCAGGAAGCCCACAGCAGATGTAGTATTGCTTGCGGGAGGCCAGTCACAGAGATCACTTATGCATGCTGAAGGCTTACGTCTGCCCAGCTCTGGTGATTTTTACCTTGTGTGTGTTTTCACTTGGATTCTCCCAGTCAGGGCAGGGTAATGGCACAGCACATGGGAATGGACTTGAGGACCGAGCGTGCAGTCTGAATGACCTCTGCAGAGTTTCTCCCACTGTCACTCTAGTAGAAAGTCATAGTAGTAATGGCCGGTATTATGCTCAGAAAACAGAATTGATTTTATCGGCGGTAGAAGAAGATGGGGATTGAAAGTGTCTACATGTGTTCACGCTGCAGGACTCCTCTGGCTGGCCGATAAATCACAGCAACATAAAATGTCAATGGCTGCTGTAAAACTAAAAATGTACTTCAAAGTACAAATTTTGAGTTACAGCATTTAGGATATTTTCAGTATGACTGTTTTATTGAGAAAATCGGGGTTGAATTCTCTTCATGCTTACACCTTCACAATATTAAAATCTAAAAACTTTCACAGATGGGCATATATTGGGAGTTGTGGAAACTTTTTGAAAATTCTGTAAGAAATAGGACTGGAGCAGAAATTGCAATGCCAGGGATGATCTTTCTGAGTTATTGAAGCTGAATGTAACAAAACTAGTGGTGATCGGTTGTAATCACTATCCAGTCCTGCAAAACGAAACCAGCTGTTGAGCCACAGATTTCAGCTGGCAGTTGAGATAATGCTAAAAACCCTAATTTGAAAAGATAAAACGGAAACACAATGGAAAAAAATGTTTTTTTTTTTACAAGCTGATTAACCCAGATGAAAAGAAAATTCTTTCATCACATGAACAATGCATTTTTTGTGTGAATACTGCAGTATCATTGACAGTGCCGAATCCTACTTTAAAAAGGTGAGATTAAATATGCTATTCTGCCATCTTAACTGAGTACAGTATATCCCATAAAACTGTGTGAAAATCTTTGGCAAACTGATGGTGGGAGTTAAGCATATAGAGTGTTGTTCTTTGCCACCCTAAAATTTTGTCCAAGGATGTCAAGGTTGAGAGTTTTTGTGATAAACTGCTTTTGTTGTAATAGTGAATAAAGAAGAATAAAATTATTAATCAAATGATTTAATCAAAAACTAAAAGTAGAATATGACTTTAAATATAATAGGAATTCAACATAAATGAATAATGGATGAACTTCAAACTGCTCCTTTCCCCAGCATCCGAATGGTCTGGAAATGCTTTCATGTACAGTAAGAAATGCCTTGTGCTTTTGAGCCAAATAAAATGGAGTGGGCCAACGTCTGCAGTTATTTAAAAGAATAACATCAGGAAACATTGTTTTCAGAAAGTGTATTCAGAATATATCCAAGGTGAGCTTTGTAGAAATTGGAACCGAAAGTAGTTTTGTGGTCCTAGTCAATGAAAAATGGTAGAAGCAGTAATCCAGTGAATAGTGGAGTGAGTCAGTTTGGTTGCACACGAAGGTGTTTTGAGCAGAACGTAGGGTCAAATTTCACACTGTTCTGCTTACAGTCATTATAAAGGAGGTTCTATCATTTTGACACTGTCACGACTTTCTGAGCCCTATTCCACATCACTGACCACCTCTTTATAGCTTCTTATTTAATTTATTTAAAGATAATCTAACTTCTGTGTCCATCACGTGGGCTGTAATGTACCATTGGCTTACTTTTCCTCAGATGTTTCTGAATGAAAGCTACTTGGATAGTTTATTTTGATGTTTTACTGAAAGATGAACAAAATGCTGAACAAACTATTCCATGCTCATCCTTAACTTTTATATAAATTACTAATAAGGCTGTTAATAGAGTTCTCTATCATCCCGCTGAGAGACCCCTAAAGTAGCCTTTTGAATACAGTGGTCCAAGGGAGGCACCAGCTTCTGTTCACAAAATGTGCTGTGTGGTTCGTACAAGGTTTGGTGTTGCAGTGGGGAAAGTTATTTTCTGCTTTCTTCTCCTTCTGAAGTTAGCTGCCGGTGCTTAGGGTCTCCTGCTTGCTTGGAATTACAGGTTCGACTTCAGTGCCTGTGCCAGTGGAAAGCGAGATGCAATAATTTTTTAATACAGCTGTGAAATGTGTTACAAATAGGTTGTATACAGTGCATTTATCAGCAACAAAGAACGGGCATACAGACTGCCATGCTGAAGATCTTTTATTATCTGGCATCACGGAAACCTGTTTAAGTGAGCTTCCTATCAAGAAATTGTAGTATTTATTTATTAGTATGTAGTACTCATTAGGCGTGGCTGCGATGAAGGGATGGCTTTGCCAGAGTCCGCTGGAAGTTCAAAACTATGCTTGAGTGAAATGTGCTGCGAGGCAGCAAAGGACAGTAACCCGTCAGGTTTATGTGACAAGAGGAGGCCAGTTGTGAGTGCCTGCTGAGAGCAGCATTTGCATGTGCTTTTGGTTACTTGACCTTTGACCTGCAATCTGCTAAGGCTGCATATGTTAGTGTGGGTAAAGAAGCTTGCAAAGGACCACTCCCCCATCGGCGATTCTCCGGGTTCAGTGCAGTGCAGATACTACTACTGCTGCAATAACCAAAACACAGTGCAGAAAGCAGTGAGGCCCAAAGGTTAGGGTTTCTCCTCAGCTGCTTTGTAGTTTTTGAGAGGATTTTTGTTAAATATTAAGTGTCTTAAATCTGTGTCTTAATGTCTTAAATCTGTGCTTAATCTCGGGGGGGGGGATAGTTGCCTGATGTTAAAATACCCGTGTGAGAAGACAATGAAAAGGAAAAAACAGTGTTGCTTGGTTGACATTTATCTGTGCATGTACAGTATTCTGCTCGGCTGCAGTACACAGCCGTTCATGTTTCTTTGTAAATCACTCACCTTAACCACAGCTTTGCAGAAAGCTATAGTTTTACTGAGCTCAGATCCATGCAGTAAAATTCAAACACAAATGCGTGTTTGTCTGGGTAGTTGGTGACTCTTGACAGCTGCTGCAGAGAATAGCTGCTAGTTGAGCTGTAGGATACTTGTCTGCCTATAGCTTTGTTATAGGCCTTATCTTGGATGCCTGTATGACAGTGTTACAGGAGGGGTTCTGTATGCAAAACACTTTATGATACAAATATGTCATTTCACCAGCAGTATGAGGCTTGTTTCACTGAACAGGTGGATTTGCTATCTTAAGAAGAGAACATATCATTTGCTATGATACTCTTTCAGGTTGTAGTTCTGCATTATTTTGTGTAGTTTGTTTCCAAATATTTTTTTTACAATTTAAGTTTGGAACTGGCGTTTATTTTTATTATGTACCCACCCAATTTGCCGTCGCTGGTTGTTGTAAGGTGTGGCTTAGTGGGAATGATTCTTGTGCCCTCCTTGGGAGAGAATTAGACATGCCGTCCTCCTGCAGAGCCAGTTTCCACTGGACGTGCTGCCCAGGTCCCAGTTGGCTCCGGTTAGTGGCACCTGGATCCTCGAGCCTGATTCCTGGTTGGAGCCTTTCCTGTTTGAGGCAAAAGAAACCATGTGCCTGATTGTGGGAGGGTTTTCTGAGAAGGTGTTTTCATGGCAAAATGGTGAGGGGGAGGACGTTAGTGTGTCTTAACCACTGACCAATGGGTATGATGGCTGTTTACATCCTTTATCATCCTGGAAATGATCTTTGCAGAGACATTTTTATTAGGCACAAAAAGAGAAAAGGTTCCTTCTGGACATTCACGTTGGGCCTATGTGGATAGAAAGAGAATATAGTACGTACCCATAAACTGTATATAAAAAATAAACCTTTGATATTAGGAAAAGTTAAATGAGGCCTTTGGATATTAAAACAACAACAACAACAACAACATTTTATCTGGAACAAACATGAGGAACTGTGACCTGACAGAAATGTTTGGCTGAGATGCACCAATCTCACCTGTCATTTGGTCAGAAGAGTGAAGTATTGAATCCATACTGTACTGAATATAGAAATGTTATGTAAATATGGTTCTGATGTTGCTACATGACCTACTCTAGTTTTGTATACTCTAGGACTTTGTGAGCCTTACTAAAATCTAGAGATTGGAGCTTCAAGTCTAGTGCAGAGTGATGTAAAAACAATTATTTTTTATAAAAAGCACACTGACATCCAGCAAAAGATCTGATAAGAGCCTGCTTAGTTAATTGCCAGAGGGACCAGAGTGTGTCTTTCTAAGATCTGGAGGGGGAGGGATGTTAACTGCACATGTCTACTGAGACTGAGAATGCTAAACACTATCAGGATTGTTACAGTATATATGTGGAAGGCGTTTCCTCCTAGACTCCTCCAGCTTTGATTGCACGGATATTAAAAGACTCGGTTGAAAGGCAGCTGCTGCTAAACTTAACTGGAGGCCTTTGTTTGAAGTTTCACTCCAGTAACTTCTTCACAGTGTAGGTGTGAGTGGAAATCATTTTAAAGATTCCTTCTATCACTGCCTTCTGCTGTCGTTGGCTTTGTTTTTTTTCTCGTTCGAATGTTTCCTCAATCTACGTGACTGTGTTCCAACTACTCTAAGAACGTCTTAATAGGTCACAAGTCACAACTTTATTCCACTTGGCTGCTGAGAGTATGATATGTTTTGTCTCTGGCAATTTCTTGATGTGTTCTATGTTTTTTTGAAAAAGAGCAATGCAGTTTGGCTCTTTCTTTTGGTAAACTGACATATGGATAACTATACAGCTGCCTTTTGGATTATTTTGTGTTTTAATATTGCTGGCTTCAGTTTAATAACTGAACTGAGCCTGAACTGTCTGAAAACCTTGTTAAAGAAATATCTAGCATGAGACTTTACATTATATGGGGTCATATATATGAATAAAATCTTGATGGAATGTAACAAGAAAGCTGCCCAGTCTTAAAGTAGAATATGTCATTGTGTGTAGCTGAGTTTTATAAGTACTTAATTTAAAAAAAAGTATTTTTATAGACTGTTTTAAAGGTCAGTTTTGATGTTCCTGAATTCCTCTTTGAAATAAGAGAGTAATTGTGTGAATGCATTTACAAACTACATCTTGAAGTACTAATAAATGTGTTTTCCTTCCCTACAGTATCGGATGCAGACAGCAGTGATGGCTTACAACTGAAAAAAGAGCATGCTCTTAGAATTTTTAATTACATCAATTCTTGGACCCAAAGGTAAGCATGTTGCTTTGCTTTGTGCTATATATACTGAAACGCTACAAGAATGCACACATCTTTACCTTTCATTATTAATCATTTTGCGCTGACTTTGTAAGCTGTTGGAGTACGCTGTGATGAGAGATTTTGATATAACTGTCGAAGCTGGCTACACCTCAGTTTTATTACACCTCAGTTTATTATTTATTTATTAATATTAATTATCTAGGTGGTCCTCCGTTGCTAGTTTCCAGGCATCTTGACCTGGTCACCTGACAAATGCACTAGTGATCCTCTTGTAAAAACATAGGTGACGCTTGAGGAATTGGTATCTCACAGAAATAAAGTGTCAAATAAAGACGGAGGTCGTAGTTGACTAACCTGATTAGAGTAATCAAATGTTTCATTATTTTTAATAAAGAAATCCACTGAAGCTGCTGTTTCAGAAGAACTCTTAAACATGTACAGATAAACAGGTGACTGAAGTGGAGTGTATTTACTTGTACTAGTAAAAAACATGGCAAAGAACTGATGGCAGGCTTGTCAAAACAATGGACAGTTTGCAGACAACTTTGCAGTATTTCAGGAACTTAAGGAAACATTAATGGCAGTTTGTGACTTCTAAACGCAAAAGCCACCCCCTGAGTTTGCACCATATCACATACATTTCCTATGTGCTAGACTGCGTTTAAAGTGCTCTATGCTCAACGCTCAGTATTAAATATTGAGAGAAATTTTGAAGGCTGAAAAATCCCAAAATATAGTAATCCAGTGCTTTTAATAAAAAAAAGTTTGCGATTAATTAGTGCTTAAAAAAGAAATGTCAGTTCTTTTAACACATTTCCTATAAAGTTAATCATTTGTTAGATTAAATGGTTTGAAAATGTAGGTAAAATGTACAGTGAATTTTCAGAGAAAGCTTCAAGGAGTTGTATGCTTCATTCTTCATGGGGGCTGAACTTTTAAGCACTTTTTTAATACTTATTTTATTGCTGATCAAATGGAATTTCTTCTCTTCCTTGTACAGGCAGTGTCTTTGTTGCTTTAAGGAGTACAAGCACCTTGAGGTTTTTAACCAGGTGGTCTACGCGCTCATAAACTTGGTGATCAGCCAGGTGCAGTCTCTCCGGGACCAGCTCTGTAAAACTTGCACCGGCGCCACCGAGCCAGAGTGGGCAGACGTGACCCAGCAGGGCGGCGATGAGGCGGTCAACGTGGAGAGGGATTCCAACGAGGAGGACGGGGCCGGCGAGGGGCAGACCTTGGCGGACGGCAAGCCGGAGAGCGCCACAGCCGCGGAGCTCGCTTCCCCGAAGAGCCTCGACCCCTTCGGCTCCTGGAGCACCGAGGAAAAGGAGAAGCTGCTACTGTGCGCCGCCAAGATCTTCCAGATCCAGTTCCCTTTGTACACGGCTTACAAACACAACACTCATCACACGATCGAGGTATGCTGTAGATGCTCTCCCCGATGAGTGGCCTTGCTGCGTTCAAGAGCTCCAGTGACTCCAACAAAAAGAATGCCCCTGCTTTTCACAGCAAGAGTGTAGGATGAACACAAACTGCAGTGTCCATTCAGTTCTTCTTATCATCCCCCCCCCCCCCCCCCGTTTTAAAATTGGGGTGCACCTGCATTTCGCTATTGCCAAAACAACTCGATAACAACCAGAGACTGTTTGCTCTTCAGACATCTTATAGCACTATTGGTTATGTCCCTTTTGTATCGCATGGAGTGGGGGAGTGTGCTCTGCGTTTAATTTCTTTTAAATACATCCCCGGGGGGATGAGGGGATAGCATTGGTATTGTGGTGATATGTTTAGCAGGCTCACGTTGTTTTAAAAATACATTTACAGTGTATTAATTGTGCCTGGGAATAACCCCTGGCTTTACCACCTGAGTGCATTGTAGTTCACACCTTTACCTTCATACAGGCACCTCTCAAGTGTCCTCAAGGTCTCTTCTGAGGCCTGCTGGCGTCCTAGGCGACGGCTCTGTATTTATAGCAGCGTAATGCCTTTTGCAATTAGCTCAGCCTTTGTGTCCCTTCACATTTGAGATGTTAGTGAGACTCCAGTGCTGCTGTTTCTCGAGATGAACAGTGTGAATTGCAGAAGCAACCCAGAACGCATTTGCTAGCCAGGGTTTAAAGAGTCAGGCTGGGGAAGTTTTCTTCGACTTTGAACCATGCTCTGACCTTTCCTATGCCTATGAAATCTGGAACAAACTGGGCTATTAAAATAAAATGAGTTTGTTACAGCTGTGGGGAAGAAAAGGCCTGCGATGCAGTGCGGGGCATCCGACGCCTCTCCATTTTCCAGACCAGCATTCCATTCATTATTTCGGATGCAGGAACTTGCTCAAACAAATAGCCCAGAGTTTTCACAGTGGGCCTCATGAGCAGCGGTGTATTGTAAAATCCACGCTCATGGCAGCTCAGACCATGGGAGGCACTTGTCTTGGACGTTTTTATACATTTACTCGTTGACAGTTTCTGGTTAGATTGTCCTCCTGCGTTTTGTTCCACACTTGCAGTTGATTGAATGACATGACGGTCTTGGACAGCGTACCTTGTGGTAGTTTTATCCGGAAATCTGTACAGGTTATTGGATACCATTTTCATTTTATTGAAAAGCCTTGATAATTAAAATCATCTCTTTGCCAATAATATATCTTTTTTTCTTAATTGGCAGGATATTTCAGCTCAAGAAAGCAATTTACTAGGATCATTTTGTGATATGAATGTAAGTGCTGCTTTCTTTGTGTTTTGGTCTTGTTCTTATTAGATTAAAAACACACCCTGAACGTAGTTAATTGACTCTGTGCTGAAGAGCAGGATATGAATTGAAGCAGTTTCCTTTCATCTGGATTTAGAACCCTTTGCCTTGCCAATATGGTAAAAAAAAAAAGCTGTTTTAAACAAAACTTATGACAGGTTTCATCAAAACTTTAAAATGAGAATTGCAGATGAAGACAGGTATGGGTAACTTTTTTTTTCTGCCCCTTGCATCTGTAACACTAAATCTGCTGACAGATTAGACAGCTTGCTAAACAGAAGGAAGCTGGCAAGCAGTTATTACTGGGAAGTCTTTAATTGATCCAGTGTAGTTTTTTGTGCAGTGCCAGTTTTGGAATATATAAGGTGTGCTAGTAATTATTTTTGCTTTGTGAGAAAGCAAATTGGCTCGTAATGAGAGAATAATTACACTGGGATCACAAGCAGCAATACAGGGCTTCACAGATTACTGGTGGGAGTGCTTTGGCAATTTAACAGGACAATGATCCATCATCTTGTGCAGTTAGGTTTCTAAACATGCCTTAGTCTTAGGTATTATATAAAATTCAGAATTTGTAATTTAATTATTGTGCTTAATAAAAAAAAATCAAGGTGTCTTTACAGCAGTATTCACAGCTACTGAAAGGAAAAACAAAACAGTGATCCATGTCATATTACACCACGTCTTATATCTTGAACAATTTTCTCTGCAGCTTGATATTCATAAGTAGCAATTCGTCTGAACCTGGTTTCAAACATTTCTCCTTAAGAAAGTTCCCCCACTGAATATCCCCATTCTAGGATTAAGATTTTTTGTTCTCTCCAATGTCTGCTGACTTAAAATAAAGCAAAAAAAAAAATGCCTCAGGCATCTCTGAGTGTCAGAGTTATGTTTTTCATTTCCTGTGTTGGTTTTCCATCACTTGTGATTTCTGTGGGGTTTTCACCTATCTTTTAAACAGGATGTTGAAGTACCTTTGCACTTGCTTCGTTATGTTTGCCTCTTTTGCGGAAAACAAGGCCTTTCTCTCATGAAGGATTGCTTTGAATCGGGAACTCCTGAAACACTGCCTTTTCCAATCGCGCATGCATTTATCACCATTGTCTCAAATGTAAGTATTTCTTTTGTTTCTGAATTTGTAAAGTTACTGTTTAGGCGTCCGAAACGGGAAGTAATTTTTTTCCCCCATGTGTGTTTTGATTATTCAAACAGATCAGAATATGGCTGCACATTCCTGCAGTCATGCAGCACATTATACCTTTTCGGACCTATGTAATAAGGTAAGAAACCGATTTTTACTTTCATTGGTAACAAAGACATTCTTGCTGAAGACGAAAGAGCTCTCCTCCTGGCTTGTGTGGGTGGTGAAATCCTGCTCAGCCGTTGGAGTTCCTCTGCTGAGCACTAGGTGCTATCAGTAAGAATTTAGGCATGGCATTCCTCTCGCCCCTTAATTTGGAAACACAGCTCAAACATCCGTTGCGTGGATTCAGGTTCTGTAGGAGGAGATGTTCTTTTTGTGACTCGGCAAAAGACACATTCTAATGTAGCATCATGACCAGTTTAAGAATACGCTTGAAATACCAGGTGAAGTGCAGTGTGTTAAATGTTTCATGCAAGATTTTTTTTTTGTCTTCCACTTACATGCTCCACACTGCACGATTCAGAGTGTTAATGTCACATGTTCTCACTTGTCAGTTCCTTGCAGCATATCCAGTTGTTTTGTTTATAAAGACATTGACCTTTGACCTCTCCCCACTTGAACAGTGTCATCGTTTTAATCTTTGGTGTGGGGGGTCCTTTAGTACAGCCCGCTCAATGAAGCTTCTGCATTGACAGATGTATGTGATGTTGTTGCAGATACTTATGCAAGCTCTCAGATCAGGAGCTAAGACAAAGTGCAGCTCGGAACATGGCAGATTTAATGTGGAGTACGGTTAAAGAGCCCTTGGACACTGCTCTGTGTTTTGACAAAGAGAGCTTGGATCTTGCTTTCAAGTACTTTATGTCTCCAACTCTAACTATGCGATTGGCAGGCCTTAGCCAAATAACTGTAAGTACTTCAGGTTCAATTTCTTTTCCACATACTATTAAACTTTCATGTGCAGTGAGATCAACACATTGTACAGAGCTGTTATTGTGTCTAGTTTCATGCTCTTACTATGCATGGATTAGTGGACTAATTCCTTTGAATATATATTGATTAATAGAAATTAATCTGTCATTTTCTGCATTATGTATACATTTGAATATTTATTTTGTTCTTTATTTTGTATATTTAAAAAAAATTAGAATAGTTTTTTTTTAACTTTAAATTGTTAGCTGAATTGTTTGTTACTCATTTTTTGTTTCAGACCCTATTTCTGTGCTTCTTTAAAGGATTTGAAAAATGTAATTGTGCTGCTGTTAATGTTGTTGGACATTGTTGAACGTGCTGTATACATGCCCATCTTTCTTTTTAGGTGGCTTACTTTAAGTAAATTACCAAGTAATTAATGTTATGTTAATTTATTTTATATGAATTTAGTCAAAAGTATTAGTATTGTCTAATATATTTTTTAATTTATCAAGTAAATAGAAGTTTAAATTGCTTTTATTATTTTTCAGAATCAGCTTCACACATTTAATGATGTTTGTAATAACGAGTCCCTTGTATCTGACACAGAAACGTAAGTTTGCTATAGGTTTGTGCTTTTAATGACTCCTTTTTTGATAAAGTACCTTCTGTAGTAGTTTTCAGCTTTATTTAAGGTTTGATTTGGGAGTTTTTAAAGACTGATGAACTAGAATACCAAGTTTTGGCTGGAAGAGAAACAGGTGTAGCTAGTTTGTTTTGCGATGAATATCTTATTGTGGAATGAACTCTTAACTCACGTAATCTTCTGAGCACTGAAAGTCACAAAGATTTACCAAGTCTGATCAAGCATTTCAGGACTTCTCTGTATTGTGAACCTGTCCCTGTCCTTATGAAACAGAACATGTGACCATAGAAGAATGGCAGTCATTTGGTTTGAAAATATGTTCTGAAACCATATATTGTTTGAATTTTTTGTATTGTTTTAACAAATGGCTGGGTGTTGAACTTCAAGATTTGTTTCACATTGTGTAAAAACAAAGTACTTTGAACTCTATTTATAAATTGGTAAATATTAAGGAAAGACTGTTAGAATAAATCTGCGATTTGTCATTACAGATCAATAGCAAAGGAGCTTGCAGATTGGCTGATCAACAACAATGTTGTAGAGCATATCTTTGGACCAAATTTACACATTGAGGTTAGTTTATTTTCACACTTTGTTTTGTTGTTTTGCTTTGCCTTTAGGAAATGGTTTGTTCATATTTAGAATGATTTTCTTTCAGATCATTAAACAGTGCCAAGTTATCCTGAACTTTCTCGCTGCTGAAGGGAGGCTTAGTACTCAGCATGTAGACTGCATTTGGGCTGCAGCTCAGGTAAAACGTCCATTTTTTTTAGCAATGTTTTCTTCTCTAGGCCTCAGAAAGTCTCTCTATGCTCTGCCCTGTAAAAAAAGACTGGACCTGGGGCTGAAACATTGATTGTTGCATGATTTCATCTTCAGCAGTGATCTTGCTATACATCTTATTAGATTAAAGTTTACAGGAATGTGTTGTAATGTAATCTCTTTCAAAGGATTTTCTTTTTTTTTTCCTTTTCTGCCCAGCTGAAACACTGCAGTCGCTATATCCACGATCTGTTTCCTTCCTTGATCAAGAACCTAGATCCTGTGCCACTTCGCCATGTTCTTAATCTTGTCTCTGCACTTCACCCCAGTGCCCACACGGAGCAGGTATGCTTTCCCTGCATAATACTGCCAAAATGCCACCCTGAATATGTTATAAAGTGTAAAAGTAAGGTATAGAGCTGTAAACAGATTCATTACAGCGATTTCAGTTTTGAGGTTAGCATCGCAAGCAAATTAAAATCTGTCTAACGATGGAAACGTTTCTGTAGTTTTACTTGAACATAAGTGGGTTATCAGGCTCCAGCTGCCCAAGGTAGTGGTCCTGTTGGCCAGATGCATTGTCAAAGGGCTCATGTATCTGATGTTTCCTGTGTTGACAGACACTCTACTTGGCTTCAATGCTCATTAAAGCCCTTTGGAATAATGCTCTGGCAGCCAAGGCTCAGCTGTCCAAGCAGAGCTCTTTTGCTTCTCTCCTGAGCACAAACCTCCCAATGGGAAATAAAAAAGGTGAGTACAAAGTGAGGAGCATTCAAGGAAAGTTGCTGAAAGTTTGTGTTTTTGTTTTACATCATAGCCTCGATATTTCCAAGACATTACTAAATATTTGTTTTTAGTGTCTGAATGAACAGTTGCTGTACCTTCGGTTATTTTCTGAGGTTGGTGAATGAGATTTTGATTCTCAGTATAAAAGAAGCTCTGAAGCATAACCTTCCTGCTCATTTTGGTTTTTACTTTCCTCTGTTGCTACTGTCCCTGAGGTTTTTAGTTCTGTCAGGCACCCCTTTGTTATGTTTTAGTTCACATGGTTGTAGGCCCAAATCACTTAAATCGGTAGTTGATTTTTTAAACGCCAACTTATTATTTTGTGGATTTTTTTGTCAAGAAAAGAAAGTTTCTGACTTTGTTTCAACGGATTAGTATGGAAATAACTCGGGGTGTCGAGGCCCTGCGTGCGCATCTCAGGGGGCGGATGAAGGTGACTGTCCCTGCTTTCTGCTTCCGTATGGGCTCAGGCTCCCCGGCGGCCAGTCCCGAGAGCAGCGACAACAGCGACACCCACCACAGCGCCGGCAGCGACATCGAGATGGACGAGCAGATCATGAGCAGCACCAAGCGCGTTCAGCAGCGGCTGTCCGACACCGAGGTACCTGGCGTCTGTAGCGCTTTCCTTTCTCCCTCTTATCAAACTACAGAACCATGTGTCAGCGTCATCGTTTCATCATCGGCTTGGGAAATGCCATCACCCAGGACACAGTACTAGATGCAGGAATTTCGCATTAGGCGACTGCAGGGAATAATCCTGGATGTTCTAAGATGCCGTAAGAGAGTGATGGGATCAGCACATGGTAGAAGTGCGATGCAGCTGTTGCAAAGTAGTCATGTGATTGCAATAAAAGAAATGTCTGTGTCCACATTCCTGATTTATAAAGGGGAAAAATGAATGAGCTGCAAGCAATGCTGACGTCTCTCTGGGCGCTTGCCTTGGCTCACTAGGAGTCCATGCAGGGCAGCTCGGATGAGACGGCGAACAGTGGGGAGGACGCCAGCAGCGGGCCTGGCAGCAGCAGCGGCCGCAGCGAGGGCTCCAGCAACGAGGCCAACTCCAGCCGCGCCAGCCAGTCCGCGGGCAGCCCCGGGAGCGAGGTGCACTCGGAGGACATGGCCGACAGCGAGGCCCTGAAGGAGGAAGAGGAGGAGGAGGAGGAGGAGGAGGACGACGAGGATGAGGAGGAGGACGACACCGGGGCGGCGGAGAGGGGCTGCAGCCCGCCAAAGGAAGCCCGGAACCCCGAGCTTAGGAAGAGAAAGTCGGAGGCCCAGGCTGGCATTTGTCTGGGCGACACTCCCGGCCCTGCGGACAGACCAGGGGGCGCCGGCGGGCCGGGGAAGGACCTGTCCTTCAACCCCGAGGCTGTCTCCTCCGTGGACAGCCACATGAGAATGCTGGACGCCTGCTCTGCCCACCCGGAGGACCCTGACCACGACATGCAGGCGGAAATGGGCCCAACACACATACCTCCAGGGACTCAGGACCCATGCCTCACCCGCACTGGGGACTTCCTTGGCGAGGCCATCGGCAGCGAGCTCTTCAACTGCAGGCGTTTCATCGGCCCCCACCACCATCACCACCACCACCACCACCACCATGAGGGGTGAGCTCCTGCTTTCTCAGCTCCGCTGTCTTCCTGCACACATTCCAAACACAAAAGATTTCTACTGTCATGGGGCAACAAAGGTGCTTTCTTCCTTCAGCACAATGGGGAACTCGGCAGCAATGCTCGTGCTTGTAGTCTTTGCACGGCTAGAAAAACAGACCCCATTGGCCCCCTGATGTGTTGAGCTCCGATTCCTGAGTCGCTAGACCAGTCTGCCAGAACAGTGTGTATCTCTGAAAACCCGTGTCATTTGCAGGCACATGGTGGAGGACATGCTGAGTGCGGATGATGTGAGCTGCAGCAGCTCCCAGGTCAGCGCGAAGTCTGAAAAGAACATGGCGGATTTCGATGGGGAGGAGTCTGGCTGCGAGGAAGAGCTGGTGCAAATCAACTCCCATGCTGAGCTCACCTCGCACCTCCAGCAGCACCTACCCAATTTAGCCTCAATCTACCATGAACACCTAACTCAAGGCAAGGGCCTTTCCTTTTACACATTCATTTATCTGCTGCTTCAGGTGTTCATAACGTTTCCTTGTAGTTTTCAGTTAGCTTCAGCATACTTTCTTTAATTCTTAAACTTAAAGTAGTGATATTGCATAAAAAAGCGCTTGAATTTGCACTTTAGCATTACAGTGTTGAAATGGAAACAGGCAGTGTGCTGTTTATTTTCCATATTTTATATAAAGACAAAATATGAATGTTCTAATGCTAAAACTTCTAGAAAATGGTTACAATTTTTATCTGAGGGTGAATAATAAAACTCCATAAAGGCTTGTAATTAAAATATGAAAATGGAGGGAATGAAAAGTTTGTAATACTGGGATAAATCAACTTTATTTATCAGGTCCTGCAGTTCACAAACATCAGTACTCTGGCAATGCAGTCACTGACATCAACTTGGACAATGTCTGTAAGAAGGGTAACACCCTCTTGTGGGACTTGGTTCAAGATGAGGATGCGGTGAGTACTACTTCTGTACAGCCGAAACGCCCACAAGATTTAGGAACATACAAGACTGCATTTTTGATCTATTAAAGTTGTTGATCTGTTAAAGAAGACCTTTTAAAACAAAACAGGATTTGAATGAGCTTTCTGAGGTCCCAGGATAAGTTTTAACCAGGGAAAAGTTTATTCCTACAAATTCTTCAGTTTTTCTGCCTTGGTGTTTCTGTCTGTTTTTGGTCCCATGTGGCTCAGATTTGTTAGGGGTCAGGATTTTCATTTATACCTACTTAGCTGAGGTGTCGACTATTTTTAAGGTAATTCACAGAAAAAAAAAATCACTGGGGAAACTTCTTAGACTCTTCTGTCATCACAGGCCTGTGCCATGAATAATCACTGGTTTCTTGTTTGCCTTCAGTGAAGGCGATGCTGAAGTGAAGTATCATTGTTCTATTCAGTCTTTCTGGTTTTGTGTTGTGCAGATTCATTTATCTGAGGGGCTGATCAATGAAGCAGAGAAACTGCTCTGCTCTCTCGTTTGCTGGTTCACTGACAGACAGATTCGAATGAGGTTCATCGAAGGCTGCTTGGAAAATTTGTCCAACCACCGGTGAGAAGAAATACAAACTAGTATATAGTTGTCTTTTCTGTTCCTAAAAAAAGTTAATCAGAGGATATAAGCCTGTAGAATATCTCTTTACACACCATATTCCACACATTTAAATGTGTCTTAGTATATGCAGTTGAGAATTTAGCTATTGAATTGAAAGTTTTTTTATTTTTTCTAAATTCCATCTCATCTGAAATTCATAATGTGCTCCTGAGAAAACTTAATCCTTTACAGAAAGTTATCTTTTTCTTCAGACTTAACTATGCTTAATATTATGCTTCTCTTTGGTTGTGTTTTTGTTAATATAACTGTGACCTTTCAGTGTTGCCTCTTAGAAGTGAGAGATTTTGTTTTGTTTTTTCCTTTTCTGTTGTCAAAATTATTTATTACACTTCATCTCTTAGGGTTGGAATCCTGTTTCTTGTGAATACTTCTACACTTTAACAATGCAGAAAATCAAAAGCATGTACCTCCTAAATTTGGTCTCCTTTGTCTGTAATGAAAACACTTCCAAATGATTGTATCTTTGCAATATTTGCTTCTTTTAAGTGCCAGTGAAGGTTATAACAATGGCCAGGCATTAGGCTGTGGATGTTGATTCATCTGGCATAGTATTGCTTTTGGGTGTAAAAACAAAAGTTAACGAAAAAACAAGAGTAGTAGCAAAAAAACTTATGGTTGCATAAAAATCCAAACCTAGGAGTAAAAGGAAAAATGCAAATGAAATGCAAGTTTCAGGTCTTCTCTTGGGTATTATCTCTCGTCTAATATGCTCTGTAGGACATTTCTAGAGGTGCTGGTACTTCCCTTTTTATGGTGAACAACAGCTGGGAATCCCCTTTGGGTACTAGCTGTTTTGTAGAATGTATAGTTCTGTGACTTTTCTGGGTAATGTGTACATGTTTTTTGTTTTAAATATTTCATAATGTATAAGACAGAGTTTTTTTTCTAATTAGTAACATGTAACATGCTAATGAAACCTCAAGGCAAATTTCATGTAACATTTTTTTATTTTTTTCCCCCCCAATATCTAAGATTTAGACATTGTTAGCTGGATTGGAACTGCTCAGGAGATTGCTGGTTAAACTTACCCTGTGTGTCTGGAAAACCTGATTAGGAGGAAGGGAAGGACAATATCTATTGTAATCCAGAAGAATAATTCTGGAGCAGACGAACAGCTCTATATTGTACTTCAAGTTTGTAGCTTTTAAATTGCATTGTAAAACATGATATGCCACTGCGTATCTGATGAGATGCCTTTTTATAACTGCTTACATTCGAACTTTGACACATGGCTTTAGTGCACACATTTTTTTACTTCATAACATTATATCATTGTGTGACTATCCATTGCAAAGAATGAGACGTGTATATATATTTTTTTTGTTGTGCAGGTCCGTTGTTGTTTCTCTCCGTCTACTTCCTAAACTGTTTGGCACATTTCAACAGTTTGGGAGTAGTTATGACACCCACTGGATAACCATGTAAGTTGCCAGCTCTTCATTTAGGTTAATTTTAGCACATGATCATATTTGTCATTCCCTAAGCATCTAAGCATGAACATGGTGAATACAGTGTGTGGTAACTCCGGTTTGATGTCTGCTATCACAAAGCAAGGGTGGGATTATATTGTTACAAACAAATGGAAAACCATAATAAAGAAAAATATAAACTTGTAATCTTTCCAAATTCGTTGAAGGCTGATTTAGTCGATGTATTTGCTAGGGTGAGTCAGTGTTGAATATCTTTATAAAATTATTTAAACATACTTTGTAAACGGCAAGTATTTATTGAGTGTGGTTCTTTCAGCGTCATTGTATAAATATGTAGCTAACTGAAAATGTGACACATGCCCTTGAGATATAGTGAAACCTTCTTCTGGCTCCCAGGTGGGCTGAGAAGGAGCTGCATATGATGAAGCTCTTTTTCGATGACCTGCTACACTACATTCAAGAAGTTCGGGAGCAACGACATAAATTCGCTCTGTAAGTCTTTTTCTGCTGCCAGAAAAAAACTGCTATGAACCTTTTCCCCCTGCTTGTTTTTAACTTAAATTACTCGTTAGTATCTCATCTGCAGTTTCCAGCTGCTTATTCTTTGTCTGTATGGGGTAATTTAAAGCATTCTTTTTCTTTTGTCTCCATGTATATGCTTGAAGTCCCTTAAAATAGTGCTGTAAATTGTAATCAAAGTAGCTAAGGGACATGGGATGATACAGTATGTGCCTTTGTTATCCTCCTCTCTGTGCATAAAGCACTAGGCTTTAGGGGTAGTGTGAAAAAGTCATATTATAAATGGTTTGGTTCTTCCATGGGGGTTCATGGTCTGTGTGTTGTCAAAACAGTTTAACTATGTGGAAGACTACTTCATGATTCACTTTAGATTTTTTTAATGAGTTTTTCTATAATGTGAAGTGAGGGTTGCTGAATTCTACTTAATATTTACAATGACCAAATTGACAGAGTGCGTTTTGTTTTGGGGTGAAGAGTGATGGGGTTTCTCGTCCCTCTGTGATTTCAGGTATGGCCACAGTGCTGAAGTCCAAGTGCGTCTGCAGTTCCTTACCTGTGTGTTCTCCACTCTGGGCTCCCCAGACCACTTCCGTATGTGCACCTCCTAATTTATTTTTAAACATCATATTAAAATGGAGATTAAAATTTCAACTATGGGAAACCCATGACTGGCAGACTGTTGAAATACGTGATTACAGTTGATGTAGCTGAGCATATAGTGTTGTTGGTTCTGCAGGTTGCTTGACTGAGTTGAATTAAGACAGTAGTTCCCAATCCTGGTCCTGGAGATATCTTTATTTCAGCTTGACATCTCCAGTGCTAATTGATGGATAAGTTAACCTTGCTTGCTTGTTATTTAACTAGTTGCTTTCGTCAGTCCCTAGTCTCATGAATAGCCCTACTTATTCTTTGCACACTTCTCCTCAAATTCTTTGCCATGGTTTTCGAATAAAGCAGCTGATCATATTTATGATGAATTGGCACATGTGAGAATTACACTGTATCCAACACGCCCAGAGTGAATATTTTGTCCTACTACAGCGGGCCATTTGGTGATGTTTCTGCCAGCACACCTGAATGAGACCAGTGCGGTTTCTTCAGCTCAGAAATTAGTGAAGGATTGTTACCAATTACAAATCCCATTTGATCTTTTAAAAAGCTGAAAGCAAATTTATAAATGTGCCCCAAACAGAAAACTCAAATAATTTATCAAGTGGTTAAGAACAAATCAGGTACCAAAAGACAGTGTTCCTCCATAATCAAAGCGGGAACCAGCAGGTTAAGACAGTCTTTCATCTCTTTTACTTTTTATACTTGGAATCTTCAATTTATGTCCAAAATTAAGTAAAACAGGAGAATGATAACCTATAAAATTGATTTTTTTAAGATGAAGACTTTTGAATTACATTTGTGGCTTTAGTTAGTATACCTTGGCAGTCACAGCAGAAGTGACAAAAGAGGGTGTGTTATTTTACGATGAGACTGTAACCTGATGAGCTGAAGTCATACATTAAGGGATTTTGATTTTAAATTTTTTAAAGGAAATATGATCCTCTTCAATTAGGACTTGACTTTGCTGTCTTGCGCGGAAGGCTTTTGGTAGAAACTGGCTTAGCTCTTTGTTTTTCTATAGGAAACTGGTTGCATGGTATTGAATGACACCAGTGGTTTTGGGTTTCAGAAAGATACGCACATGAACAGGAATGCTCATACAGGTTCATTCTTTTTCAGTGCACATCACTGCAAAACACCTGTATAAAATCTGTTCTTTTAATGTAAAATGTGTTTTAACACCAGGGAAAAGGTGATGCAACACTCTTCATGCATTACTAAGAAGCATTCTTTCATGATCTCTCCGTGTTCTTCTTAGTTTAAAACCTGCAATCAGAAGACTAGCTTTCTGACTTTATTTTACATTTAAAATATAGTGAGCCTCTAATTTGAGGAACAGAAGCCAAAAATAGGTGTAATGACCAGTCGTGTGTTGGTCATCCTAACCTTTCACTTTGTTGTGCTGTTGATTATGCAGAAAATGTTGTATAGGCTGTTAAACTGCAAAGTGGCTAGAGAGAGTTTTATCTGCTTTTATTGTTTTCTGTTAATGTTCAGTTTGAAGCAGTGTGTTGTTTTAAAACTGGCTGACTAATGCCATTTGGAAATATTTATTTCATAAAGTGATGTTGGCTGGTGGTCTCTCTTCAGGGCTCAGCTTGGAACAGGTTGATATTCTGTGGCACTGCCTGGTGGAAGACTCCGAGTGCTATGATGATGCATTGCACTGGTTCCTCAACCAAGTCCGCAGCAAAGACCAGCATGCAATGGGCATGGAAACATACAAGCATCTTTTCCTGGAAAAGGCAAGGGATTAAATGAAAGAAGCTCATAGCATACACTGTATGATTTGCTTAGGTTTTAGATCATTCTCTCATGAGAAAGATGTGTTTACAACAGCGATTCTTTTTTGCCAAAGTGCCTCATATTTGCAATTAGAAAATAAGAGTAAAATTCTGTCAGCGTTTTGCCTAAATTCATGAGTTCTGTATTTTTGTATACATTTTCCTAGTAGTATTTCAAATTTTTCATTTTTTCCCTCAAAATTGTGTAGCAAAGCCTTTGCATTCTGTTAAGAAGCAAAAGGGAGATCAAATGTTGATTGAGAAGGAGCAGTCTGTTTCAGTCACTGGTATAATATTAAACAGGTCTGCAGAAGTTTTATTTGGGAAAGCTAGGACTCCCAGCGTTAGTATGTGGAAAGGCACAATTAACTGAATTTGTTTAATGATGCACACATACAGCCAAGTTTTTCTTGTAGTTGCCTAAGTTAGTAATTATTTATGTCAGTGAGCTTTAAAATGCAGTCAACATGTGCTCTATTTTGCCTTCTCTTAGATGCCACAGCTAAAACCGGAAACAATCAGTATGACGGGACTGAACCTGTTCCAGCATTTATGTAATTTAGCCCGCCTGGCTACGAGTGCTTATGATAGTGGTTCAAATTGTGAGGTAAGGTCTAGCTTGATGAACCTCTTCGGTTTTATCAGTATTGCAGTGTAAACAGACGGTACGTTTTCCCTGCTGCTCTGAGATTTGTTTTATGATCGTGTTCATTCCGTAGTGATGCTTATGAGACGAGCAAATCGGCATTATTACTGAATGTTTATTGTGAACATTTTTGAATGTTTTGCTTTGAGTAATGTGTGTGCTTTTGTGTTGTCTTGATGTTAAAATTGAAAAGGTATGTTTATTTTCAAACATTTTTATTCCGTTTCTGCCAACCCATAGCTTTGTGGTATGGACCAACTATGGGGCATCGCATTGAGGGCTCAGTCTGCCGATGTTAGCCGAACTGCCATACAGTACATCAACTCCTATTATATAAATGGTAAGCGTGCCATGCCACTAGTGGTGATGAACAAATGCTCTGTTAATTTTAGTTGTTTCCTTGGAATTGATTTTAAACGAAAAAGCCGAATTTGTATAATGTTTATAACAAACAGATGTTCAAAGTAAAAGAGAAGTCTTAAGGATATTGAAAACAAACAAAGTTAAATAGAGCAAAATGTGCAACCTTCTCTGTTAGTTTGCAGCTTTTGGATAGTTGTTGAATTTCAGGCTTATATAAATAATATTCTAGACTGGAGTTTATTCTGTCTTTATGTAAGGTATATTTTAGTCTGTTTTCTTTGGTTACAGTTGGCTTGACCTGTAAATCCACCAAGATTCCAGGTAACGTTCTTTAATGTAATATTTGTTTAAATAGACAGGTTAATCTGCTTGTGAAACTTGTCGAACCTCCTCAAAATATTAAAATGAATTATGGATGGAGTTTTCATTATGCTATTTGAGCAAAATGTGTCTTTTTTCAGGCAAAACAGGTTTGGAAAAGGAGCAGGAATTCATCAGCAAGTGTATGGAAAGTCTCATGATGGCATCTGGTAATCTGGAGAAGGATCCCCACTCTAGCCTTACTATAATTGAGAGAGGACTGCTGATGCTCAAGACTCACTTGGAAGCCTTCCGCCGAAGGTACGATGCACTGGCATTGGACTGAAAGGCTTCGATATTATACGCTCGTTTGAGTGCTCTGTGTGTGCACCATGCTCGCCGAAGACATGTGCCATGTGGCAGAGCTGCGTTCATTACGGTCTCCGTGCTTTGCAGGTTTGCTTATCATCTGAGACAGTGGCAGATTGAGGGAACAGGAATCAGCAGTCACTTGAAGGCTCTCAGTGACAAGCAGTCGCTGCCCCTGAGGATTGTGTGCCAGCCAGCTGGTCTTCCTGACAAGGTACCTACAGTGAGACACTAATGCGTCCTTGTCATGTGGGAGGTATTTCAGACACGGCTAGCGGTGTTTTCAGGATTTGGCTCATTATGCTATTCATGCTCCCAGCTGTCGAGTACATGCCACAGCAGGCTTGACTTTGAATAAGCATGAGGGAAATGATCATGTGTCTGATGCGCGTGGCCTTCCAGTGTGTGAGCACAGCTCTTCAGCTCGCAGCTCCAGTCCTGAAGACAGAAAAAGATCCACACAGGAAATCCTGTCTCCAACTTTGTTCTTCTGATTTTTTTTTAACTAGATTACTTTGTTAATAAACCTTTTTCCTCTTTCTACTTGAACATTTTCTGTATCCTGTAGGTCTCTATAAACAGATCCCAAACAGAAAAATTACTTTTATCAACATATGAGGCTCTGGCTAATCCTAATTAGCTGTGCTGGAATTTACAGGAAGATCATGTGTGAACATTGTGTGAATTTAATATCTCATAGGCACGTGGTGTAATATATCACTTTTAAGTGACTCCGAGTGAGAAAAGGTGTCTGCTTGTCTTAACTACACGGCTTGTCCTTCTTCCCTGTTTGTGTCCGTAGATGACGATAGAAATGTATCCCAGCGATCAGGTAGCAGACCTGAGAGCAGAGGTCACCCACTGGTATGAGAACCTGCAGAAGGAGCAGATGAACCAGCAGGCTCAGCTGCAGGAGTTTGGGCAGAGCAGCCGACAGGGGGACTTTCCCGGTGTGTTATTGCTCCGTACAGCCTGAGCTCCAAACTGTTGCCCCGTGTTAGAAATATAGACAACCTGATCCGCTCTCCATTCTACGCATTCGTTCTCTGCATGTTCAAGATAAAATAATGACCTACCAATATCATTAAGTGGAAAAATGTTTATTTTGTTGTTACTCCAGGAGGTTTGATGGGACCTGTGAGAATGATCTCCTCAGGCCATGAGTTGACCACAGATTATGATGAGAAAACTCTGCATGAACTGGGATTTAAGGATATGCAGGTAACCACACGACACGGATTGGCTTTGTCTGTGTCTCTTAGACATGCCATATTTTGCATGAGCTATAACAAAGCAAAAAAATCCTTAGTGCTGAGAATCTTTCATTTTTCAGCTTTTAAGGTGTTCTTTTTACTGCCTTGTATATTAGTACAAATTGTCAGCAAAATCTAGCAAAGATTCTCCTTTACCCAGGAGGTTTATCCTGGTTCAAGGAGAATCTTTGCTAGATTTTGTTTGCAATTTTGTATGGTCAGTAACAGCAGAACAGTTCAGAGAGAAGAGAAGAAGCAGTTCAGTTTGAAGACTTGTTTGACAGTCCTGGCTACCTGTTTCTGTATTGTAACTATATTTACCTGTTTCTTTATATGTTACATACATTGTTTGAAACAGTTTGGTTTACTAACAGTATTTCAGTGCAAAATGTTATTTGCCAAGGTGTAACAATGCCGTAACTAGAACGCATAGCTAAGTGTGTTTTAATGCATAAGGATCCTGAATGAAGGTCGAGAGCTGGATCTCACTGTGTGGGGACGTTGCTCTGCTGTGCTTGCAGATGGTGTTTGTCTCCCTGGGCGCCCCGAGGAGAGAGCGGAAGGGCGAGGGAGTGCAGCTGCCGGCCTCCTGCCTGCCCCCTCCGCAGAAGGACAACATTCCCATGCTTCTGCTGCTGCAGGAGCCCCACCTCACCACGCTGTTCGACCTGCTGGAGATGCTGGCCTGCTTTAAGCCCCCCACTCGGGAGCGGGCTATGGAGGACACGGAGGTACCGCTCACTCCCTTTCCCCCGCCTTCCATCCTCACACTTGCTCTGCCCCCCCCCCGATGTCGGGCACAGACTGGGGGCTGTTCTGCAGCGGAGAGCTGCCAGAAGCTTGCAGATCTGTACATGTAAGGGTGTTTCTCGAGGTTGGTGAAGGTGTGAAGAACGTGGAACAGGTCTAATCTCGTCTTCCGTATCGTATACAAAATCCTTAAGAAAAAACATTTAGCCCTTCTAATTCTTTTAGATTTTCTAGCTAATTGATCCAAGGATTTCATCTGTTTTTTAATGACTCCGGGGTATCAGCTGTGGAGCTTGTTCCCGTAACCCTTTATTTATTCTCAAGATACTTCCTTGTAGCTTCCACTGACGTCCTCTGGTTCATGTTTTGCTGTTGATTGTGAAGAGGCTCACTGGATTGACTTTGTCAGTGCCTTAAAGGATTATGAATAGTTGAATCGTGTTCCTCGTAGTCTTCTCTTCCAGGCTAAAAAGATTAACTTCTTTAAGCTTGTCAGTGTAGGTCATGACAGTGAACCCAGGAATATATCTGGTTACTCTTCTCTGGATTGATTCCAGAGCAGCAAAGTTTTTCTCAAATCTCGGTCACCAAAACTGTGCAAAGTATTTTAGATGAGGTCTTCCTAGTTCATTGTACAATTGTAACAAAACAGCCCTTGGTTTAAATTGTGCACTCATAACTGCAGTATATATCCTCACATTTATGCCCTTCTGTATTGCTTCCCCACATACTGTACCTGGAAGATGAAAACATGTTTACATAATCATCTGTATCTTTATCATACGTAGCGTTTCCAAGCTCATTATTCCACATTTGACATTGGTAGTTTGTTCTTCCTGCAGCAGCACCCTTCACCCCTCATGTTCACAGTAATTCCAGCTTTATATTCAGAGGAAAGCGGAAAAGATGGAATTGTAATATCAGCAATTGTATTTTTCCGAAGAGGAAGACGGGACTTGGTGCCCACAGTGTCGGCGTGCTCGAGCAGTCCGTGTCTTGCGGTGTGCTTGAGTTCTGCCTCGGCTTCACCGCTCGGCGTTTCTCTGCAGAGTGTCAGGTGCGAGGAGCTGCACCTCCATGCTGAGAACCTGTCCAGGCGTGTCTGGGAGCTGCTCATGCTGCTGCCGACGTGTCCCAACATGTTACAGGCCTTCCAGAACATCTCTGAGGAGCCGGTCAGTCTTCCCCGTCCTGACGGGCAGATGCCCTGCTTCACAAATCGGGGATTAAAAGTTTTTTTTAGAATCATTCACATTTACTTTTTACAATGTACTTTGTATGGAACTAAATTGTGTCAGTACTATACAACAAATGAATGTTTTGTGAACTGCATGTGGTAGAGTCGTGGGTTGTGCAGGTTAGGTTAATATATGAAGATCAGGAGTTTCTGGATCTGTGGTAAAACAGCCAAATTGACTCCCACTCTGTGTCATGCTGGTTAACAACCCGATGCTGGCCGCACCTGCCAGGATTTACACCCAGTTTGATTTTATTCCTTTTTTTTTTCCTCAGAAAAATGTCGTTACTTAAAGAATCGCATGAAAATATTTGAAACCTCACTGCCATGAGTAGCTAGGCAGTCAGTCAGACTGGTCAAAATGACCAGATTGCCTTTTCAGATCTGCTAATGTTTTTTTTTTCCTTTTGTTTTTTTAGGGAAGTGATGGACTTTGTTGGAAAGATCTGCTGAGAATTAAGAGCCCGCATAAGCTTTTGTATGCCCTTGAAATCATCGAGGCGCTGGGGAAACCGAACAGGAGGATACGAAGGGAGTCCACGGTAAGGAGTACATTTGGAGCTGTCTGTTAAGCATCCGGTATGTAATTGCATGAGTGCTGAGCATGAAAGGGAACTTAACACTGTAAGCATATTTTCAGAAAAAGCATACAAATTCATGATCTTGATTGTTTTTAGCATCATTTTGTCATTCACGATTGACCACAATCAACTCGTACGAGATCGTTGTAAAGTTGAGGAGGGAATTTTAAACTATTGAAGGCAGAGCCTTATGAAAATAAAAAAAAAAAAAACCAACACCCAGAAGGGAAAATACACCCCACTCATCAAAGAAGCAACACCCTAATGTCATTTGTGTTAGAGGCTGGACTTAATCGTCCGAGAGGGAGTCGGTAGAAGTAGAGCCGAGTCTTCTCCAGTGCTGGGGAAAGTTAGTTTTAAAAAGTAATCCACTGCAGTTACACGTTACTTGCAAAGGATTTTAAAATTGCCAAGTTGCAAGGAATACTCTATTGCATGTTATAGAAACTTCTAATTCATCTGGAAGAAATTGCAATGGCTTCTTGTCCATTCCAAACAATTATAATTTTCAGTTGCACAGTGCATGCATTTTATGTTAAAATGCTTTTAGAATGGTGTTCAAATGCTTTTGCTTTATCAATTTCATACTAGGGGAGCTACAGTGACCTGTACCCAGATTCAGATGATTCCAGTGAGGACCAGATAGAGAACAGCAAGAACTCCTGGAGCTGCAAGGTGAGTGGAACAGGCAGATGTTCAGAGAGGCGGAGATCTCTAATAATGTACAGTAGTGGCACACAAGACAATCTGGGAATGTCTGTGCAGCTTAAGTTAGTCTGTTAGTCTGTGTTTCACTTGTAGCTACTTTCTACATTTCTATACTTGTACACTAGTATTTTTTAAACTATTTTTACTCCCTTTTGTCTTGGCTTACCAATCATTTTAAACAAACTTATCTTACTCAAATACTCATGTATGATCTTACCTGTAGAAGTGGACAATGTTCCCATTCACTATGCAGGGAACTCTTTACTGAGGCTAAGATTACAAAAAATGATAAAAGTAGCCGTCTCTTATGTTGGAAAACATGTATTTTTTACCCTTACTACTTACATTTCTCATTTGACTCTAGTTTGTGTCTTCTGGAGGACTACAGCTCCTTCTGGAAATTTTTAATTCCGCTATCCTGGAGCCTAAAGATCAAGAGTCTTGGACGGTGGTATGTGTTGATGTTTTCACTGCCGTTCGGTCTTGAATTGTGTCTTGATGGTAGGGGTCTCACGGTTGCAGTTGTAGTTCTGTGGCTCAGTTTCCTCTGGCTCTTTGTGTCTAGTGGCTTTTGGACTGCCTTGCTTGCCTTTTGAAGCTGATCTGCCAGTTTGCAGTAGACCCTGCTGATCTGGACTTGGCCTATCACGATGTGTTTGCCTGGTCTGGGGTGACGGAGAACCAGCGCAAACGAGCGTGGCCAGGCAAGTCCCGCAAAGGAGCAGGGGACCATGGGAAGGGGCTCCACATACCACGGCTCACGGAGGTACAGCATCTAATGTCTTTACAGCAGCACTTTGCTTCTTGGGGAGTTTCTTAAGCTTCTACTGAGAGCTAAGAGAGCTTTCTTCTTCTCTTCTAGGTTTTTCTTGGCCTTGTCCAAGGGACCAACTTAATCCATAGGTTAATTAATGTTGCTTACACCTATGACAACCTTGGCCACAGGTAAGTTAAGTCTGTTCTTTAGTTGTGTAATAACTCCTGATTTCCATGTAAGAATGTCTGTTGATGCTTTGCTTAAATCTGAGTAAAGCTCTCCTATTTGCAGCTACAAAGTGCACTAGTTAAAAAAAGAACTATCTGGGGATGTTGTTAATTGAATAAACAACAATTTCAGATGGGTTTTTCATCATTGTGTCACATCGTTATTGTGTTCGTCTTAGCAGTTGAAACAAGAGAATTTAATGGAAATGCAGGGGTTACCCGAGTACTTACAACTGCAAATGTCTGTGTGACACCATAGGAATCCACTGCTGACAGTTTTTCTTTCTTTAGGGTGCTGAAAGCTCAGTCTGATCATAGGTCACGGCATGAAGGTAAGTGTTGTGCCTTAATTCTGTAGAACCCTCTGACTAAGAGCAGCAGAGTGAATACTGTGTTGATTAGGAAGGCTGGTTAAGAATAGATGCATGCAAAATTTACAAGGCAGAGGCTGTTCCCAGGAGTATACTCAGTCCTCGTCCTAGAGTCCACTGCTGCTTTTCACTCCAGCTAAGCTTCATTACTTAATTGGAATCTTAATTGAACTTATAAGTTCCTTAGATGGAAAAGTTTGTGATTTTCAGTTATTTGTGAAATGCAGTGGTTAAACGACACCCTCTAAAGATTCAGTTCAGATTATTCCTTTTATATGAGGACAATTAAAGGGGACCTGCAGTCTCAGTTTCTCTGACTGGTTATTACATTTCAGTAACAAAATAAATTAAGTTGGTGGTATAGAAAAATATGACAAATTTTGAGTTCAGTGCAAAATTGTGAACTGTGTGAAGATACTTTGAGTTGCCATGTTGTCACAAACCTCTGGTCTCGCCACATGCCAGAGAGATTTCCCATCAATTGTGACCTGGAATTCTTGTGCAGTAAATTTTTTAACACTTTACTGTGTACATTGTGCTTGTGGTTTGAAAGGCACTTATCGGTGCTGATTCTTTCTAACCCTCTAAAAATAAAAATAGCCTTTTGCTTCCCCTTTAAGGATTTGGTTGTGTAAATGAGAGCTTGGCTGGACCATAAATGAGCAGATGTGTGTACATCCTGCTAAAAAGTGGCCAAAATCTGGGTCAGCAGATTTAACACAGTAATTTACATTACATTAGGATCAGAAGTAAAGGTTAAAAAGGGAACAAATGGTTTAATTTAATTGTAGCATGTTGTGTCCTGTTGCTTCTCCTGATGATTGTATTTTTCTTCCCTAGTAACACACTACTCTATGTGGCTCCTGGTGAGCTGGGCACACTGCTGTTCTGCAGTGAAATCCAGCCTCGCAGACAGTGAACATCTCCATGACTGGCTCAAAAAGCTCACTCTTCTTGTTCCCGAGGTGAGTGCAGTCAAAAGAGCTGTTTAGTGTTTCTCCCGGTTGGGTGGGGGCGGACATTAGAATCGTGGGAGTTTCACGAACTCGTCTTTGAAGAGGTCTGTTGTTTCTGTGCTTGTAATAACATCAAAGCATTTGGCTCATTCTTCATGTAAAATCAAGGAATAGGATTTTAAACCGTAAATGCCCAGCAACAATAAGAGGGTGTGTTTTGCACCTTCTTATTGCCAGCGATAAGAGAATAGATAAGATGGAACCTCCTATAAATCATGATCACAATTTGTAAGGTATTTTACTATGCATATTTGAAATCTCTTAACCTTGAGTTGTAAATAAAGGTTATTATAATATCATTATTATTTTAAAATTGCAGTTTACAAAGCAGTTGGACTTACCAGAGCTTATAAGCAGTGAATTGGAACTGATGGAGACAGAGACATCAGAAGCTGAATGGATATACTAGCTCAGAACAAATCATCCCTAAAACAAGTTAAATTGGGGAGATTGTGGTCTGCATAATGTGGCAGTATAGAAATGAACAAAAAAGCAGAAGGAAGAAGGCACTTTGACTGCGTAAGAGTAAGAGTAAGAATCGTAAGAGTAAGAGTAACATCAAGTTACAAGTGCAGATGAAAAACAAAGAGACTGTTGTACATTCAGTAATGAACAAGCAAACAGGATCACGATTTGAGGCTAAAAGGGATTTTTTGAATAACGAATAGGACATGCTGCTATACATGCATATTTGTGGATGACTGAAGCTGTCTTCCCAGTCAAGGATTTGAGGTCTAACCTGTTTCTTTAAACAAACAAGTTAGGAATCACTTCGCTACTAAACTACAATGTGGGCAAGATGGACCCAATGGGCTCCTCTTGTTTGCAACAAGTTAGCATTGCCTCTTCCAGCTTACTCAGCTCCTGGTATATCAGCAGGGCACAAATTAATGGACTTCACATTAGGTAGCAGGGTCAAAGGTTCTATCCGGAGGTCATGACAAGGTTCACTGACAGCAGCAACCAGTAGTGTTGCATAGTGAGGCCATAGGTGACACAAATGTAAATGACTTCAGCACCTAAGGTCCTAACCTGATTTTAAGTGGCCCAGAAGAAGCTTCCATCAATGCATCCTGTCTGTGTAGCTGTTCATAAATAGATCATGATATCTGCAGTGAATTATTTTCAGTAGCTGGCCTGTTGTACTTATTCATTGGCTTGAATGACCTGCCATTTTATTGTTAATTTGGGGAAGTATGTATTAGTGGAGCTTCCTGTCACAAGTAGTATAGCATGGGTGTTTTTGTTTCTTAAAACTTGCAGTGCAGCAATGTATTACAGGCAATTTTTCTTTGATTTTATTTTTAGACTGCTGTCCGACATGAAGCCTGTAATGGACTATATAAACTCTCTCTTTCCGGACTGGAAGGAGGAGAGTCTATTAACAGATCCTTTTTGCTCTTGGCTGCTTCAACTCTGTTAAAATTTCTCCCTGATGCACAAGCCCTCAAGCCAATGAGGGTATGTACCAGTCTTGAAACACTGAATGCAATAGCCAGCAACCCTTGATGAAACGTCTCTAAAGATTGATTTAGCAAAGAAATTGCAGGTGTACATCAAGGCTTTTAGACATGCATAATGTAATAAAATGTATTTAAAGGTGGAAATTCATTAGCATGTCTGAAAAAGCATATTTCTAAAAGTTGATGTTCAAAGGTATTCATCCCATGTAAAAAAAATCCTAGAAATACGGTAAATTTAATGCAGTATAATTTTGTCGTCATCTCACAGTTTCACTAAGCCTCAGAAAGTTTGTTGATCTCTATTATAGGCTATGATAATATAGCTATAATATGATAATGGCTAGAATACAATCCATAAAACATGCCAGCTGGCTGTCCATTATCAAGAAGCTCCAGGCTAATGGGAAGATTATTATCCCACTGGGGAGTGGATGTAAGAAAGAAAGTTTAACCTAAATATGAGATCAGAAAAGTGGTTTGGGAGATTAACAATTGGTAATCTTCAAAGGACTCGGTCTTTATTTGTGTCTCCTAAACTACCACTCGAGGCTGAGTTTTTTAATCTGGTGTCTGTGGAACAAAAGACTTTTAATTTGAATCCTCAGAACTGAGTCAAAGTACATTTACAGGGTTTAACAGCCTGTTTGAGCTGAAAACAGTGTCTTCCATCAAGAAGCTCAAGCTTGTTCACAGAGGTGCTTTACAGTAGGATAACAACCAAGAGTGTGCATTCAACTGAATCACTAAATGCCAGGCCTTCAAAATCCCCTTTCTTGGCTGATCATCACAGTCTCTAGTAGGACATCTGTGGTATGATCTGAAAAAAGCAGACAAGTGCATGCGACAAAGCCCAGTGGAGTGGTCAGATCCATCTCTCATGAGAAGTTTAAGAACCTGTAAAAGAAAACAAGAAGCACCTCTCTAATGTTATCAAAGCCAAAGCAGGCTCATAAAATACTGATTACCAGGGTATGTTTTAATACAAACATTGTGCATTTTAATTAAACCCTTTGAGATATTTTTCTTGCATGTTCTACATACAAATTTCTCTTTCTGATTTCTAAGAAACAGGTTAAACAACTTGTTTTGACTAGTTAAATAATTTAATAACTAATTTAACTAGTCTGGATATTAAAAATGTAATTACGAGTATTCAAGCATTGCACAAGGAATTATGATTATCAGAATGATTATTTTTTTATTTGGTCACTAGTACATCCGTAATGAGCTTTTTGTTCACCGTTCATGGGTGGTTATTTTGAGGTTGTCAACCCCAGCTGTCACAGCAAGTGATCTGAAGCCAGTCAAGATAGCAGACTTGGCAAAGTTTGTCATACATGCTTTTGAGGCCGGATATTGTAACGGGCTGTGGTGGCATCCACATCATTTTTGAAAGACAAGCTGGCCGCATGTGTAATTTATTGTCAACAGGTGGAGGATTACGAGGATGAACCAGTGCTTCGGATAGGATGCAAAGAGTATTTCTGGCTGCTGTGCAAGCTGATAGACAATATTCACGTAAAGGACGCCAGCCAGGTATACATTTTGCTTTGATTGGTTTTTACAAGCTTGAGCTGCATTGTCCTGCATCTCGAAGATCTAGCTAGTTCTGAATGTTGAATGTACCAAAGTTTCATCCGCGTGGTCTTTAGACACTGGGTCTGTTTATCTGTGTCCTAGACCACCTTACTGGACCTTGATGCTCTGGCACGGCACCTCGCAGACTGCATTCGGAGGTTAGTCTCCAGACACTCTTTGACTTTATCAAATTCAGTGAATTGACTGGTGCTCAGAGGACCTGGAATTGCCATGCTGATTGTGACACTTTGTTTGCCCCCAGCAGGGAGATCCTTGATCAGCAGGATGGCAATATAGAAGACGATGGGCTGACGGGTCTTCTCAGGCTTGCCACGAGTGTTGTGAAGCACAAGCCACCCTTTAAATTCTCACGTGAAGGACAGGTAACCCCAACACCTTTAAGGGTCGGCTGTATCCATGAAAGATTTCAAGACTTCAAACCTTGACAAATCGCCCTTTCAATTCTTGATTCTCTTCCCCCTGCAGGAATTCCTGAGGGATGTTTACAATCTGCTGTTCATGTTGCCGAGCCTGAAGGACAGACAGCAGCCTAAATGCAAGTCCCACTCAGCCAGGGCTGCTGCCTACGACCTGCTGGTGGAAATGGTGAAGGGATCAGTAGAAAACTACAGGCTCCTGCACAACTGGGTCATGGCACAACACATGCAAAGTAAACAGTATAGCACACTTTGTCCAGTGTCGCACTTGATGTACAGTATCTTCATATGTAGATCTCAGGGCTGATATTTAAAGCACTTTAGTGTTGAAGTCCCCTGTGGAAGTAACGGGAAATTAAGAGGTTCAGAGTTTTGAATGTGGAACTCTTGATGTCTACAATGCAGCTTTTATTTTGAGTATCTGTCCTTATATACGTTTATATAAATATAAAAGGAACAAGTGATAGGTTTATTCCATGCTGAAAAGAGAAGAAAGAAAACACAGCGTTTCGGCCGTGGAGCCTTCTTCAGGTATGTTCATTTTGTTCACACCTGAAGAAGGCTCCATGGCCGAAACGTTGTGTTTCCTTTCTTCTCTTTTCAGCATGGAATAAACCTATTACTTGTTCCTTTGCAGCCTACGCATGCTGACGCAGCTACCTGCCTAAATATAAAAGGGATTATTAACTTTGTTGGAGTGTTGTTCTTTAAGGAACCGACGCTTTGATAATTTAATACTTGTAACCATTTATAGACTAGGAAAATAATTGTGCAAGCTGCATTCATTCTCACTGCAGACATGTCTGTTCTGATGACGTTCTTTGACTAATCATCTGTCTTTAACTGCTGGTGTTTCAGCATCACATGCACCTTATAAATGGGATTACTGGCCTCACGACGATGTTAGAGCAGAGTGCAGGTTTGTGGGGCTGACGAACCTGGGAGCCACATGCTACCTGGCCTCTACAATCCAGCAGCTTTATATGATCCCAGAGGCCAGACAGGCCATCTTCACAGCCAAGGTGGGTGTTGGTGTCCACCAACAACAGCTTCTTGTTTAGATTCATCTTGAAGTAAGAGAGCACCTCAGTGTTTTATGCGTCATGAAATAGAAACCCAGACATTTTCTGCTTTACATACTGTATAATACGTACTGTGTTGAATGATATAAGTCAATCAGAAGTTCTCCTTACTCAAAATTATCTAAGCTTGGGGTAGTGTCAGTAGTGGTAACTTGTTTAAATTATTTGCTTGAAAATAAAATGTATCTGACATGATTCGTAAGGCTTCCAAGTCAATACAAATTTAAATGATTTGCTAGTAAATAAAATGTATCCAACATGATTCATAAAGCTTCCTAGTCAATAAAAAATTAATTTGTAGTGGAGCCTTGAACAAATGTGGTAGAGCTCAATCATTCAGATATTTGTCTTGTTGAATTCGTAGTATGCTGAGGAGATAAAGCACAAGACCACACTCCTGGAACTGCAGAAGATGTTTACATATCTTATGGTAAGTGTTTTGTGCTGTGAGGACATGGTCCTATTTTCCTTGCTGCTGTTAAATGAGTTTAAACATGAACTCTGTTTGGCTGTAGGAGAGCGAACGAAAGGCATACAATCCCAGGCCATTCTGCAAAACCTACACCATGGATAAACAGCCGCTCAACACGGGAGAGCAGAAGGACATGACCGAGTTCTTCACCGACCTCATTACCAAGATAGAGGAGATGTCTCCAGACCTAGTAAGCTCAGTTCTTCAAGAGAACAACAGGGATCACTATGGAAGCTGAGCTGGGTTGTTTTTAAATTTGCTACGCAGGGCTCTGACAAAAAAAGCCAGAATTTACAATTGAAATTTTTCACGTATGCATTATGCCTTTTTCTGATTTTTTTTTCCTGCATAACACTGTTTTAAAGGAGCCTCAGCCCAGCAGACTGAAATAATGTTATTAGATACGCTACATCTTCCAACAGTCATTTTTAGTGCTGAGCTACAGTTGGGGTGTGATTCACACAGTTTTATCTGATGCTTTTATAGCTCACAGAAAGGAAAATCATAGTTCATCACGTTATTTTAATAACGCATTGCTTCCGAAATATGTTCATTTCTTTCAGAAAAACACAGTGAAGACATTATTTGGAGGTGTTATTACCAACAATGTTGTGTCTTTGGTAAGTCTTAATATTACCTTTCAGTGAAGTTAACTTAGATCTTTCAGGAAGGATGGCAGGTGCATAACTGCAAGGGTTGTTGTTTCCCCCAGGACTGCGAGCATGTGAGCCAGACAGCTGAAGAATTCTACACCGTAAGATGCCAGGTGGCTGATATGAAGAACATCTATGTAAGTCAATCCTACGAGTGTTTGCCTTATTAACATTAGGGACAGTGTGACTTCCAATGGAAAAAAAATCTCCCAATCCTTCCCGTTCATCTGCCTTTTTAATCCAGTCTGTGCCAGTTGTTCTGTCTGGATGCATCTGAATATTAAATGTTCAGTGCCTGTTCCTTATTTGTCTGAGTTTGTGTTAATAGTACTCCCAACAGTACAGAACATCCTTATTTTAATGAAGAAAATGGTTTCAATATTGGGAGTGAAAAGCCCAAAGAAAAAGCAAGGGCTCAGAGTAATGTTTACTGTTTCTGCAGGAATCGCTGGATGAGGTCACTATCAAAGACACCCTGGAGGGGGACAATATGTACACTTGTTCCCAGTGTGGAAAGAAAGTGAGAGCAGAGAAGAGGTGAGACTTAAGAATGAGCCTGTTTAAGATGTTTTCTTTCTAGGGTGGTTGATTTAATATGTGGTTTCCACAGGTTGTTCCGAAGGGCTTTTGCCAAGATGGTAACTGCTCGTTTTGTTTTCTCTCCCCCCTCCCCCCACCCTGACAGGGCATGTTTTAAAAAACTTCCTCGGATATTAAGCTTCAACACGATGAGGTACACCTTCAACATGGTGACGATGATGAAAGAGAAAGTGAACACGCACTTTTCTTTCCCTCTGCGTCTTGACATGACCCCTTACACTGAGGACTTCCTCATGGGCAAGAGTGACAGGAAGGAGGGTATGTCAGCAGCAGGCCTGAAAGCCAGAATGGCCCCTGTGCATTTTACAAGTTTCGATTCCTGTGCCGTTGATTCCTATCCCAGCATGTGTTGGATATAGCGAGAGATACTGTGTACTGTGATCAAATCAGTCTTTCAAACCGTCTAGATATGTTTGTGTAAAGCGAGTTCTGATTATCTAGGTGGTTTTCTCTGATCCCCAGGCTTCAGAGATGACGGGGAGATGAAAGCAGCAGAGAGCTACGAATATGATCTGATCGGTGTTACTGTCCACACGGGTACTGCGGACGGAGGCCATTACTACAGCTTCATTAGAGACATCGTCAACCCGCACGCCTACAAGAACAACAAGTGGTCAGTATGGAAAGGAGAAAGGAATATCCTGCTACTCATAATGAGGCCTTTGTGTATTTGGAAAATTGTTTTGGAAATTCACCTTGAAGGATTTTGTTATTTTTGTGTTGTATATGCGCATACCGCTCCGTTAACGGAACATGGGAAGGTTAATTCCCCATACTGCAAAGTAGAAAGAAAAGGCAGAAACGATCGAGCCTTCCTCAGGTGTCAACAGACAAAATTATTTTCTTAGCGTGGAATTGGCCTTTGCCTGTTCCTTTGCCTTCCACTGTCTGATGCAGCTCCCTATACCGGCCTCTTTAATGTCTCACATTCCTTATTTCAGCCAAGGTCACGTGCATCTTTTCAGTTTCACAAAATATACAGTATTTTGTTGTGCACCTTGAAATGCCCAAGAGTTATGCATGTTCCATCTGTATCCTTTCTTCTTTGTCCAAGGTACCTCTTTAATGATGCTGAAGTAAAGCCATTTGACTCAGCACAGCTTGCTTCAGAGTGTTTTGGAGGAGAAATGACTGTAAGTGTTCAAAATGGCTTAATTTGCATTATTTGTGCTATTTTAACTTCATGTTGTCTTGCAGGTAGGTCACAGTATTCTTGTACAAATATAAACCGTGCGCTAAATTCCCTCATTATCTTAAAATCATTTTGGTATTTATTGCGATACTCACTTTTTGGTAGAATGGAAAGTCATTTTTATCTATATAATTAACTTTTTTTAAATGAAACAAGCTTAAGAGAGTTTTTTTTTTAATCCTGTGTCCCCTGAGAAAAAATAAACCAAATCTTTTAAACGAGACTTCACTGTAAAACTTTTTTTTTCAGACAAAAACCTATGATTCTGTCACAGATAAATTTATGGACTTTTCCTTTGAGAAGGTAATTATACACTTTAAGTGTTCTTTTTTATGATGTAGATTCATGGAGAATTATGACACCAGCTCTGATCTGGTCTTGTGTGCTCAGACCCACAGTGCCTACATGCTGTTTTATAAAAGGGTGGAGCCAGAGGAAGAAAGTGGAAAAGATCTTAAATTTGATGTTTCTCCAGATCTTCTAGAGGTAATTCTTCTATGAAAAGTTTGATTTATATGTTTGGATATATGAGTCATATATCAGGGTCTTAATTACTGTTTTGGCTAAACCATTTATTTTGGAGGTCATCTACAAACAATGCAGTTTTTCTTCATTACTGCAACACTGCTTGTTAAGTGCTAGTTAATGACTTATATATCACTAACATAGACCTTATTAGTGAAGACATACTTCTGAAAAAAGTGTCTTTATTGTTTGCACATTCCATATTATTGAATTTGATGCCTCAAAAGCAAGAACAGGTTTTGTAAGAGTGGTTCTTATTTTTTTGTTTTAAAGAACTTGTTACCTTGTTACTTGGAACTTTCCCATACCATGTCTTTTTTCAACTCATGTATTGCTATTAAATGTTATTTGATTTACTTCTACGTTAACTTTCGTAAACTTTCAGTGGATTTGGCATGACAACATGCAGTTTCTACAAGATAAGAACATTTTCGAGCACACTTATTTTGGGTAAGAAAATGTTTTTTTTGTCTCTTTGCTTTTTTATTTTAGCTTGACAATTATGATCTGTTTGGTAAATTTGTTGAATAACTATTTATTTTCTTTGTTACACAAAGTACTGAATGAAAGCAGTGCTTGACAGTAGTGTGTAAATTCTGTATGAGTGCATTATACATTATTGTATAATGCATTATTTGTCCTCCTAGGTTCATGTGGCAGCTCTGCAGCATTATTCCCAGTACTTTACCAGATCCAAAAGCTATATCTCTGATGACAGCCAAGGTGAGAACTGTCTTCGAGTTGAGGATTGGAAAAAGATTAAGCTCCTCTTAAGTGCATTAATATGTGAATCACATTGATAGACATTTTCTTGAATAACTGTATTTATACAAAGATGAGCATTTTCAAAAGGCTTCTTTATAATTTTTGCTAGTTTAACTCGTTGACTTCACTGCTAAGAATGTACCTAAAAATTGCCCCTCTCTTTACTTTCAGCTTAGTACGTCTTTCGTTTTGGAAACATTTATTCACTCGAAAGAAAAGGTAAGTTATTGTTTTTGGGCTTAGACAGCTTTCATGCAGACATGTCTGTCAGTTGCAAAAAAATGTATTTTTTTTGCTTAAGCGGTTTGTATTAAAATGTCTGTGAAAATTGGACTTAAGCAGTTGTGTTGCACATTACATTTCCCGGACTGCGAGTTTGGAGTTATTGTTGAACAAACCCTGCATTGGCCCAGCTGGTTTTAACTGAAATAATTAATTTCTTTTCCCACTGTTCCACAGCCAACAATGCTACAGTGGATTGAACTCTTAACAAAACAGTTCAACAACAGCCAGGCTGCTTGTGAGGTAATGTTCCATATTCAATTGTAAATATATCAGCATAACACTGTGAGAAAGACTTTATCAGATTTTATTTGCCAGTTTGCCACACCACTCTCTTTGTTTGTGTGAAAACCTCCTCAGAAAGAAGTAGATTTTTCATTTTCCAAGAAAAAACATGTGTGCTACATGAGACCTGTTAGTTTAAGTCTTAACAGTGGCAGGTTTACAGACTCCTCAGTGCGTGTTCTTGTTTTTCAGTGGTTTTTGGACCGAATGGCTGATGACAATTGGTGGCCCATGCAGATCTTAATTAAATGTCCCAATCAGATTGTCCGACAGGTAACCATAGAAACGCACCACTCTGTGGACCTTGTAATACAAAAATTAATAATAAAGTAATAATAATTCAATAATACTAGTAATAATAAAGTAATACAAAAATATTAGAAAGCAGAATCATTAATGTGAATTCCATAAACTGCTATATGTACAGTGAAATGTTTCTTATTAAAGACTTCAATTTAATTCTACTTCTAATTTCAGATGTTCCAGCGCTTGTGTATCCATGTGATTCAGAGACTGAGGCCAGTACATGCACATCTCTATCTACAGCCAGGAATGGAAGACGGGTACAAATTTGCTGCTTACATCTATGTGCAAACTATTGTATTAATTCCCGCTGTTTAGTCTGTTATTTGAAAACTCTAATGGAAATACAGATCCTTTCCAATTACTTGCAATCATTTCACATTGGAGAATTGCAGCACCAGCAGCAGGCTCTGATCAATGTTTCAAAACCATCACCATACGGTTACAGGCAATTCTGGGAAGATATTGATTCATTTTTATATTTTTTGTGGCGAAAAAAAGCAATTTGGTCTCAAGGTTAAGAGAAAAAAAGGTTGAATCTCCAATATTCACTACAAGCCTACAAAAAACAGCTGAATTGTTTGTATGCACGATGGATTTTGGAGTGGGGTTGTAGAGGTGTAATAGCTGTTTGTATTGTGTTTGCCCGGGCAGCTCTGACGACATGGATGGGCCTGTTGAGGACATAGGTAGCAGGTCTTGTGTCACGCGCTTTGTGAAGACCTTGCTCTCCATCATGGAGCATGGAGTGAAGCCTCACAGCAAACACCTGACTGAATACTTTGCCTTCCTTTATGAGTTTGCTAAGATGGGAGAGGAGGAAGTAAGTTGGACTGTAAGACCTTTCAAATCCCATGCATGAAAAAAGCACAGACGTTTTTGTATCTTTATGACAATGTATGTTTTCTTGTTCGTTTCCCCACAGAGTCAGTTTCTTCTTTCATTACAAGCCATTTCAATTATGGTGCATTTCTACATGGGAACAAAGGGGCCTGAAAATGTACGTATACCAGTTTGATCAACAGAAATAGCTTTAGAAACAATGTAGGTTGTTTGCATATATCATATAAAATGTTTAGAGCATGCTGTGTTAAAGTAATTTTATGATTGTTTTTTGAAGAATTTAAACACACTTTGAATGTCTGGAGCTTTTTTAATTTTGTAATATTTATCAGCTTGAACCTCAGATATCGCATGCATTTTATTTGACAGTACTTTGAAAGACCATAGCTTGCTGTTAGTAGATATCTGTGGTGACAAGCTCTCTCATAACTCCTCAGCGCGGGGAGTGGTGTGTCTGAGCTGTGCTGTGTTCTCAGCCCCAGGTGGAGGTGCTCTCTGAAGAGGAGGGAGAGGAGGAGGATGAGGAGGAGGACATCCTGTCCCTGGCGGAGGAGAAGTACCGTCCGGCAGCGCTGGAAAAGATGATCGCGCTCATAGCCCTGCTCGTGGAGCAGTCCCGCTCTGAGAGGTTAGCTACGAGACCACAGCCAGCACTGACCACTACGTCTGTCCAGACTGCACTAGAGGTGCACCAAGGGTCACTGGATGGCATGTGTGTTCTTTAAGCAGATCCACCACTACCCTGGTGTTCTCAATGTACAGCAAGCAGATATATCACCCTGCAACTCACAACTGGCAGCCCACTGAAGCTAAGCAGGGGTGAGCCTGGTCCGTATCTGAATGGGAGACCTCCTGGGAAAAACTAAGGCTGCTGCTGGAAGAGGTGTTAGTAGGGCCAGTCGGGGTGCTCACCCTGTGGTCTATGTGGGTCCGTGACGGGGACACTATACTTTAAAAAGGCACCGTCCTTTGGATGAGAGGTAAAACCCAGGTCCTGACTCTCTGTGGTCATTAAAAATCCCAGGGCGTTTCTCCAAAAGAGTAGGGGTGTAACCCCGGTGTCCTGGCCAAAATTCCCATTGGCCCTTACCAATCATGGCCTCTTAATAATCCCCATCTATGAATTGGCTTCTTTACTCTGTTCTCCTCCCCACTAATAGCTGATGTGTGGTGAGCGTTCTGGCGCACTATGGCTGTCGTTGCATCATCCAGGTGGGGCTACACACTGGTGCTGGTGGAGGGGATCCCCATTACCTGTAAAGCACTTTGAGTGGAGTGTCCAGAAAAGTGCTAAATAAGTGTCTGCAATAATAGTTGTAATAATAATAATAATAATAATAATAATAATAATAATAATAATTATTATTATTATTATTGTGCTTGCTCCCTCCAATCCTGTGATTTGAACGCAGTTTCGTCTCTGGAACAAGGGAAGAGGAAAGGAGAGATTAAACACATGCTTCTAAAAATATTTAATATAAAGGTTTTTAACCATCATGGTTTTTATTTGATAAGATGTTTCAGATGGTTAAAGTAGGTTAAAGCATAAATTATATTGAAACTCTGGTGTTTTACAGACAAAGATAAATATGATTCTGAAGCTACATTTTCCTATATATAGGATCCCTACCTCTTGCCTCTTCAAGTGCTAGAGCCCCTCCATGCTTCCTTTAAATTCTGATTGACCTTTTGTAAAATCTCACAGAACTGTATCTGATTGTCTCTTGCTATTCCTAATAACACCAAGTGAATAAAATGGAGCAGCCTTTTTTCATGTGAGCAGTCCGCTTTGGGTTCCGTATTTCCAGGAAAATGTCTTTTGCGTTTAAGCCGCCTTCTCTGTCCATCTAGATGCGTTTCAACAGAGAAAGATGTGTCATATTATTTGTTTGAAATATTCACGTCAAGTTGCATTTTCTAAGAAAGGTGTTCCAGGATCTTACCATGTTATAACCCATTCTGCATTGTAGTGGATCCCCTTATAATGGGGGTGTACTGTATATAGTATTCAGCTTTTTTTAAAATCTGACTGTTATGTTAGACAGTTAACTCTTATTTGGAGTACAAAAAAGTCATTTGTTTCATTAACTTAAATATTTTTTTTCCTCTAGACATTTAACTTTGTCTCAGAATGATATGGCTGCACTCACGGGAGGAAAGGTAGGACTAGTGGGCTTCCTGAATTCAACTTTATAACTGCTGCCGCTTTCTGAGCATGAGTCTGATTCATCTTTCTGTGGGTTTCACAGGGATTCCCGTTCTTATTTCAACACATACGGGACAGCATCAACATCAGGCAAACGTGCAACCTCATCTTCAGCCTCTGTCGCTATAACAATAGACTTGCAGAACATGTAAGTTTTAACGGAACCTCAAACCCTCCCATTTTATTTTTATTCCTCTGCTTCCTTTCATAATATTAACACAAAATCAATTTTGTTTCAGATTGTTTCTATGCTTTTCACCTCCATAGCAAAACTCACTCCAGAGGTACGTGTAAAACAAAAATCCCCTGTTGCCGTGCTCAATAAAGTGTTATTTTCAGTGCCATGGCCCATGTCAGATATGCCTTATGAAAATAGTTTTTGAAAGATTTCTTGCGTGCCATTTTGTTTTTGTAGTTATCCTGTTGTATGTTTTGTTACATTGGAAGTCCTGTGCTTAGGCTTTTCATTGTAGGCAGCAATCAAGAGTGTGTGCTATGTTGACTTTGGAAGGAGGTAATACCTTCTAGTGTGAGAATGAGGATGAGCTTGTGTGGGCCGCTTTCTAATGGAGAAACAGCATTGTTCAGAAGATATGTCATTTTAGAATGAGATTCGATTCAATTCAGAATACTTCATTCGTCCCCAAGGAAGCAATTTAGGTAGCAAGTCGTGCAACATACGACACATTCCAAATAAAATAACATTACCAAGAAGAAAATATATTAAAGCGGCAAACAGACCATTGAATTGGTTGTGAGAGTAACGGTGTGCGATATTTAAGAAGGTCATAAAGTACATACCTTTAATAGGTGTGTACTGAGAAGCAAACGGCAATGGCTATGATGGGAACCCATGGCGAGTTTGATTTTTAAACCCCTGCATATTCCCCCTTTCTGTGTATCCTGCAGGCTGCTAATCCTTTCTTCAAACTGCTCACCATGCTGATGGAGTTTGCGGGAGGACCACCTGGAATGCCCTCTTTTGCATCTTACATTCTGCAGAGGATCTGGGAGGTACGCTGTCGCCAACACGTCGGATCCTGACGCAGCAATTGAAATCGAAGCGCCAAGCTGAGCCCCTTTTCTTGTCTTGCTTTCAGGTCATAGAGTACAACCCCTCTCAGTGTTTGGACTGGCTGGCTGTGCAGACGCCACGCAACAAGCTGGCACACAGCTGGGTGCTTCAGAACATGGAGAACTGGGTAGAACGGTTCCTGCTGGCACACAACTACCCACGGGTCCGGACATGTACGTATCGCTTCCGCAAACCTGGTCTTCGAGACCCCGGAGCAGTGCACGAGAGGAGTCAGTTTTGTTGTTGTTTCCGTTAACAAAAGCAACGTCATTATGTTGAGGAATGTGGGATCGCTGGGCCGGACTTTTGAAAGCGAATTTTTAACCGTCAATCAAAATCATCGCTGGAAACGTGGCACGTTGATTCTGATTTTAAGACAACACGCACACATTCATGAATTGTGTTTTGCAGCTGCTGCTTATCTCCTGGTGTCGCTGATTCCCAGCAACTCTTTCCGTCAGATGTTCCGTTCCACCCGTTCCCTTCACATTCCCACCCGGGACCTGCCTCTAAGCCCAGACACCACGGTGGTGCTGCACCAGGTCTACAATGTCCTCCTGGGACTGCTGTCCCGCGCCAAGCTGTATGTGGACGCTGCTGTGCACGGCACTACCAAGCTGGTGCAGTACTTCAGCTTCATGACCTACTGCTTGATTTCCAAGACGGAGAAACTCATGTTCTCCAGTTACTTCATGGACCTGTGGAACCTCTTCCAGCCTAAGCTATCTGAGCCAGCCATTGCCACAAACCACAACAAGCAGGCCCTCCTGTCCTTCTGGTACAATGTGTGTGTGGATTGCCCCGAGAACGTCCGTCTTATTGTCCAGAACCCGGTGGTGACCAAGAACATTGCCTTCAACTACATCTTGGCGGACCATGATGACCAGGATGTGGTGCTCTTCAATCGTGGCATGCTGCCAGCCTACTATGGCATTTTGCGCATGTGCTGTGAGCAGTCACCTGCATTTACCAGGCAGCTGGCTTCCCACCAGAACATCCAGTGGGCGTTCAAAAACCTTACGCCTCATGCCAGCCAGTACCCAGGGGTAAGTATGTGTTCTGAAAGCTGTATTTCTGTTTTGGGACACAGCCGTTTTCTGTTTTCTTGTAGCCGTGATTGTGTAAGAACTGCACTGTGCCAGGTCCCTTGAACAGTCTGTGCTGTGCTTGCAGGCAGTGGAGGAGCTCTTCAACTTGATGCAGCTCTTTGTTGCCCAGAGGCCTGATATGAGAGAGGAGGAGCTGGATGACATCAAACAGTTCAAGAAAACCACCATAAGCTGCTACCTGCGCTGCCTAGATGGGCGATCATGTTGGACCACTCTGATCAGGTATTGTTTGTGTCTCTCTGAAGCTGAGAGTGAGACATTATTTTCAATTTCCTAGCAGGAAATGTGAGAGAATACCACTAGGCTTTTTGGATTAATAGAAGCTAGTCTCCAGATGGATCATTCTTAAAATTTAAATTTATTTCTAAATTTCTTAAATTGTCACTCTTCCTGAAATAATAATGGAAATTGCAGATACAGCATTTTTTCAAGCATTCTATGTCTTTTCACATTGGTTTAAATCATCGCGTGACATCTTTTTTTCTAGTGCCTTTCGTGTTCTGCTAGAAAACGATGAGGACAGATTGCTTGTTGTTTTTAACAGGGGACTGATCCTCATGACAGAGGTGAGCATTCTGCTTTTAAAAATATTCATTTTAATGTGCTGCGTGCGTCTGCCTATTCAAAGAGTGTATACACTAAGATGAAATGTGTGCTTATGCTTGAGTTATATAACATGCTATATAGTCTATTGAGATGGCTTAAGTTAATAATGCATTAGAAACACAGAAATTCCGATTTCTGCGTTTCTCCAAGCCCTTGTGATGGACTGCTGTCATGTCCAGCAGGATCTCAGTTGTGTGCTCTCTTTCCTGCCCTATGCTTTCGGGACAGGCTCTAGCTCACCGTGACCTGCCCTTGAATAAGCAGCTTGCTGATAATGGATGGGACTTGATGTGTCAGTAAATACATTTGTGTGCTGCTGCTCTTCTATTCCCACAGCTTGAATCTACAGTTTCATTACCTAGTGAGATTTCTATATAAGGTGTACATGGAGGACATAGGCTGATTCTATGTATATTGAGCCTCTTTTCCTCTGTCCTGGACAGTCTTTCAACACATTGCACATGATGTACCATGAGGCAACTGCGTGTCATGTTACGGGAGACCTGGTGGAGCTACTATCCATCTTCCTGTCAGTTCTCAAGGCCACACGGCCTTATCTTCAGAGGAAGGGTATGTGCTCTTCTAACTCATTGCTCACAAGCTAGAGACGTTTCAGGCAGTGGTGATGATGGCATGTCAGGGAGCAGTTAATGAGTTGTCCACTCTAGCTAGGTACCTAGGAAAAAGAGTTGTTTTTTTGTGATGTATTGAAATTGTTATACGAAACATTATGTTCAGGTGCAAACCTTCCTAAATTTGGAACAGGATCAGAGTTAATATATCAGTGCTGTGAATTAACGGCTTTGTTTCAGATCATTTAAAGCCTTTTCCCTCACATTTTGCAGATGTCAAACAGGCTCTCATCCAGTGGCAGGAGAGGATTGAATTTGCCCACAAGCTGCTTACTCTCTTGAATTCCTACAGTCCTCCAGAGCTTAGAAATGCGTGTATAGGTGAGACCCTCTTAAAGCTCACTTTTCACAAACAGAGCTGGAATTGGAAAAAACTGAAAGAAAAGGTTTATTTCTTTGCACATGTGCAATAAACTGCCTTTCTTTAACGTTTTGTGGATCAACCAGACCAACCAGAAAGCAGCATCAGATAGTTTTCATGCTAGGTTAGAAACTAGCATTGTGAACGAGGCTTGTTCTTTTGGAAGGGTCTTCATGTTCAATCTCTCTGTTGGTATTTTTGGTGTTTCACCACTTAAAAGCTGTGGAATTGCCTGCTAGCTTCACTTTTCCAATAGGAACAGCTTGATTTGTCTTTATTAACCGCTGTGGGGTTAGTCATCAGTACAAAAATAATTTCTAGAATGTATTGTTAACTTCATACATGTGTTTGTCCTCCAGATGTTTTAAAGGAGCTAGTTCTCTTGAGTCCTCATGACTTCCTGCACACCCTGGTGCCATTTCTTCAACACAACCACTGCACTTACCATCATAGTAGCATCCCAAGTAAGTTGTGTGCTCTCTGCCCCGTCCTGTGACTGGTGGATTAGTTGCTCTTTGGTTTAATAAGCATATTTGTAGTGATGGCCAACCTGACTCGATATTGTGCTGTGTTTTTTGCAGTGTCTTTTGGACCATACTTTCCTTGTCGGGAGAACATCAAGCTGATGGGAGGAAAAAACAACATTCGGCCCCCAAGACCAGAACTTAATATGTGTCTTCTTCCCTCCATGGTTGAGACCAGCAAGGTGCATATGTCCAATCTGGTATAAATATACCGAACAGCTATAGAAACCTCACTCTATATGTGCATGCGTTGTTTTAGAAAAAGTATTTTAGGTTTTGGATGTTAATTAAACGTTTTAGGAGTTGTTTCTATTCACTAATTATTGATGACCGATTGCAGTATACACAGGTAACTTAATTGCATTAGCACTGAATCATTCCATTAGTTGGTGGCTGATGAAATAGTTGATTGCACACAGGTGATTAAGTTATTTAACCTTTCAAGCCTATAAGAACTAAGAAAGACAAATACCAGAAAGAACTCGTACTGTATGCGTCACTCATCAAGAAAAGTCCTCAGTAGCGATAGACCGTGGTGTTGTGTAGACCACCCTGATGGATATTGGCGAGTGTGATGCTGACGTGCAGAATGATGTACTAATTCTTGTGTACAGCAGAGCTCTATGTGGAGGTCCTAGTGTGAGGGTATTGCCAAGAATGTCTGGACACAAGACATCCTGCTGTTACTACTGTTCCTGTGGGCTCATCCTGACATGACACCATTGCAGCAGGACGACACACCCTCAAGCCGCCTGTCAAACAGTGGCTTTCATGGTGGCATCGAGCCTGAAGAGAGCAGTGGGCAGTGGCACATTTGTCCAGGCTGTACAGAGAAAAATTCCACTATTCCAATATTCCACATAGTGCTCTTTTTAGTCATGTAATAACAGGCATCTTTGATGTTAGGGGGGCATTTTATATTTCAGCAAGGTGTCATGATAAATAACTTAAAAGTGTTTTTTTTTTTGGCTCCCCCTGATTTATAATACATTCCCCTTTTCTTTTTTCAGGGAAAGGATGAGGTCTATGACCGTATGCTGTTGGATTATTTCCTGTCCTATCATCAGTTCATTCATTTGTTGTGCCGAGTAGCTATCAACTGTGAAAAGTTTACAGACAATTTAGTTAAACTAAGTAAGTTGGTTTGGGTTATAATGAGTGTTTATACACTAATACCTTATTTTATAATTCCTTTAGGCATTTTGGTTAACATGTTTTGAAAAATATGTATATTTGTTCTTGACAAGTGTATTACTTAGGTTTCTTGTTGGCTGTTTTAGAATATCAAATAGAGAATCAAACCCATTTTAGATATCTACATCACTCTTTCTCTATTCACAGGTGTCCTGATTGCGTATGAAGGTTTGCCCTTACATTTGGCATTGTTGCCCAAACTCTGGACAGAACTTTGCCAGTCTCAGGTATTGTACACACTTTAACTGATCTGTTATAGATGTGAAATTTTGTGGGCCCCTAATTTGTAAGCAGGATTACATTTCAAAAAGAGCTCAAGTGCATTTTGTCGTGGTAAGCTGCGAGCTGGGTTTAGGCTTGGTTTTTGGTGTTATCAAAGCTTTTCATTTATTGCAATTCTTTTCTTTAGTCTGCTATGGCAAAGAGCTGTGTGAAGCTCCTGTGTGAAGACCCGGCTTTTGCAGAGTACATAAAGTGCATCTTAATGGACGAAAGGACGTTTCTAAACAACAATGTGGTCTACTCCTTCTTGACCTGCTTCCTTCTCAAGGTATAGGGACAGTTATTTATATTCACCAGCGATTTGTACTTGTTTATTTCAAGCCATTCAGCTCATCTCGCCCATTTGGTAGTTAGTAAATCCAAAGGGCTCATCTAGCTATGTTTTAAAAGAAGTGAGAGTGTGACTTCAGTAACATGGAATTTTAGCTTGTTCCATATTTCCTTTGAGCTTAAGAAAAAGTCGTGCTTCTCGTTTTGGGTTTTAAATGCACTTCATCTCTGGTTCATGTTTTGCTGTTGATGTAAAAGTCTAAGGGGTTGTATCAGAATATATCTGGGTATGGTTCTCTAGAGATTCTAGAGCGCCAATGTCTTTCTTGTACCATGGTGACCAAAATCATACATAATATTCTAACTGAAGTTAGATTTCAGTGTAACATCCCTGAATCTCACCCCTTATACATTTAACTATATATACTATCATTGTTTGCTTTTGTTATTGGTCCCTCACATTTAAAATATGTAGATGTGTCAGCATTAACACCTAGTTCAGCAGTCTCCATTTCTGTTTCTTTGTTCAAAGAACTTTAGCAGGCTACTTAAGCTAACTAAAATCATGTTTTATTATTTTCCTTGAAGGTGCAGAGTCAAGTTTTGTCTGGTTCTAGCTGCGCAAATCTTATAAACGTTCTAGTGACTAATCTGATCAACGAGTACCACAGTCTGGAGCCGGAACCTGCAAGCCAAAGAGCAGAGATCTGCAAAACGAGCAGTGCACTGAATGCGGTTTGTATTTTTGCAGTACTAGATAATAAAGGCAGTAAACTGTGGGATTGTCGTATCATAACGATTAACATTGTACTGTAATGTGACACACATACTTTTAGCCTGAAAGTTTTTTTTCCCTGTTGTGTATATGTATTTTTTTGTTTTTAGTGAGGTTTATTTTCTTGAATTCAGATAATCTTATATTTTAAAAGCTGTGTAAAACATTAGTGTCTGCTACTGTACATGTCAACAGGGGACTTTTTAAAATGGCACGATTCCTCTTCACAGGACCTGCGAGCCTTCATCCTGATGCTTTCGGTTCACACCCCAAAGCAGCTCGACACTGCCCTGCTGCCAGCGCTTCAGGATCTGCTCGGCAAGTGCAGAGCCTGCTTGCAGCAGAGAAACACCCTGGAGCTGGAGGCGAAGGAGAGAAAATCGAAAGGTACACCTCCAGACATTTGAAATGTTCCGAGGTACAGCCTGCATTTTCACCAGTAATCCGCAGACTGGTCTGTGGCAGGAGTTAGCGCCGACATTAACGCTGCCCTGTGGGTTTTTGCAGACGATGAGGGAGCGACTCCGGTGAAGAGGCGGCGTGTGAGCTGCGATGAGGACCTGGCCATCGAGAGCTGTGCGGGAGAGCTGAAGTCGGAGCCGAGGGAGGCGTTGACCCCAACCAGCACCTCCGACACGGAGACCAGGGACTCCTCAGTCATTGACCCAGGAACCGAGCAGGATCCTCCCACCCCTGAAAACAGCTCCCCGAAGGAGGAGAAGATGGAGTCCTCGTGCTCGGTGCCCGAGGACGCCCTGCTCTGCAGCAGGCCCCCAGAGGAGCAGGCGGAAGGCGAGGGTCAAGCCGAAGAATGTAAAGACTCGAAGGAAGAGCTTCAGGGCTCCAAGGCTTCCAGCGGCGCGGAAGAGGATGCCGAGTTTCCCTCTACGTCCGTTTTTGCAGGTTTGCATGACATTGCGGACCTGAGAGGGGGTGAGAATCAGAGTTTCCCTTTGCAGGACCCAGAGAGCAGTCTGCCAGCCAGCTGTGCCCAGTCCAGAGGACTGTTGAACTTCATGCAGCAGCATGACATTTTAGACACTTTGTGCAGGACCGTTGAGTCTACTATCAGTGTGGTCACAAAACTGTCTGGAAAAGGAAGTCGGTCCACGTCTTGACAGTATTTCTCGCATGTCTGCTTTTAAATTTTCTTTTTTTTAAATGCTGTTTGTATACTTCTCTTTTTCTGTTCACTTCTGGCTGTTTGATCAGTTGCTCTGTGCTTTAGTTTGTCAAGTGATCTTTTTTTGTGCTTGAATGGCAATAGATTCATATGCTTGAAGCATCTGAGGCTGGAAAGATGCAATGCCTCAGATCAATTGATAAGAAAATAATTGCAGCTATAGCACATTTTCTCAAAGGGCAAAACATTTTTCATTTTTACTTATTTCAGAGTTCTTTGAAGTAATTCTTTGTTCAAGGTTGCTGTTAACGGGGGAAGGTTTACAGAATTTTAGTCTTCTCTCTTTTCTGTATGTAATTTAAATTTATTGCATTTTTACTGTGTATAATATGGTGTCCTCTGTGCCAGTTTTGTACTTTACTAAGGAGGCAGATTGCCTCATATTTCTGTGGTTATATCCAAAATAAGTTTACCTGTATATTAAAAAAAACCACAAGAAACTTGATTCTGTTAAGAATCCTTTCTAAATGTGGCCTGGCAGTATATATATAAATATATATGGTGCTTTATTTGACAGGATACCTGTGGATGAAATAAAGCACACTTGATGTAACAATTTGAGCTTTATTTTATTTACTGAAATACATTCCATATTATATTATGTCATAATTGCATTTCCTGTTTTCTATTTGACTTAATTTAGAATTATATTATGAATAAAACTTATAGTAATTATGAACCAAAAGAGAATACAACCTCTGACAGATTAGTTTTTCTGGTTTATTTGTAATATTTTTCACAAAGTTTTAGAATATAAGTACTTTGTGATTTTTTATGATAGAAGCAGTGCAATGCATGTTCAATTTAATTTTAGGCTGGGACTATTTACCAGCTAGAATGCTAACAATTCTAAATCTGTCTGATGGGTCAACAGTTACATGAACCTTTTTCAGTTTACGTAATTCTGAGGTTTAAACAGGAATATTATGTTCCCAGAATTATTTAGCATGTTCATATGTTAATGAAAAGTAAACAAAATGGTTGGATTCATTCTGTATTGTGCATCATTCAGATTACAATGAAATCATGCAAACAATCCTATTTGGCAAGCATCCATGACCCTCAACAAAATATTTTATGTGAAAATGACATTTCACTTCATACTCCTTGTTTTAGTTCAGATGGGCATGACAAGCAGTGCCTTGAGATAAATCTTTATTAAATAATTCCTGATTTTTAAAGATGTTTTAAATAGCCATACTCTGCAAATATCTATAACTTTCCAAAACAAGCCATCCAATTTGTATCAGTTGTGGTCTTTACAACAACATTTTTGGTGTAATATATTTACACCTCCACTAAATGTTAGATTTTAACTGAGCAAGGGACCTGTTGTGCTAAAAGCTTGATCTCCAGTTTATTAGTTCAAGAATAAGGTGAACATGCCTGTAGTCAAGTTTGACTTTTAATTTTGCTTGATTGGCACTTTACTGTAACTTGTTTTACTCACTGTGAAATAATGTAAAACATAACAGTTGATAATTGTAATAAAATTAAATGACAAATTTGATATTCGAACCTTGTTTTTTAACAAAACCTTTTCCTAAATTTTGTCTTCACTTCACATCTCTCATTAAGTCAAATGTAACATTAAACTTAATTGCAGAAGCATAGTGTTATGTAATTTCAAATAAACTCAAATAAGGTTCTGGCACCAAGTTTTCCACATACCAGATGGTGCAAGATGACTTCAGATGTCAGACAAGTTTAACATTTTTCATAGACTGAACAAGTCTGGTCCTTTTACGGTAATAAGCGTAGTAGTAAAGTCTTTCCTTAGAAACAATATACCAGCCAATGAATGAAATGGCCATCTGTATACCATTTTCTTTATTCAACGAATGATCCTATTTTTAAGGTTTGGCAATTTGCTAGCAGATACTAGAAAACAAGAATTAAGGTAGTGATACCTAAGAAATACAGGTACAGTACTGTGTACAATGAGTTGGTCATATGCTGGGTCGTTAGAGCCCCAATCTCTCTCCTTTTACGCTTTATGTTCAATTCTGGACTGGAGTACCTTCTGAGTAGTTTGCACATATTTGTGTGGGTTTTCTCAGGGCACTTTGCTTATCTCCCACCTTCCAAAGATGTGTTGGCGAGGTGAACTTGTGTCTTTGAGTTGTCCCTGTGTGTTCCCTGTGGTGGACAATCTGCCTTGCATGTTGTGCTTCTGGGCTAGGGCCTGTGTTGCAGTGACCCTTTCCAGATTAATGCGGCTATCTGAAAACACATGAATATGGACTTACTGCCTTTTGAGTGGGTAACGTTGTCTTCTCTGTTTTCTGCCAGGGCAGGTTTGTAGCAGTAGCAATGTGCGATGAAATCGCTTTGTCCTCTCTAATGATTTTTTTTACTAGTGGCTCATGACTGCATGATTTCTATTTGAATGTCACATAAAAGACTTGAGTATGACATTTAAGTCCTCAATATCGACAGGAAATATAGTCAGCGTTGGCCACACGGCTCTCTTTATTCAGTGGGCATTTCTGCACAGTGCGAGAGTAGCCGTTTCAAGGGATCAAAGTAGGTCCTCTGCCAGCACAGCCGCGTGCTCTGCTCCTCAGCAGCAGGGATATTTTTGCACTCCACCTGCACCTGTGCTTGGCCAGACACATCGAGCAGTTTCACAGTCACCGAGGCATAATGTTCTGTGAAGCACAAAAAAAGGACGGTCATGAACATCAAACTGAAGCATGCTACGCACAAACGCTGTCCTAGCATTGTCTCTGAACGCTGTGCGTGCCTAGAAATAGACTTTTAAAAATATGCAAAAATAATCTGGTAGATTCTGCTTCATATGATTTCATAGCTGTGAGAGATCTGTTGATATTGTGACAAAGATTTCCCATTAAGAATTTAATTGTGAGAATAGATTATATGATCATAATAATAATTATAAAGTTAATTATTCAGATGTATTGTGAGCAAGGATTTTTATGTTGATACACATGATTGGATATGCCTACTTTGAACAGCTGATTGTGCCATAAAGTTCTTTGAGCACTTTAAATGTTTTTTTTTTTAGTTTTCTGTTAAGGGCACTGATTTTTATTAATTCTCTTTGCTTAAAATGGCTTAAGAACTTTTGAAGTGCCTATTCTCAACAAAATGCCAGAAGGCAAAACAAAAGATGGACCTTCTGTTTCTCAAAAATACTGTATCAACATACCAGCAGTCCAGTTCCGACATCGCCATCTCATATCGATTTGATCGTTTTCTTTCTGAAAAACAGGCCAGAAAGGTTGGTTAGCAGTGCTATCAGCTCGGCATACAGTAGTTGTGGCTGAAGCCAGACCTTGTACTCACCAGCTCCAGGAACTCTCCTGTAACTTCCCCGTTGTAGAGACTAAACTTTCCTCCCTTTTGAGCTTCAGCAACTGACTCTGCACCCGAGAACTTTCTCAACTCCTGCAAACAACAATTGGTAAGAATTCAGAACAATCAGAGCACACAGACAAATACGGACTTTCTCACATTTGCACATTACGAGGAATGATTTTTCTCACTAGAATTGAACATACAGCCACAGTAGCCTCTTTGCTTTCATTACAGTCTTTGAGATTATTTTATTTTGGAGTGGGATCTAAATTTTCAATACCAGGAGTTTATAACACTACATGTAATGTAAATGCTGGTGATGATTGTTTTTTTACATTTTCAAAACAAGAACCTTCCTTTGCATAACCGTGCTCTTACCTCTTGTGATGTGAAAGCCTTGTACAGCTCTGCTGCAGATGAGACAAACGTGTCCTTGAGGATCAGCTTGCATGTTGGGATCCTCACGCCTACGGTATCCACAACCGTGTGTCCACACAAACCCTAGTGAGAAAAGACACATACCTTGAATTGCACAATGACACAAGCTATGAATCAAGAGATAGGGAAGCCAAATAATCAAACTTGTGAAGAAAGGCTGGTCCTGGAGCACCTTTTGAAAACTGAGCTGGTTAAGTTTAAAGCTCTACTAGTTGTTGCAATAGCATGACATGGGGCTTTGCTTTAGAATGGGCCAGCTAAAGAGAAGCACCATGCGTACATTTTTAACATAATAAAATCTACAAGCTAATAATGCTTGAAATCTGTGAGGAAATGTAAACTGTATACTATGATCAGTGACCAGAAGGCACTGAAAACCAGATTCACTTTGCCAGATTTGTTCTTTACACATATCTATATTGGAATATTATTTACAAATTAAATATGCTCACCTGTTTAGCAAACTCGCTTGTTTTCTTCCTCGACTGTGTTGAAAGCACCATGCCCTGAGTGAACTCTGAAAAGAACCGTAAGAAACACAAAATACACAATAAGATATTTCTTCAAACTCCTTCCATGTCAGTGTTCATTAGCATGTCAATACAGTCATTTCGGGTGCAGTACCTGTGCGTAATGAATGCAGGTAACAAGCCAGGGCCTCCCTAATCTTCTGGACTCCTTTTGTTTTCATGAGGTCTTTTAGTGTGTCTCCTTCCCCCTTCTTCCTACAGATGCTTATCTGGAATGATAGGAAAATACGGATGTGAAACCCCAGCACAGAGAGGGAAACTTCAGGTGCCTCCTGTTAAGATGCTTACAGAATTTTATGCAAACAGACCTCTATGTCTTCAATGTCGTTTTCTTCTGAAAGGTTGGGGATTGCAATAGATCCCCTCTGTTTATCCCCAGTTCCTTTTAATATACCTAAAACATGAGATGTACTTCATCACAACCAGGGCCTATGTCAAGGCAGCCAAAATGGGTATACAATATATTTGCTTTTATTGGAAAGCTTTCAAATCATAAATACCGTCTGGAGCAGTTGTTTTCTTGTGTCTTTGTCCTGTGTTCCAACTTGACTTGATTGCTCTGATAAGGAAGTGTATTTTCAGTCTTAGACCTCTTTATATGCAGAGTTTGCATGTAGAAAGAAGTCTACCTACACATTAAGATCATTAAACGAAAGAGTTCTACATTATCAATGACGAAAAAGACTCAAGTAAGCAGACTGATTAGCAATAACAATATTCCTCCTCTCCAGGTAAAATGAACCTTCTCACTGTCTCAAGATAGTGCTGTTTTAAATCATTTGGATCCACTCTTATGGTCAGTTTTATGTTATTACAAGCTGACTAATGTATCCTTTTGGGAACCATAATAAAGACTGTGATATAAATTAATTCATGAACTGGGTACCAGATAGACACTGAAACATTTGCTCTTGAAATTATATGTTCTCAGCTTACCTTTCCAGGTCAGCTTCAGGTCCCACTCGTAAAAAATAATGAGTCTGCCTTTCCTGTTGTTACAGGATGCCTCTCCCTCTGCTTTTTTCAGGTCCGTTATCTGACAGCTGCCCTCTTCGCTGTCCACAGTAATGCCCACCAGCAGCTCCTTTAGCTTCTGCTTTGACCACTGACTTGCATCCCGTTCAGTCCTGAAACCCACAAAAATCAGGCAAACTGCACTTTATTTTCTACAACATTTCTACTTCGTGCCAGAATGAACACTAGCCAGGTCTGTGTCTTTTTACCCGAGAGTCACGTGGTTAGAAAGGGTAAAAGACAAACACTGTTGTGCTTTGCTAACCCTGTATAGAATTTCCCACTGCTGGGGTATTGCTTCCCTAATGTGAGAGGGTATAGAAGGGGGTAGGTACATTGTGCTGCTACCTTGCCACTCTTTGGTCTTGGGTACTATACCTGGCTGAGGCACCTTCTGTGTGCAGCGTGCATGTTGTCTTCATATTTACAGTACATGGGTTTCCTCCAAACGCTCACAGACTAGCTGGTTAGCTCTAGTGGGCTTTCCAGCACTGCCCCCTTTCTCTAAACCTGTAAACTGATAAACTGGTGTCCCATCCAGGGACAGAGCCGTCCTGAACTCTCCGTCCTGCCTCGCCCTGTGCTCCTGAGAGTCCTGTGGACAGCTGTTACCCTGCCTTTTCCGATAGCGCACGGATGGTGTAGATGTCTCTAGAAAGCACATCCCTTACAAGAGGAGCTTCATCTCATACTGCCTTCCCGTAAAAATACCACTCTTACTAAAGATGGCAAAAAAAAATTAAGTTTTAAATTCTCTTGTATGTGTATTGGATATGTAGCGCTGTACGTGTGTCACAATTGCAAACGAATCAAGTTCAAGTTCAGGTTTATTGTCATTTTACTCATATACAGGTATATGGTATAACGAAATGCTATTTAGCTAGCTCTCGGACGATAAGTAGTACAAATTAAAAACAACAACAATACAATTGTATAACAAAAGAAAGACAGAGACAACACAGTGTGCAAAAACAACCACAGGTAGTGTGCAAAACAACAAAAAGGTAACAGGTAATGTGCAAAAACATGCATGAACAGAATGAAATAAAGGGATAGAAATTATTTGTTTGAAAGCCAGGGAAGTGTTACGTTGCTTTCTCTCCCTGTCCGCTGCAGTAAGAGCTCTTGCAGCGCAGCCTTTGCGTTCTTCTGGTGTTGTAGTTCTGTGCGTTACATATAATATATACCTGTATATGACACTTGAGACACTGCCTCACTGCTGCTTGAGCACGCTTCGCTTCCGAGTCAAACCTGGGGCTCTTCATCGTTAGCCGACTCTCCAATATAGAGTCTAACCTATGGCAATTCTCCCGAAATGTTAGTAAATGCCCATTTACGGTACCCTTTGTAAAATTAAGCCACTCAAAAAAAAAAAACGAAAACGAAATGAGACTCTTAATAACAATGACAACCGAAATCTGAAGATCAACCCAAGTCCACTCACCAGTGCCAGTTATTCACGTTTGTAGCATCGGCTCTTTCCTCCACAATCCAACGCGGATCCCCTTGTCCCCACTTGGCCATTATAAATTCTTCCTTTTATTTACAAAAGGTTTCAAATAAATAAGAAACAGAAACGTTCTAAAGCGTATCAGTCGTCTTGCAAACAATAAAATGGAATGTAGCCTTGTAAGGGAAGATATCGCCTTCACGACTCTTGCAGTGTTATCAATGCAATGTAATTTAATGGAGGTTGATGTTGCTGTGTGACGTAACAATACTGCGGAGAAATTTCCAGAGGCATCTGCTTCACGGAACATTCTGCCAGGAAGTGTCTCGTCATACAGTAGGTACAGGCGTACTGTAGATACGTAATAATCCTGTTACGTATTCCATCCTTATTGCATTAAATTGGGTTTTTTTACGCGACACGGCAATAATATCTTAAGTATCAGAGAGTATCAGACTTAATTTAATTATTAACCGCGTATTTGAAACCTTTAAAACCCAACAAAAATAGAAGAAAGATGCTTTGTTTAAGCAGTATGCAGTCGTGCTTTTGTAGCTTGTACAAGTGTGGTCTCCACAATCCCCCCCAAAAAAGATAATGCAGCTTTGTAATCAGTCCAGAAAAAGACTGAGGATATATATTCTAAGGCCTAACTGCATTGTTCTACCCTGACTGGCTGAAAGAATTTAACCTTTTTAGACTTAAACTGGGAAGAGTATATCACCCTGCAACTCACAACTGACAGCCCACGAGAGCTAAGTAGGTGTGAGCTTGGTCAGTACCTGGTTGGAGACCTGGGAAAAACTAAGGTTTAGTGGTGTTAGTGGGGTCAGCTGGGGTCTCACCCTGCAGTCTGTGGTGGTGCTAATGCCCCAGTATAGAGATGGGGACACTATACTGTAAAAAGGAAGAGACGTAAAACCGAGGTCCTGACTCTTTGTGGTCATTAAAAATCCCAGGGTGTTTCTCGAAAAGAGTAGGGGTGTTACCCCGGCATCCTGGCCAAATTTGCCATTGGCCCTTACCAATCATGGCCTTCTAATAATCTCCATCTATGAATTGGCTTCATTACTCTGCTCTCCTCCCAACTGATAGCTGATGTGTTGTGAGCGTACTGGCACACTATGGCTGCAGTTACGTCATCCAGGTGGATGCTGCACATTGGTGGTGGTGGAGGGGATCCCCATTACCTGTAAAGCGCTTTGAGTGGAGTGTCTAGAAAAACGCTATATAAGTGTGAGTTATTATTATTATTATTTTAGAGACCATAACAATTAAAACAGTTGCAAAATGTTCATGAAAGGAAAAGTTATTTTAATTGTAATAAATAAATTAGAACGATATATTTTAAAATACAATGAACTGTTCCATTCAATTTTAAGTGATAAACAATACATTTTATTCATATCTGTTATTATTGATGAAAAATCATATTTTGACATATTCTAATCCATAAATAATTAAATAAATAGTTGAATTAATTATATATCACAATCAGAGAGCATTTTAATTGCCTGAAAATGCTGTGTGTATGAAAATATCAAAAAGTCCAAAAATAAAGATATTGTAGAAATTTAAATATACTGCATACTCAGCAAAGTATGTTATTTTTAAGGTAACTTTATATTTTTGATATATCACTCCAAAAATGTGAAATAATGGAACCTTCTGTCTTAGACACACTGAATGTTAGTATTAACAACAAAGAAGAAGTAGTAACTGCATGAATTAATTCTTCAGAGAGCAGAGTTGCTGGTATTCTCATTGTCCTTACTATCTGTGTCTGTCCTTCTCTCTGTTCAATCATCATTTTCCATGTCTTCATTGGAGATCATTTTGAGGCTGATGTAATCCTTCTTTGACTCATTGTCCTGAAAGGTTAATGTAATACAGTTATGAATACTGCATTAAGAAAGCACAGAGAATGTGCACAATCATTTAGAATAAAAATTGACTGTCAGATTAGTAGCACTGCTATAGTGTGGACGTGTGCAATGCAGAAATGAAAGCCACTTTTCCTTACTGCGCTAAGATTAGGCACTGAAATAATGGATCATCGGGTCTACAATATTGTTTTGCAAGAGGTTCTTACAAGAGGTTTTTTGTTTGTGTCTTCAAGTAGTGATCTGAGCTAGTATGTTTTAAGAATCAAATTTATGATTTTAAAATTAAGATTTAAAATTCAAATAATATTTTGCACAATTTATAAAATTAAAATGATATAAACTGATATAACATGAAATTGCACTCTCCTACCTGTTTCACACATTACATTTGCTCTTCGGTGTTTTTCCTATTACAAAATAAAAAAACAGCTTTAGTTCAGTGAACCTTTGTGAACTGTTAAATGTTAGAAATGTATCAGACTGTCATGTCAGAACAATGACATATAATGAAAAATATAGTTTCTAAAGACCACAGCTATACTTCCTTTGCAAGTGAACAGTAATTGTTTAATCCAGTAATTACTACAATGGGAGTACTCACATGTTTTCTTGATGTTCTGTTTGTTGAAACACATTGGGGTAAGAGATGCCAAAACTAAGGGTATCCTTATATGGATCAGATTCCTTTTTTAATTTTCTGTTCCTGGAAGTAAATGAAAAACAATACCAACTCTTCTATTTCTCTGTAGATTTTATAGTCAACATGCAATATCAAACTCTGCTTTGATTGTTTACCAGAATTTAAAGAATTAGTGCAACATCAACAGTGCCACCCTGACATTAAGAATATATGAAAACTTTATATTCAAAATACATGTTGTGTGCCCTGTGTTGTAATTATCAGTGCTGCATTATATCCTGAAGGAATGAGATCCATGTTTAAATGTTTATGTGTACAAGTGAAAAGCAGCAAAATGATAAAATACTGTGCACCAAAAGTATCTTTCAACAATAACAATACAATTTATCATTTTGAATTCATGATTTTACTCAGCCTTATTTTTAAAACTGTTGTATTTTTTATCTATCTATAAATCAACTTCTGACAGCTGCCAAAATTAACAAGTGCATTGCTTGTGTTAGGCCATCTAGATCATGAACATTTATTACAAAGAGCAAGGAAACTTCAGCAGAACCTTGCTTCCTTTTTTTCACCACTTCTGATTATAATAACAATGACAATTTAAATGCAAGAATATTCCATGACATACTATGTCAATAACTTTGTGAATATTTAAGTTTCTAAAGGTTACCTTAGTAAGGTTACAACCAGAAATGCAACAAAGCCACTTATAGTCAGAGCCAAAAGCACACTCAGAACAATGACTGATGTTTGGTCAGACGATAAAGCAAAATCTTCAAATTGGTCTTTCACTGTATGAACTACGTCTTCACCAAACACCACTTCTAAGTCTGCTTGGATACGGTCCTCTGAGCTTTCCAATTTGCTAGAACAACAAAAAAACAAAATTTGGTTAGAAATGTTATATTGTTATGTATTTTAAGTGGCTAAAGCATTTACCAGAAGAAACGTTTGAAAATGTAGCAAAAGGAATTAAAAGATACTCAGGAAATTTCACTTTCACATCCAATCTCAGTTTATGAACACATTTACTTTTTTTGACATTCAGCCCTCTAAATTCTTTAACTGTGAAGGATTTGTAAACTGTTTAGAAGTATTCTGCTGAACTGAGTATTGTTAACTTCAATGCTTGAACTATCTCTTAATCTTATCTTATCTACTGGACACCGTATTTGAGGCTCATAGTTATGCGCAAACTTTAATTGTTCCCAGTGTGAGGGAAAATGTCAGGAACTAATATAATCAGCCATGAAAAGACTAGAAAAAATAGAAAAGTATCTGAAATATGAGAGAAAAAAGGAAGAAACTTGCCTTTTCACCTCCTCTGAAGGCATTATTTTGTCATTGTCAGTGGCTAGGAAAGTAAAGAAGGTCTCCTCATTGCTTTTTGCCAATCTCATTTTCGAGCTGATGCCATTTATGCTGATTATGTGTACATCCCATCCTAACGCCTTTTCAAGGGCCCTAAGTGAGGATGGCGAAAACAAGAAAGAATGTTTAAAAAATGTCTGCTTAAATTAGAAATAGAAAATAGAGCAAACATTCCACAAAAAAATGAACCATTTGTTATATAGTCAGGGCCATTTCTCTTACTTTTTCACTTCATATTTCTTCTTTTCCACGTTGTTGACAGCTTGATTGATGGAAATAACCACAACATCATCGCTTGAGCTGCTAACCAGAGTTACCTGAAAAGATCGCAAGAGTTAACTACACGTTTGACTCCAGGTATTTTCAGTTTATTTTTAATCACACATACAGTACACCTCGGAAAAGATTTACAGACAGGCATGTGAGCATTTCCTATATTGTACAATACAGTATCTCTGATTTAAAGGATTGCTCAAAACATTCATTAACATAAACAGGCGAAGTATGAAGAAAGCCAGTCTCAAAACATTCTGCAATTGAAGAGGTTTCGGGTTAGAGGTGAACCAAATGTTTCAACTGACAGTTTTTGCTTTAGTTCTCCCATAAATATATTTAAAGTTTCAATTTAGTGTGAAACCTGGGTCAGAGTTTCTTTGCACATGGCCACACAGATCTCCATTGCTGTAAGTAAATCAAGTAAAATTCTTACTTTTACAGTTGTTACAGCGGCCAGCCCCTTGCCATTTTGGTCTTTGGCCTGCACTTTGAAAGCAGACTCTCCAGTTTTGCCCTCTACAGAGACCACATAAATCTCCCCCGTTGATCCATCAACGTCAAACTCCTGACTTTGACTGTCTGTCAGACTGTATTCTAGAAGTCCATTGACTCCACTGTCTTGATCAAAAGCCTGTAAAGAGACACGATTGACATCATTTACCATTTTCAGGTTGAAAAATACACTGCTCTTGATTTCAACTGCAGAAGCGAATGAACAGACATGAAAAGGTTACACAGTAAGATTACAGAATTAAATATATATATATATGAAAGATAATTATTTTGTATGCTGTGGTGGTTTTGCCCCTGAACGTTTTACTTGATAAATCTGCTACTATTTCTCCAGTTATCTCATGCTTAAACTGTGTATTTTAATTTATTTTCCATGGGGTTGTATCAGAAGCTCTCTTTCGTTTACAATGTTTTTCCCTTATTTCGCTTGCTTTACTAGATTTGAATGTGTATTCTATGAGTCTCCCAGGGGGTCCTTGGTCATGGTCTTGTTTAAGCACTGGTCTCAGTCCTCTGCACTTACCCTCACTTGTACCACTGGTGACTTGTATGGTGCTATGTTGAAGATGCTTGCAGAGTAGCTCTCCTGGCTGAATTTCGGAACCTCATTCACATCTTTAACCAAAATGGTCAGTCTTGCAATATTTTTACCATCTTAAAATAAAACACAATTTAGACACAAAGCATTAGAGATGCACATAGTGCTGAGACACAAAAGGTCTGCTTGCAGCTGCCCTGTTCAATAAATTCCTTAATAATAAATTAAGGTTAATAAATTGGGAATCGATGTAGCTCCTTTAGCCCATTTTAGTATATTGTTCTTTCCATTTCATTTTCTGGTGATATTTTTTTAAATCCAGTCCATTTCACAAAGCGGAAACTGGGTGCCACCTGTCAGTTAGGCCCATGTTAGGACTCCATGTGTCCAATGTGAAGTTCACCTGCAATCTCAGTATAAAATAATAAGAGATAATTACCTCGCACAGCATGAGAGAGAGGACCTATGGCTTCCACAGTAATGAAGTACTTTGAAAAGTTCTCAAAGTCCAGATTGACACTGGTATACAGTGCACCAGTGTTTGGATTCAACTGGAAATGATCTGTGGGAAGGAGACACTGTTTCAGAATAATTGTGTACCAACAATAAAATATAGTAAAATTGCTGCAATAATTTTTATACACTTACCAAGCTCATTTCCACTTCTGATTGTGTAAGAAACATGAGCATTGGGGGTATCCAGCACAGAAAACGTGTACACTAGGAACTCAGTTCCTGTGTTTTCTTCAACATCAACACTATATGCGACACAAAAGCCTATATTAAAATGCATGATATATTTTCCCAGAAAAAAGACTAAATGTTACTTCCAATGATTGATTCTTAGCAGCATATGAATCATGAAACCTCAAGGGACAGAAAAACCCCAAAACATTAAAAAAATATCCATCACTCTCTGTAGATCTGCCAAATGTTCATGAAAGACACTACAGTACCTGATCTCAGACTGGTTGAAGTGGGGCTGAAATGGGCTGTTGTCAATGACTGCCACAGTCACACGGGCACTGCTGTTCCTTGCAGGATATCCGCGGTCTCTGGCTTCCACAGAGAGCTCGTAGATGCCAGGGTGAGGCAGACTCCTTATTGTCATGATGGTTCCTTTGAGCATGTCCTCTATTATAAAATACTTACTTTCTGGCTCATGATCAAGCAAGTAATACTCTACCACAGCATTGTTTCCCTGGGGAAAGAATTTAAAGTCAGAAGTTATGCAGACAGCCTAAAGCTCTTATCCTTCAGCTGACATATTGATAAAGAAACATGTTAATCCTATATTATTTCTGTAAATGTGCCCATCCTGTCCTTGCAGCTAGTTTTCTGGTGAATGTCTGTGTTTGTGTTGGGGACAAGACAAGCTCCCTGATGCAGGCAGATCAAAAGTGTGAAACCTAGAGCCCCAGCAATCTACAGTATGACGATACTGACCTGTGTAACGAAATCACTATACTTTAGATCTGTTACATGTTATTTTGACCCCAAAAAAATCTTCTAGGCTGTCCCAATAATAAATATTCATGTGGTGTATTAATATTATTATTGATATTCAACAATATTAAGATGAATTAAAAATAATTAGTTATTCATGTATTTAACAGGGTTCCCTACAAGATCAACTGACCTATTTAAACAACTGTTTGGTGGAGCCACGAAATGTGATTAATATAGAAATGGGATCACAGGCAACACATTCTTTTTGACAAGGAAGTGCACAGTAGAAAGTGACTTTGACAACTGTGGTGCTGATTTACAGCACATCGCTACTAAGCTTCATAAAAAAGGTCATAGAGGTGGCTCATCAGGCTTGTTTGGTTGCATGTAGCCAATTGAATCAAATATTTCTGTTCAGCCATTTCTTGAAAGAAATCAGGATATCAACTTTGCCAACTCTGCCTGAGGAGCTTGTTTCAGGCTCTTATACTGTAGGTCTTCCATCATGCTCCACAGCCACACTTTGATACAGCCAGTACTACAATAGTTATAACAATCCTGCTGAATTAAACTGAGGAGACAGTTGCTGCCAAATTCTGCAATGCAGAATTGGATTGGAAGGGCTGTAAATTAAGTTGCTTAGCTTTCGGATTAAACTGCTTTGTTGCACCCTAGCTATGCTCATGCTTTCTGGTGTCTCTCATTGACACAATCTCCTATTTATTTCAGATTTCATTGCACCACAATGCCTGGCTTTTACAATAAAGTGGTTTGAATAGGCCAACTAACTTCATAAGCGTCTTACATGTACTGTATATATCTGTATTTAAAAACCAGAAATGTAAGAGCTATTGCTAAAAGGTAAGAGCTATTGCTAAAGGTAAAAAATGATTTGAGAAACGTTTAAAGACTTAAAATGTGCTCTTGCTGCTTATTGGCACTTTACCGTATCTTGGTCAGTAGCAGCAACTGAAGTGACCAGTGTCCCCGCAGGAGATGTCAGGTTCACCCTGGCAGTGTAATTGTTTTTCGTGAACAATGGAGGATTGTCATTCTCATCCAGCACTGAAATTCTGACCTCTGTTTTAGTCTGCAAATTAAGGGAACCATTTGTTATACACAAGGGTGTGCTCTGCCTGTTGAAGCTTTAATTTAAGTGGGAAAGAGTGGACAACAGAATACATTCTACTAATTTCCACAAACACATGTCCAACAAATGTCTTCCTGCTGATGTGACCCTATTTCTGCATTTTACGGTATGGTTTTTGAAGTTTACCTCATAAAAAGGAACTGTCTTATTGTTTGTTGCAGTCACTGTTATGATGATTTCTATTTTGTCCTCATAGTCTGGAGAACGTTTCACTGTAATGTTCCCATAGTCATCAACAGAAAAATCCTCTCCACCCTCTGCAAACACAAATACCTTTATTTCAGAGGTCTATTAATATGAACAATGTTCAAATTAAATCACTTGAATAATGTGTAAGTCACTCCAGTTTCTGAGAAAACACAATCAGCGTGGATTTTATGAAAGTTTATTATTACTGAATGGGAGCACTTATGCAGCTGAGCATTTTTTATAAATCTGGGTAAAATATTGTGCATATATTGTGGGTAACAACATCAGTGTCTCAAATGTTGGCTTTGATATGTCTTTCCAATATTTTTCCACCATTCCCTGGATTGAAGACCTACTGTGCCCTATGAATAACTCTTGATATCAGATGGATTTGAGCTTACTGATCTCTTTGTGAGGCTAAGGGAAATTGTGACCAATTGCACAAGCTGAATGTTCATTAAGACCTCTGGCTGTGCCTAATCAAATCCAAAACTGTCTTCTTTTGCTATCTACTGATGCTATCATTATTTCCATTACTTGTGGAACAGTCACATTGTATAGCATTCGGTACTGATTTTTCATTCCAAAAGTTTAATTGCTTATATTACCTCGTATAAACAAAGCACCTTGTGCTTGTATAAAATTTCACTGCTGCAATGAAAGCAAAGAGCAAAGGTTGCAGATAGTTTAAAATTGTGAAACCCTGTCAGGGGAGATCATAAAATACACATTTTCCTTCTACATCTAGAATTCATCCAACTAAATTGCCGGGTCCATTGTGTACACGCAGACTATAATAAATCTAAATGAGCTGAAAAAACACTTCTAATGCTTTGCTGGGCAATCTCATTTTTGTTTTAATTTTCTTTTAACTCAGGAGAGTAGCTCTTATCTCTGATCAGTAGCTGTTCTCTTGCTGGCTCTGGTTTATAAGTGCGTGTAAAGACCAATGTGATGTGTCAAGTGCTGTACAGCACAAACCCATTTGAAGAAAGCAATGTCAATAAGCCGCGTCTCGATTTGATTAGGTCATTTATAATCACAAGCACCTTTTTTTCACAGTTTTAGGACTGTAAGAACAAACCACACAGCTTGATGGAAAGTCCTCTTTACCTGTGATGTTATATGCAATGAAGGCGTTGTCCCCTGTGTCTTTGTCGGTGGCTCTAACCCTCCCAATGTAAATCCCTGCTTTGGTATTTTCTCTCACAGTCATGAGCGGCACAGAGTCAAACACAGGGGGATTGTCATTGATGTCGGTGATAGAGATGAACACAGTGCAGTATCCTCGCTTTTTCTCTGGAATGCCATTGTCTTCTGCATAGACAACAATCTAGACGAAGAACGGATTACTGTACAGTACACCATTGTGTTTTCAGTACCTAATTCAGGTATTATTAGATCATTATATGGGTCGGAAAGTCAGAATTCACTGACCTCCTATGGAACGAAGATGCATCACAAAGATAGTTTACTTGCTTAAATTGCTTACACTGTACTCCCTGTGTTATTAGCAAAAAGAGATTTCCTTAAGATCCATCTCCTTGAGATCCATCATCCAGGTGGATGCTGCACATTGGTGGTGGTAGAGGGGAGTTCCCATTACCTGTAAAGCGCTTTGAGTGGAGTGTCCAGAAAACCGCTATATAAGTGTAAGCAATTATTATTATTATTATTAAGGGATTTGTTCTCACTGAATTATTGCAGTCTTTTTAACTTAGCAAGGCAATCCCCAAGGTGATTTATGTAAAAAGAAATGGAAAGGTTTTGATTCCAAAAAGAATACAGTACCTGTCTGCATATCTTTTTCTCTGGAAAGTGAGAAAAAGTGCCTACCTGATACTGGACAGGGTCGCTCTCAAAGTCAAAAGACACTTTAGTATGAAGAGCTCCGGTGAGGGCATCTATCCTGAAATAGTCTTCATCGCCACTGAGAATAGCATACCGCAGCTCCCCATTCTGACCAATGTCTTCGTCAGTGGCATTCAGCCTGAGAACCTGGAGTGAAGCATTCTCATTCTGCGGAGACACAACACCACATCAAAACCGCACATAAAGCATTATTTGTTCCAACTATTTATGAGGCTAAAGTACAATTCACATGGGTCATCATTAAACAATACGACCATATTTAGATCCTGTTTTTATATCTATGAAGGAATCAAAGCATAAAATTCTCCTTCCTCATCCAAATCCTAACATGTACTTTAAGAATTAAAATCTTTGGTTCTGATGTCCATTTTCTTTAGCACTTTTCTATCTAAAATCTGGGTGACCTAGCCACATATGCCATGGACCAGTCACGATTCCATGGAGTTAAATAATAGTACAGGTAAAATGCTGTACAGCAGAAGGGACAGCATAAAGTATTCACTAGTGGCCAATTGGACTAGTGATATGCTGTTTACTGACAGCCTTACCTCTTTCACGAACACTGTGACAGAAGAATTGGGGAAAACTGGAGGAAAGTCATTTTCATCCACCACAGTTATGTTAACTTTTGCCTCACCGTAGACCAAAGACTGGTTAGAGTGTGTAGCTCTAATAATCAGTATGGCTGGGAAATGAGACACGTCAAGGGCTTGCTTTGTCTTGATTACACCACTGAAAGTGTCCATAGTGAAGTAATCTAAACAGAAGCACAGAGAGAGGCTAGTGAGTAACTCGGTACACTTTACAGTTGAGACTAAATTGAAAAAGATGGCAAGTCCTGGTGATGATTACCATTGTCATTGCCAGACTGAATGCTGTACATCACTGTGGAAGTGTAGAACACATGTGCTTGCATGACTACTGTGTCAGGCTGGGTCTTCTCACTCAAAGGCTGGGGGCTATATAGCTCTGCAGAGAAAACTGGCATCTCAAGGTTTCTTGGTATTATCATTACAGTTACCTGGAAAAGATGTAGCACAAATAAAACAAAACAGTATTTTTGCTGTCTAAATACAATGAAGCTCAGATACAACTTTATGTCACTTCACAAAGGATAAGCTATGCCCAAACCCAGATTTTAGTAGATGCAAAATACTGTAAAACTAATTTTCAATAAAGTGATCAAGATAGTTTAAAATGTAGACAGTATTACATTGAGATTTACTAATTATTTCCATTGCTCAATAGTTGCTAGCTCTTATGTGTTTAGCCAAACTCTATTTCAGCTGACTGTATTAACATTTACTTCAGTATTTTCACTGTACTGTCTAGACCCTTGAGTAGTATAATTACCTAATTATTTTCAAACAGAAATATACTTTCACACTATAAACAAAAAATAACATTCTATAATAATTCATATAAGGATTCGCTTATTGTTTTATTTTCAGTTGTGCTATCTATAGAAATACTTATCTAACCTGCTGGTGCTTATGTAAGAACAGTTACAAATGAGAAGAGCCATTTTGCCCATTTTCTAGTAACTAATTGATCCAAGGATCTCATCCAGCTGTTTCTTGAAAAAATAATGATACTGTATCTTCTTTGACAATATGGCTGAGCAGTTTGTCCTAGATTCCCACATCCTTGTGTGTAAATAAGTGCTTCTGTTCTCAGTTTAAAAACGCACTTCCACGTAATTTCCACTGCTGTCTTGTGGTTTGTCTTTCATGGGTGAGATAAAGTGGATGTGGTTTACCTTTGCAGTGGAAGAGAGCTGTGGAGTTCCATAGTCTGTGGCCATGACAGTCAGTGAATACTGCTTTACTACAGAAGTTGGAGTCAGGTCTTTTGTCAGAGTGAGTTTCCCAGTTGTGGAGGAAAGACTAAACAGGCCTTCACCATTACCCTCTTGAGGAAATGGAAGAAAAGCACAATTGTAAAAAGGGTGCACCTACAGTAACACAAACACATTTACTGTTACACATTTTAACCTGGCTTAGACAATAACTTTCCAAGAGCTTGTGATACTTTGCCACACAGAATGAGGTGAAGAGACACAATGTTTTTTTCCTCTTTCAAATATTTAAAAAATACTGCAAGGAATATGTTTTTCATTGTTTGATATTGATGTCTTTTTTACATTGACATGTCCTAAACAGTTTGACTGGTACAATATAGGCTTCCACAATCAATGATATAATGTTTTGAATTATAATCGTACAAGTGTTGACTGGTTTGTAATGTTGTTTCTGCATTAGTCCTTTTACAATGACATACAAGTTTAAGAACAGCTATATTTATCAATACAGTACCCTCTTATAACTACCTGATATATTGTAGTAAATGCCAGCATCATTTTCCTTGTGCCCATGTGTTGCGTTAATGTCTAAAACCAGTTGGCCAGCAGTACTGTTATCTCTCAAGAACACACTGTAAAAAGGATCATCAAACACAGGGCCTTCTTCATTGACATCTTCTACTTTCACTGCAGAAGACAGTTTATTCATTCATTATTAAAAAAATATATTTTCCCTTATAAAGTCACAATTAGCTTTCACGTGTATAATTATCCAGCACTGAAACAGTTCTCACATCTAGCTACACCTAATAGCATGCAATCAGCTAACACCATCTTAAAAGAGTGTGGCTTGCCATTATAGACACACTTACTGTAGGCAGGTTTTAAGAAATAGCAAACAGGAAATGCTACAGTATGTGGTGGTAACCTTTTTCACTACAATCCTCAAAAGTCTAACAGATTGTTTTGACTAAAGCTTTTCAGAAAATAAGACTGTTTAACCAAGACCTGTACTGGATAAGGAGCTTGTAAGACAGATGAATCATACTAGTTAACAGAACCCACTGATAATTATCACACAAATAATGTTTTGATACCATTTTTGCATGCACAGGTTGAGCTCTCTTAATGCTTTATTATTGCTTTTCAAATGTATTTTTAACTGCTAACACAAATGTACATAAACTGTAATATTTCTGTATAAACGTTATATTACCAATGTTCTCTATTTGCCTCTATTTAAAGTTCAGTGCCATTACAGGCCTATTATATATGTAACCTCAGAATATTATATGCATTACCTGTAACAAGAGCTGTGTCCTCCAGGTCTGTTCCAGGGTTGTAGGCTCTTACTGTAAATGTGTACTGTGGTCCCTTTTCATAATCCAGAGGATAAACAATTCCTATTCTCCCAGTTAGCTCTCCAATGTAGAAGGGGTAGACTGAGGTTTCCAGAATCACATAGTTTATGATGGCATTGTAGCCTATATCATCGTCTGTAGCAAACACTGTCAAGAGCTGCCAAGAAAAAAAAAGAAAAACTATTGTACAAATCACATCATATGTCAAATGTCTATCTTCATTGGGTTTCTTTAGAGCTGAAGGCTGATGTTCAGGGTTCTATACAGGAAAACTGGTAGGGGCCATAATTGTATAAAGCAAGGAAGAACACACAAAAACAAGTTTTCAATAGGTACTAAATAATAGTCCTAAATGTGTCACAGAGGTGTATAGCAGGCTGGGAACAGAGAACGTACATCAGCAGGTATCTCGTTTTCTTTAACGGTGACTTCATATGCTGTCTGATTGAA